AGAAATGTTTATTCCTTTATGTTTTTGAACTTATAATTATTTCTTAGTTTTTTTGTACATTCTGTGTGAACAATTGTGTATGCATGTAACAGTAAAAAAAAAATAAATAAATAAAAAATATTAATAATAATAATAATAATAATAAAAATATGTATATTTATTCAAAATTATGAGTTGAAAAATAACAATAACAGAACTTCGCTGGGCAGGAGGTGAGTTAGGGAGATGTAGCTTCAGGGACAATCTAACTTGCCGACCTGCCAAGTCTACACATACAAACCTATGGTCTTCATATTTATTATTTTATACCAAACTAATATTTTCATATACAGGTACTACAGGTGCACTCCATATAATGCAATAAAATAAGTACAACAACATAAAAACAATACATAAGAACACTGTCAGTATGAGAGTTAGAGTGGGTGCATGAGTGTGTGTGTTTGTCTGTTTGAGAGTACTGTACAATACAGATATTTGTAAATGAGTGTAAACATTTAAACTAGCATTTACCATTGCCATATGAAGAATTCTAGAATGCTCAGCATATTTTCTCACACCACGGTATGGAAGTACAGTACAGGTGAATTTTCCTGCGCATGAATTTTCACGAACGTGCTCTGCGTAAATGGTCCCATTGAATTTAATTAATTTCTAAACTGCTTGTGTGAAGTGGGCCTTACATAGGAATATGAGAGCTGGGGCAAGCTACCCTACCACTGTACAGTATCATAATTTTTCATTTGCAAATGTGGGGTATGCTTTGTAAAAATCAAATAGGGGTGTTAAAATATCAATTGTGGATAAGCAGGGTTGGAAATAGTGAGTTATTCCTGTAGTCAGAAATTAAAATTATAATGGTTCACTGGTTCTAGATCACCAAGGTAGTGTACCAAGATTCCAACTACTTTTTAAAAAAAAAATCATTAGTTTACCAATAATAACCAACAACCAATATTATAATAATTATGAAACGAAGCACTATTTTGACACTCACCATCTGATGCTACGTTGACTCTAGACTCGGATTAAGTCTCCAAGCTAAACAATCTTCTCATTCTGAGCATTTTATCATACAGTTGATTGAGCAGTCATACCCAGGAGATTGGTGGTAAACCTGTGTTCTTCTCCATCCGTAGTTTATTACAATTTCTAAATACTGTAATCATGAAAGTAGAACCAACTTGTCGGGGTCATATCAACTACTGTACCTATATTTGGCAGTCAGTGATTGGGTAGATAAACTGTTCTAACATCAGCCCATTTACATCACTCTCAACAGTCATAACAACAGCATAAGAAGAATCCATAGTCCTTGGTTGTTAGCAATGTTTAAATTTTGGATTTTTCTAGATTGAAGAAACCGGGGCCACAGATTGTTGTGGGAACCTATTGTAACCATACGAGTGTTTGTATACCCAATGTTAATACACTCTATATTAAACAATTAATAAACTTTTACTGAAACTTTTTTACAGTATATACCCAAAACTCATGTCCCAACTTAGAAGAAATCTTCAATGTGCTAGACCATGGATTTGGGAGCTTAATGGTTTATAGAAATAAAATTTTTGGATATTTTACTGCATCACTTCTGTAATCTTGGTAAAAATCCAAGCCTGCATTTTAATTAGAATTCACATCTCACCACTGAGCAAGTGAAATTCCCAGTAATAAAAGGACAAAAATCTTTACTTTCTTTTTCTTCTGATATATTGGCAGTACCAAATATTTTGGCTCACCGAGTCCATAACTTTGTCATCCACACCCAGAGCTACTAACCAAAATAGCCGAACATTACAATCCACCATCGAAGCAAATATTTAGCCCTTCAAAATACCTGCCCTGCCTCCAGTCTCACGTAAGAATTAGTTGAACATTTCAGAAGGACTTCCCACATCCCATTATACTTCTGAATGCTCCCTGAAGATCATATTTTATGTAATTAGTTTCTGATGGAACTCCGAACAATTGTAAAGAGAACATGAAATGAGAGGAATGGGTGATTCTTTTCTTTATGGATGACCAATCACACTGCTTGCCATGTCAAGGGCATAATATGATAGTTGAAGACTTACAGTACGTATTACCACACAAATCATAACACTCAAATCCCACTGTACGGTAAGATAAGACAAAATGAGACCACCGTATATTTTGACTGTACAGTGAGTTCTGCTATAACGCGTGTTTTGATAACGCGAATTTGCTCTAACGCGATTTATGAATTAGGAACGATATTTGTATAACGCGAACGCTTGTTTGCTATAACGCGATTTTTGCTTACTATTTCTCCAATTTTGTGGTATTAACTGTGAATATGGTAAAGAAGAATATCTCCAAGAAGCGTTCTGGTGATAGAATTCCCGGTGATGATCGTAAAAGAAAGGATATAACACTTGAAGAGAAGCTCGATTTTATCAACCTCAAAATCACCCTTCTCCCCATCAAGTTACATTCATATTTTTTCAAGGTAAAGTGTTACATTTACTGTATGATTTCATTATTAGATATGAATGTAACATTTATTTAGACTGTGCTATCCTTTGTGTTAGGCTAACTACTAAATTTTTTTGATTTCGAGTAATCTGCACCTAACCCTATTTTCTCCATAAGCCCTGTTATTTCTATTACGCGATTTTCTATAACACAATATTTTACAAGAACACAATTATCACGTTATAGCAGAACTACCTGTAACATAAAATCGTTTTCAGCCAAAGAAGGCTGTAGGTTACAGGCAAAATATACAGTAGTCACGATTTTCTGTTTTATCTTCTCCTACAATGAGATTTCAGTGATATATTGTAGTCTATAATGTTGGATGCCAGGTGAGTAAGGAGTCTGCCTGGTCTGCTTAACCCTCTGGTACTCCTGGCCATGGTCAGAAATCTTACCCTCTTGCAGTCTTTTGTCGCAGGCTGTGTCGGTAACAGGAACGTTTTTTTTCCATTTTAATAAACATTGGGTAGAGTGATCCAGACCCAAATTGCATCCTTAGAGATGCATCTGCCAGACCACGAAGTTAGTGGGAGGAACTTAGGTGGTTGATAGGGCCACTGTTCCTGCATTTCTGCTTACGGGAGGGGTGCTCTCAGTGTGACATATGACAGAGCGGGAAGAGTTGCGCCAGCACAGGAGTGCTTAGTGACACAATTTGCGTCGAAAGACCACGAGAGGGTTAATAGTTTAGATCAGTGGATATTAATCACTGTCAAACCCCTTTTCTCTTACGAAGAAGGGATGCGTAAGTCTTGGAAGGAAGAACCAAACAACATACAAAACTTTAAGTTGACTCCCGATTATGATATAACTAGCTTTGTTTGTTTCTACTTTCACAATTGGCAATTCAGTATCCCAATATTTCTATAAATTTTCCAATATCACAGTGCATATTAAACATCTGGGACTGCCAATATATACAGTACTCCAAAAGTGCATCTCTCCCCAATGATACAGTTTTGTAAAATCATGGATTCTAATAGTTTTGAAAAGAAGTGTAAGCGAAGCAGCAAATCATTTGCCATCATGATAGGACTTTGCACTTCAAGGCTGACTGACAACTAATAAAAACAAAAGAGATGCCTACACTAAGTATATACAGTTGAGGACATTTTAATTTCTGTGAGCTTCACAATCCAAGCATTCAACACCAGAGATATTTAATTGTTTAAGCTTATCCATAGAAGTGACAGATGATATTACAAAACCAGCACTACAAAAGTCCATTCCAGTGATGGCTAATAGAATAAAACTTGAAGATCAAAATATAAAAGTTGAGGAGTCATTGTATAACAAGCACAGTACAGTACTTAATTCAACATTTATGATCAGTCTTGCAAATCTTACTACAAGTGCTTAATTACAAATATAGTGAGATTTTGGAGGACAAATATATATCTTTCTAGTTTTGATGATCAGCAAGAAGTGACTAAAAGAATATCAGTTTCACTTTTCTTCACATACTCCCTGAAATCAAGCAGACTTTTAACGTGTACTGATGTGACAGTGCTCAAGAAATCCCTGAATGACCACAAAACAGCATCTATAACAATTTTATAAATCAGGACTAGTTACTTTGGATTACAAATTGGGGGTTAATAACATGCTGGACACCCAACCCAATGAAAATGGTTTAATCCCATGGTCTAACAGGATGAAATGGTGTTACATTGTATGATATGCACTGAACAGGTAACTTGTGTTATGCCAAGCTCCTGAACTAGGCTAACCTTTCTCATCTGAGGAGTGACATCCTATAAAACTGTGGGAGATGAATTAAAGGTTGGAAACAGTACTGAAATCAGCTTGCTTGAGTTACCCTTGAAGGGAAGGAAAGAGATTGCATGAGGAAGCTTTTTTTTACTTCTAGTCTCACTCCTGTTAAAGTGCACTTCAATTTTGAATTGTGCATGTGCCTGAATTTAATTTTCCTTTAGATCCAACAACCTGTTATGGACATCCTCAGTTATGTCACATTGTATCTTTTCCACTTTTTACAAACAAACAAACAAACATATGTCTCTGGCAAATGTTGTGGACACTAATAATGAGTGTCTGATACTGTGTAAGGGAATGTACAATGACCATTGATGGAAAGATTCCTATAGCATCCTGAATTGAACAAGGAAAGCAGCTTATTGGATAGCATATATTTGCTATAAGTAGCATGAGCAATATTTATAGTGCATCACATATAGGCAATATTGGTAGTTTCTGTGCAATGAACAATATATCAATTAACTGTGTTGCATGAGTGGTGACCAAGCATATTAAGTTATTGGTATGGAAAAAAATAAAAATTAGCATACACTGGAGTTTTGATTACACAAAATTAAATATAATTCATAAGAACAGACTTAGTAAACACACACACACACATATATATATAAATATATATATATATATATATATATATATATATATATATATATATATATATATATATATATATATATATATATATATATATATATATATATATATATATATATATATATATATATATAAAGAAATTAAGGGAAGAGAGATCCATGTGTCAAGTCTGATAAGGTAATATAATATGATGGTGATGTGCTTATGCAGGCTTTAGCCAAGGTACTGTATGGTAGTGAGGCATCATATGTATTTGTGTGTGTCCTGTGAATACACTTTTATCAGATACAGTACATAATTCATTGCATGATTAAAATATTTACCAAATCACAGGTATCACAATATATCTATTGTTTCTCATACTCATTTATAACTTTTTCATGAGCTGAAAGTTTTCCAATAACTTTGTTTACTGAATCACAAATTCATCACATTTTAAGGTCATTAATCAGGTAATGAATTATCTATGTGATAAAAGTTAATTTTCTATATACTCCTGTTGTCCTCTTCAAGTGTCAAAATCACAGTTGGGTAACAAATTTATGCCCAAATGGGTATACTCATAAAAAAATGCTTAAGGAATTACTTTTACGCATCATGTATGACAGGTTATACAAGAAATTAGAAGAAATAATTTTCAATCATGAAGCATCATTCAGGGTAACTCAGGCTGCCTGTGTGTGTTATTCACTGATGGAGGAGTCGAAGGCATGGCACGTGAGGAACCCTGTGTGAGGAAGCCAGCAACACCAGGTGTTCCACCCATCAGGTATCCCGCAGTGGGTGAAGTCTCAATAAACAGGTCGTGCTTTTGGTCCCGGTACTGAAGCCATATTGCTGACTTTGCAAGAAGAGCATTTACCTGCAGCAAAAATAAACATTAAATGAACATACACTGATAATACCCCTTTATTGCAATTTATTATGGATAAAAAACTTAATTTACATAACCAATCATTTTCTTTATACGCTTTCCAAGAGAAGTGTCCTAAGAAGCAGGCCTCAGACACCAGTGAAAGTGCTGCTATGAGAATAAGACAATACTTCTTCTACCAATATTCTTTGGTCAAGATTACAAATGTGCCATACCACTAAAGGATGGATGCACAAAATTTTTCATATTTACCAAACCTCCTGAACAGCCAGTGACAGAATGTTTCATAAATATGGATAAACTACAGTATACAGTACTTATATACAGTAAAGAATACAATTAGAAAGTTACGTGACTATTACATGCATTAATCATAAATTTAATTTATCAATTTACTAGGATGACATAATATAACTACATATGTGATCTATGATCCATTATGATTATGTGCAGAAACATATACTGTACACTAGGTATATTATTATATCTAATTGAGTAGCAAAAGTATTGTCTCAAAGCATTCTTATCCCTGTACAATAATACACCTCTCTTGTCCACACACTCCTCTATACTATACCCATCTTGCCTTACACAATGTTTCACCTCAATGCTGGCTAGTCATCTCCATTTTTCATTATTTTACAAAAGAAAAGAAAATAATTTTACCATGAAGCCAATAAAAAGACATACTGTACTGTACCTCTTCTGCATGCTGAGGTGAAGCAGCCATGGTTTTGAGACAAGTAACAATCTGGGCTTTGGTAGATGCTGGCTTCTGGACTTTTGCATCAAGTTTTGACTCAAGAAGAGACAGAAGGTAGGGTATGACATTGGCTCTCAGACCCTGATCAACAAACGCAGTTGCAGATATGCCTCCAGAGAAGAGATTATGTAATGCTTCACATGCCACACCTACAACATCAGGACGCAGTTTCATAGCTGAAACCAGGCCAGCTACAACTTCTGTTCCCTCGAGGACATTGAAACACACCTGACAAAAATAAAAATTTACAAAACAAACTAAAAATAAAGCAATATATCAGCTGGATCTGTGGATATCATTAAAACAGTCATCACTTCTTGACACTAATAGAATCCAAAATACAATCTTTATATACTCATACCAGTACTGCTGTAAAGCAATTTTTTTTAATTTGTGAGAAACTTTAGTATCAGAAAAAATTTATATAAAATTAACAGCAGATGCTTCAGACCACAGTTAGCTACATGAAAAAAAGTACACAATTACATACTTGACTGAAAGTGAACTGATGAGTTGCGTGGGTGGCTGCACGAGCTACTGACAGGTTCTTAGAGAACAGCAGTGACACCACACGAGGGATATGACCCAACTGAGGAAGGTACTCCAGCAGGTTTCGCTGAGCTGATAATACAGTAATCACTGTGCTCACTACCAGCTCTAGTGTATCACCCTAGGCAGGAGAGAGGAAAGAAGATATGAATGGACAAGCCATTCAGTTTTCTAGTGCACTTATGTAATTAGTAAGTTCCATGGAAGATTTACTACCTTTTTACTCGCAGAAGTTAACAGGTTCAGGCATAGTCTTTGCTACCTTGATATATATTGTACACCATATATGGCACATTATAGCAACAAAGAAAAAATAAATATATTATATTTTCACTCATTTTAATACTGTACTGCATCATCTTACCTAATGAAAACATGATCAAAACAATTATTTATCTGCTTCTTAGTTAATGCAACTCCTAACACACTTTCATCACCCATTGTTTATCACACCATTCATTAACAGGTAATTACTGTAGCAGTATTTATTTATTATCCATTTTCACTCAACCACTGCACCTCATCTCAAGATATTCTTGATACCGGTACAGTAATATTTTCTTTCTGCTTAGTCTATACGTGACTTTGAATAATGTCCAATTCCATGTACTTATGTGGGCTGGTGTGTTTTAATAGTGACTCAGTTTTGGTGGACATTATTTAATAAAAAGACTCCTTTCCTACAATCTTTATCTTTAATAAATACATTATTTCTTGTGAACAGAATTTTTTTTCTTTTTTTTAGGTCAAACTTAACTAAAATTTAACTAAACCTAACCTAATGTAATAAATAAATAACTTAAAAATTGCTTGATATAAATCCTGGTACACAGAAGTTTATCAAAAGGAAAGAGACCTATAGCAAACACAAACAACTTCAGTGCACAAAAGATGTACGGTAACCATGTGAGAATAATACAGTAATTGGGAAAACAGAGGAAGCATTACCAAGGTGGAGTGAAGTGCAGTGTGGACATATGAGATGAGTGGATGGATGTAGAGATCAATGAAGGGCTATGAGGTGAGAACATGGGGCCAGGGTTGTTATAATGATCACTATGATGACTATGGCCATGTTAATGAGTAAAAGGGAAGATAACTACTTGTAGTGCAGTAAGGATAAAATAGGTCTTAATAATAGGGTGTTTGTGTACAGTACTTAATAGCTGGGTGTTTATGTAGTCTCTATAGGGTGTTTGTGTACAGTACTAAATAACTGGGTGTTTGTGTAGAGTGTTTAAATAATAGGGTGTTTGTACAGTGTCTTAGGGTGTTTGTGTACAATTTGTGTACAATGTCTAAATAATAAAATGTTTGTGTAGTGTCTAAATAATAGGTGTTTGTGTTAAGAATGTTTAAATAATAGGTTGCCTGTAAAGAGGAAGCTTAAATATTAATGTGTTTGTGGAGTGTCTAAATAATATGGTGTTTATACCAGGGTATTTGTGTACAGAGGGTGTATAGACAACAAGTTGTTTGTGTACAGAGAGTAATTAAATACTGTATATGTTTGTTTGAAAATTATCTAAATTGTGAGAATGTGTTACAGGACACACAAACAGACAGACAGTCGAAACAAATATAACTTGTAATACTCACATCAGTGCCACCTTTGGCTAACTGGTCTAACAAAGCATCAAAGAGATCTGATACAAAAGTCTTTGGTTTGCGAAGTACCCAGGATGGATTTGCAACTAACAGTCGAAGGAATACACCTCCTACCACCACTTCTCCAGAGGTCGATGATAACGTAACTTCTTCTGGGAATTTCCAGATGGCACTTGGATCCTTACATTGATGGTCGTGAATTCTAAAGATATAAAAGAACATGTTGATAATATTACTCGGCATTCTTTGACTACAGGTAAGTATTCTAATGATCACTATTTTTATTCCGAAGATAGCATGTAATAAAAGCACATGAATTTAAGTGTTATCAGTACCCAAACTCTTCGGAGTGATATTGAAAATACTGAAATTGAAGAAAAGACCCAAGTGGTAAACTAATTTGTGTAAATCATCCAAGACACAATAGATAATTTAACAATCGTGCACCATGACTCGATATCTGCGTCACACTTAGTCTCATCCAACTGGCACTGACGTTATTCTCGTGTCACTCAAAGGTAAAAAAATCACCTAATATTGAGAAATTATGACTGACGTGAGATTTTGGCAAGTTATTCCTCAAACTATTCTCTTTCATGCTAGTCCAACACTAATTAGATAAATAGCAACATCTAGCTCAAGGCTTGAGCACTTCAGTAGTCTCCCAGCAATCACACCAGATAATGCTACACACTCTCCCCTTAAAATTTCTCCCATTGTCCCTCTGACACACTCCTACCCTCCATTGTGCAGTAGAATTTGCCTGTAAAATTTTTTGTAAAATATTTACTAGTTTCCAAAAATGTTTTATTTTATATATTTTTTTTTTCTTCAATATTTCACCGATTCAAATTTGTAACCATTGCTCGTGTGTGTGAACTGTTGGGGTTGTATTTTTTTTATTCTAAAATCGCTTATAGCCAAACCGTACATGTTAGTAAAATTTTAAAACCACCTTAACATACCTAGACACTTATACTGTACTAACAAAAAATTCAGAAAAAAAAGACAAATTTAGTAAAATTCTATTGTAAATTACTAAAGAACTATTGGTGGTTTATTCACACTTTAAGATATGGAGATGATCAGCATTTAAAATGTATTAGTAATACTCCAGCACCAACACAAAAAGTTCTTAAGACGGGATGGAAAATAAAAAAATAAAATACATTATACACTTACTCTTCTACTAATCTAGAAACTACTCCAGATACTTTTTGTCTTGAGTCATCTGTCCATATTAGCTCTGGATTTTCATGCTGAGCTTCATACAGGTGAACAGACGTGCTCGGTGAGTCGCGCATCTGATCCGCCAGGGCAGCGGGAAGAATCTTGAGAAGTATAAGTCTGACACGGGGCCCAACTAGCTTGTCACATGTCATCTTGCCCATGAGCTCAGCTGTTTTCTCTCGGACATCACCATCGTCCGAGGAGCAGAAGATATTGAGGAGATACATAACAGCACCTGGTAAACAGAAAAAAATATTTTCTTGAGAAAACTGTTGGTAGCATTTTCTCAAGCAAAGCTCCATAAAGAATGTAAGAGATATAAATAAATCTTAGATCTTTGATTTACATCTATGAATTAGATTGAACTTTATTGGATATACGCAAATGGTAACAATTATAAAACCTATGTTTCTCATTCAAAAGAATTACATATTCTATATAATAAATTTTGAAAATTTTATGAAAATTATGTAGAGAAAATATGTACAGAACTCCAAAAGAAGGTAAGACATGACAGGGTTATCATAAACAAACAGATAGTGGAGACCTTAACTCAACATACATGATCCAGAATCACCTTACCTCAGCCTGACTGACGTCAGAGACACATGAAGAGAGATTTTGTTTAAAGATATTTTGTTAGCTCATAGACAGTGTCTTAAGCTAAACTTTGAACTTAATTTTTAACAAATTTATATAAAACGTATATGAATAACTGTTTACAAGAACAATGAATGAATAAAGATTATAATATTTTGAAAATTTGTTTGTTTGTAATATCTGTACAGTATCAGCTGGACCATAGAGTAGGGTGTGTTTAAGCGCTTACAGTTACACTGATGAAACAGTTTATGGATAGAAAATTGTTGGGAAAAAAAAATTAAATACCACTTTAATTTTGAGAAAAAAATATTTTATGTGAACAATTATGAAATCTTAATCGAGAGACAAAGAAAATATATTAGAAAAGGGTTAGCTCGAGAGACAATCCAAGTACAGTACCGCCTATGGATTTAGAAAAAAAAAAGTGAAGGAGGATCACCCCATGAGGCGTCGTAGGAGAGTCGTGGGGATTACCAAGGAGGTTTTATAAAACCTCCTTGGGGGATTCATAGAGACATACTGGAGTTATTTCTCTACTGTCTATGACTGTCCCGCAACTAACTTCCAAGTACAGGTATCCCCCGATTTACGATGGGGTTACGATCCTGAAAAACATATCGCAAGTCCAAATATCATGAATCAGAATCAGTATAACATGAGGTTCAATGGGCTACCTTCCCAGCCAGTGACACACCCACCTGTATCACCGAAAATAGGATTCTTACAATAATAATGTATTTATAAAACACAATTAAACAAAATTCACTTCATCATTAAGAACAAGCCTGGTCGTCATCACATGTTCCATTCAAGGCTAAGGGGACTCTTAAAGGTGGAGTGGAGATGTTCCTCTGACTCCCACACAGCTTCTGGAGAGTCAAGCTTCACCTTCAGAGACACTGTTTTCATGGGTGACAAATGAAATGTCACTGGAGTTTACCTTTATTGAGAGCTTCCTTAACAATCTTGGTGTTGGACATGAGAGCATGGAGAATATTGAGAGACATCAGACGGTTCGGCACCAGAGCTTGGGAGTGCAAAGCCAGCATTAAGTACACCAGCACCTGTAATAGTAAAATGCTGTACACTAACTTTGAATGGTTATGTTCAATGTTGCAGCAACTAATAGTTAGTGCTGGGTAATATAATCTAATGGTTGACTGATTTACAATTCAGCACCTTCTAATATGGTAATAATAATAATAATAATAATAATAATAATAATAATAATAATAATAATAATAATAATTATAATTATAATTATAATAATAATAATAATAATAATAATAATAATAATAATAATAATAATAATAATAATAATAATAATAATAATAATAATAATAATAAGATATTTAGTGTCAACAAAGTTACTACCTGTCCTGTAAGATGAAGTCATATGAGAGGACTTGGATGACAATACTGTATAGTATATGAAGAGGAACAAAGCTGGGAAGGATGTAAGGGGAGTGGTTGCTGTAATAAACTAATGATACCATGTGACTAAAATGGATGCCTCAAGCATCTACATAAGGAAGGACTCCAAATATGACTCATCCCATACCTCAGAGGAAGCAATATCACTGACACAGTCAGCATTGCCCGTCACTCCCTCAACCACAGCCAACACACTCTGTTGCACGGCCACACAACCCTCCAGACGAAGGAGAGAGAATAGCAGCCTGAAGTGACCTATACACTGCATCTCAACACCTGAAATATCAAAAGTCATGTTAAGTTCCATGATGATGATGCAGCCTAACTACCTCGAACTACAAAAACTAATTTACTTTTACAACAATTTGGTCATACTGTACTGAACTTTACTCCAAGATACAACAGGATAAACAAATATCTTTAATTTAATCCTTTTACGAAAGAACGATAAAGTGAAAAACAGAAATTTATGGCACTAAAAATATGATTGAAATAATGATACTGTATGTAACTATAAGCAAGGTGTAAGATTAAAGGTCAGTATTTACTAATTATTTCAAGAGAAAATATATGAATGAAAAATTAAATGTTAGTAAAATCAACCACATCAATATAAACAGTTAGTTGTTAACCATTAATAATGCTCTCAACTCAGTTTACAGCTGACCCCTTTCTTACTACATGGTTTAATACCTCCTAATATGTGCCACCCTGATATACAGTATATGTATAAGTCAGCTCAGGTATGCAGTAAGGAAAGGGCTGAAGGGGAAAATAATTAAAATTAACTCACTGTACAACCCTTGAATATCTGTGTACAGTAGCTTTTTTATAAAATTACCTTGATAACCATGTTTCTGATAGGGAATAAATTTGTCTTTTTTCAACACCTATCCCTTTAGTATTATGGGATTTCTTGAAAAACTCAATCAGAATGGATGATATTTTTACCATATTGCATGGAATTCAATTAATTTCAAAACTTACATGACAGCTGGGTTTGTAATCTTAATAATTTCGAAATAATATATATTACGGAGTCTTTCTGTCAATATTGGTAATATAAAACCAAGGACAGAAAACCACTTTGCAAGGGGGCAGGGAGAAAGAGGTATATTTTAAATATATTCCAGGTTCAAAGAAGAAAAGGTAATTGTAAGCCTCATTTGATAACCTGAGTTGATGACAATATACAAAAGTAAAGCTACACATAACCTGGTCAAAGAAGAAAGCCCTCACACACTTTGTTCACAGTAGTTGAGGCTATTTTCCACAATATTACAGGGTGGCCACAAACAGGAACACACACACACACACAAACACACCAATCATATTCTCATTTATAACACAGTAAAAGTTTTATGTTTCCTTATCTGTCAAATTAGTTTTGCATGAGAACCTACAATTTACAGTAAGTGCAGCAGGTCTTAAATATAACACACAATAATAAGTTAGTCACTACAAACAAACAAAGAAAATAACTACCAAAGCCCAAAAATTCTACCCTATTTTAATTAAGCATTGTACAGTTTCATTCAAGATTCTTTGAATACTGCTGGAGACAGCTGGCAACTCAAGACCGTTTGTATACTATAGTACGTCGTAAAAAATATGAATAAATGTAAGTGATCGGTGATTGGTTACTTAGTTCCCCATTGCTTAATTTACTGGTTGGGCTTTGTTGTTTCGTATTACTTGTATATTATAATACGTACTGTAGTAAACAAACAGCCTTGAGTTGCCAGCTGTCTCCAGCAATGTTCGAAGAATCTCGAACGAGACTGTACATTACAATTCTTAAAGAAAAATGTATCTGAAGCTTAAGTTAATGTTAATCTAACAATGCCAAAGCAAATGTCACACTGAAATATGTCTAATTGTCTATGGGCAACAAAAGTCTGTGAGAAGCAAAAAATACAGCAAACTTGAGTCACTTAGTGCATAAAAAAAAAAATTATTCATTAATGAACATTTGTTTATACAGTAAACATTTCAGTTCCCAACATATATTTAGATAAATGCAATAGTTAAAAACCAGCTGCTGATACAACTCTTTCACCATTGATGTTTTCATTATCATCTGGCAATAATTAAAAAAAATCTAATAGCAGTATTACAGTAAACCCTTGCCATTCATGGGTTTACGATTCGCGATTTCGACGATTTGTTGGAAGCAGCTGGCGGCTCGGGTGGGAAGCATGCGAGCCTTCTCCCTCAGCGCAACGAGTCACCCCACGCACCCGCAGCGTGTCATCCCGCTCTGTTTGCCTTCATCCAGTACCCGAGACCTAGTATCCCATGTCATACTCTCAAAACTTCGTGAGAATGGCCCCAAAAAGACTGCCTAGTGCTAGTGATGCTAGTGGAGTGAAACAGAAAAGGTAAAAGTCAGTGATGACCCTGGCAAAGAAAATTGAATTATTAGACAAGTTAATAGAGGGGATGAGTGCTTCCGCGGTTGACCGGTTGTTTGGTGTGAATGACTCCACAGTGCGGGACATAAGAAAGAATGAAAAAGCAATTCGTGATTTTGTTCAAGTGAGTGCTCCTGCAGGTGCTAAAGTGGCACAAATTGTTCGTGACAAGAACATTGTAAAAACTGAGAAAGCACTGAACATTTGGACTGAGGACCAGCACCGCAAAAATGTTCCGATCGACGGCAATGCGATTCGTGAAAAGGCTAAAAGTCTTTATGCTCATTTATACGAGTCAACAGGTGGTGAAGGGGCTAGTGGAGTGACTGAACCAACTTTCAGTGTCAGTAAAGGTTGGTTCGAGAATTTTAAGAAGAGATTCTCGCTCCAAAATGTTAAGCTGACTCGGGAGGCAGCATCAGCGGACCACACAGCCGCATGCACATTTCCCGCCAAGCTGAAGAACATAATAGAAGAGAAAGTCTATAGACCAGACCAAGTGTTTAATGCTGATGAATAGGGTTCATATTGGAAGAAATGCCTGGTAGAACATACATACACAAGCAGTAGTGGAGTGACTCTGGGTTCAAGGCAGCCAAGGACAGAGTGACGCTCATCTTCTGTGGCAATGCGGCTGGCCACATGATCAAGCCTGGCTTGCTTTACCGCTCAGCAAACCCTAGGGCTTTAAAGGGTAAAAACAAGAAACTTTTGCCAGTGTTTTTGCAGTCAAACAAAAAGGCATGGGTAACTGTGCAAGCATTCCTGGACTGGTTCCATAAATGCTTCACCCCGGAAGTGGAAAAATACCTTGCTTCCAAGAAGATGGAATTTAAGATGTTATTATTGATAGACAATGCACCAGGCCACCCAAAAAGTTTGCAGTTTAGCCATCCAGGTGTAGAGGTGGTGCTCCTACCCCCTAACACCACTGCTCTTATCCAGCCTCTCGATCAGGGTGTAATGCACACCTTCAAGGCATATTATACAAACCGCTCTTCTGGTCGTATCCGTAGTGCTATGGATGAAGACCCTGACCTTGATGTTACAAAGTGTCGGAAGGAGCACAGCATTGCAAGCTGCATTACCAACATCAGTGAATCATTCAATGAACTTAAACCAGAGACAGTGAATGCTTCTTGGCGCACTTTATGGCCTGAGTGTGTGAATAACTTTCAGGGATTTCCATCCATAGTGGGTGGTGAGGGGTTTGTGGACATGGCTGCTGAAGACATGGAAGAGCTGATTGATGGGCATGGAGAGGAACTTACAGAAGAGGATTTGGAAGAGTTGGTAAAAAGTGCCAAGGAAGATGAAGAGGAAGATATTTTGGAATTAGAAGAAGGTTGGAGCTTTGATAATTTTGGTGAACTACTGTGTCAGGTAAAGGTGGTAAATGATTTCATTGTTGACCACGACCCTTCCATGGTATGTATTGTTTTCTTATCAGGAAATGTTTAAAGAACTCAAAGCAAAGAGGATACAACTACCAATCACCATGTTTTTAAAGAAAGACCCAGCTAGTTCTACCACTGCCACTTCACCCTCCTCCTCCCAGTCACCAGCTACCTCATCACCCATCTCTCGGCCGCGCGCCACCCCACTACCCATCTCTCGGCTGCGTGCCACCCCACCACCCGCCTCTCCACCAACCACCATTGCATCACCCTCTTCCACCAGTGATCTTGATGATCCAACTATGCTTCATTAACCAGATGTCTCCCTATGCACAGTGCACCACTTCATCAACCTCCAGACTTCCACCTACGAATGTAAGTACAGTATTGTGACTTAAGTTTATCATGCACAGTATACAGTAGGTGTACCTGTATATTAGTGCACTAAGTATTATATAAGTTGCTATTCGTGGAACCTACCCCTCATGAATGGCAAGGGTTTACTGTATATATCTTCTGATTCCATGGCAACAAACACAACCATATGGCAGGTAACACTGATATTTTACTTGGCAAAAAAAGTATAATAAAAAGACTTAAAAGGACACAATAAAAGCATCCCATAATGACCAAATGGCAAGTAACTTCTGACAATCTGCTTGGCATGAAAATTACGACAGGAAGTTTTAAAAGGATGTGACGAAAAGCTTTCCTCAAACAGTACTTTACCAGGAGACCAAAACCAAATACTGATTACTGAATTTGAAAAGGCATGAGGTTGGTAATTGGTTCAGTGAAATAATTACTGCTAATATCTGCATTACTGAAATGTGACTTATGATGACAAGAACAATTGTAACCATGAAACCTGAAAATTCTTCATATTGTAAGAAAGAATAATTGTACCTATCAAAGATTTATTACCTAAATATCAAGTATTTTTTTAAGATTATTCCTAAATTTGAACACACTCAGACTTTGGGACATGAAACAGTACAAGACATACTTAATATAGGCATAATAACACACTAATATGAAACTTCTTGTTATATGGTACTTCATATTGCTTTTCCCCTACTTAATTTATAAAAAAAAAAAACCCAGTGAACTTTCCTTCTTTGCATTTATAATCTCATTTCCAACAGTGAAAAAAAAATCTTTATTTACTTAGTAGGAAGTCCAGAGTGCAACATTCTGGTAATTATTTCAAGTTACTGACCTAAGAGTTGAGAATCACACTGCCAACATCATCCTCACTTAAATCCAGTTAACAAAATATGCAATAAAAAGACAGGCACTACCAGTAAGTGGATGATTGACCTATAAAATATAATGTTTCATAAAGCTTGAGAAAAACATAAAAGTACAAAGCCATTTCAGCATCATAGATATATTGAACAATGACTAACACTGCTTTTTATGAAAACTTGTGCTGCATATTTTGTTCTGTACCAAGTTCTCATGGCCAAAAATACTAGATACAGTTCGCCTGTGTTTACTAACGTCATGCCTTGATCATTTAAATTTGTAAATATCAATGATGCGTTTCATAGTACCTGGTTCCCGCTCACCATCTAGGGATGCTATACAGTCTCGTCCTGCGGTTAATTACAAATGCCTTAAAAATTTTGACATTAATGCTCTGATCTGAATAGTGTCCCACGGTTGTATATAACCTGTCAGTCTTATTCACGTGCAAGAGTTACAACCCCAAAAAAATAAGAATATTGGCAATGACAAAATATAGGGCATCTCAAAAAATATATACACACACTGCCTTACAGATTTCAGTGGAGACTGCATGAATTCGTGTAATATAACAGGAATATTGTCCCTGCTTGTGGGAGACCTTAAACATTAACAAGCGAGGACAATGTAGCTGTTGTGATAAAAACATCCACAAAATCTCTACAAAACTCTGTAAGACATTGTGAATACATTGCTGTAATCTGAGACACCCTGCATATCAAAAGAATCTGCAATTAAAATCAACAATTAAAAACAAATAATCTGGTACTGATAATGATAAAAACACAAAGAATCCGCAAGTTTAAGTCAAAATTAATCAAATAAAAAAGAATACTGTAGTATCACAACTTATATAAAAATTAATGGTTTTACCTGCATAATTAATGGAAAATAAAGGAAAACAGTGTAATCTATGCATGCCTGGACATATAAGGTAGTGAATATGCTCTACCATATGCTCCTCACACTAGAAAGTCACTTCTTGTTATAGTATACCATATTTGCATGATTATAAGCCACCCTCATAGCCTTCGGTTGAGGCTATGGGAATAGAATTCTACCGCTGCATGTGAAAAAAATAAAAACAGCTAAAATCTTGCTTACTGATAATATTACTACCAGTAAATATTTATTTTTCATTAAGCAATGCATATCTGTGTGCATCATGTACACTATGGAAGTTGGAATTGATCAAGTTAGGTACCATATTTGGTGAATATACAGTACAGTACAGTACAGTACAGTACAGTAAAGTACTTTAATATTTTTTGTTGTTATATTGAAAACAAATATCAACAAAGCAAGAATTAAAAACAAATCCAGTGAACATTAGTAGTGTACTAAATATTCACACTCCATTATCAAACATAACATCAATATATTATGAACAGTATAAAATAGATTTATATTAAAGTACAGTAGAGTGTATCTTAACATCTGTTAAGAGTGTATTGAAAATACTATACTGCAGTTATTTTTGGAATACTGCATATTAATACTTTTTTATGATATGTGCTTAGAGGAAATATGGGTGTGATTTAACCTACACTCAGTGTGCTGTTTATCATCATTCTGTAAACATTGTCACTAATATTTTTTGTATTTTATCCACAAAATCTCTGACACACTGCCACCTTAATGTCAGGATAGCTTAAAGACAGAAGAGCAAGTACTGAATCCCATAATCATGGTAAGTTGAATTTCTATATACTGCACAATACTCATTACAATATAAGATGTGCATTTTGAAGGTGGGGAATGGGGGAAAAGAAAACCCTCCCATTATGGGAATCCTCCATAATGGACTGGGCTTGCACTAATTAGTCCTGTGTTGAGAGGATTTACTGTATCTGAAGGATTAAAAAGCCATCCTTATACCTTCTTGATCCAATTACATAAAATTAGGATAATATTAGACTGATGGTAATAACCTATAACTGTTTGCTTCCTTAACCTCAATATGGCAACATGTACAGTAATGTGTGGCTTATAATCATTCAAATAAGGAAATAAAAACTGAAACTTCAGTTAAGCATAACTTGGACTGATGAATGATATATTCATACTGAATAGCTGTCAGCTTTGATTATTAACTGGTCACCCCTGAGGTCCAGTGAGGGCCATCACCATGGATCCAGTGTTTATACGGGGAACAAACTGGAGAGCACAGAGAAAACCTGCCGTGTTCAGTCGGTCAGACAGGACAATATCCTTCTCACAGCAGATCAGATCCAAGTGGTATTGGGATGATAATTTTTTTTCCCAATGACTTTCAAAACAAGAGCAAAAATATAAAAAGCTAATAGCACTTGAATAAATATCTACAAAGCACCATAACTAAAAAAGTGAGAGTTTCATTAAGTCATATAATATAAAAACAAAGCAATAAATCTTAGAACTTAAAACTCATGCAAATTGAAACAATACAAGGAAAAAGCTCTTAGATACCCAGTAGTGTATCAGAAAATCCTCATTACTTTACACTGAGAACAGATTGAGAGTTTACACGCAGCTAAAGAGTGTATATAATGACTATGAAGACAAAAAGCCACTTCTCCATAACTCTCAGTTACCATTAACCTTTACCTGGGTTGTTTTTTATGACATTGACAAGTGCTCGGAGCGCTTCCCCTACACGGGCAAGTCGAGGATTGGAGACTGGGGCGGCAGAGAGAGAGAGGAGGGAGTGGACATATTGGGTTTCTCCACCAATGTACTGGAGAAGCTCGAGGGTCAGTTCCTTTGCCTTCTGTTTGGGATAATAAATACCTTGATGAGACAGTCGCTAATAGGTAAAGTACATTCATTAATTTAAATATACATATAGTATTAATAATAAATACTTATATAAACAAGAGATTTAAAGCCATAAAAATATTACCTAGGTAATTACTTTTAAACTTATATTATTAAGTTAAACACTGTGAGCTTCCTTGAGAATACCAATCTTCCAACAAACTTTTTCTAAGGTTATTAACAAAATAATAATATTTACTAAAATATATTTTTTATTTTCTAAAACATAAAATTTTACGAGTGTATTTTAATTTTCTAAAATAAACTTTTACTCAAAAAATATGCAGTGCATTTAGCTGAAACATACACTCAGAACATTGCATTTTCCTACCATATATTTATGTATAACTAGAAATGTACCACTCAGCCTTTAACTTCAAACACACCATTGGAATATAAATTTTCCAGCATAACTATAAGTGTAGCACTCTTATAGAAAGTAAAAAGGTTGGCCTAAGGTGACATTATTTACTACTACAAAAGTTTTCTAAGGAGGGGATGACAAGAAGGAAAGATTAGGGAATGACAAGGTGAAATTGGAAGCGGAAAAAGGGGATCAAAGGAAAAAAAGAGACACATCAAAGGTGCTGCTATACGATGGCTCTCATGTGTGAAGTAAGGACAGTTGTAAATAATACATACAATTTCATACGCAGTGAATTATGGATTTTAATAATATATTTTGTAACAATATTTAGGGGATTAAAAGAACAAACTTAAAAATTTAAGAATAGAGAACTAATATTCATCAATGTGTTATGACCATTTTGTACACATTTTACATACTTTAGAGACAGTAATGATCTACTACCTAAACCTAAGCCACTATGAAAAAATAAGAGTTGTACCTGTATGTGAAAAAAAAAACATGACTATGAATTATTTTTAATGATTACAAAAATCATCTACAGCTCTGAAATGGATCTATTGTGATAGGTGTTTCTCTTATGACTCCACATAGCCTGGGGTTCTTACCTCAACAAATAGTAGTTAACACAGATCATGCCACATAGTGAAGAAAAAGAGCAAATTATACTGTATAATTAAATAACAAAATCAAATGACAACATGAGCACATTCATCAACCAAGTCTTAAAAGTTAAAAGCCTTCAAAAGAATTTGATTCTCAATGATAGTCATGCTTTTTTAAATATTCACTTATTTCTTAAACATCTAATATCTATTACACTTGTTAAGAATCAAGTAATAATAAAAGTATGAATAAGTGAACTCTTGAGACCATTAATAAATAGGAGTGTGAGTGTTAGAGCAATATATAAGAGCACTGTAGGATTATATAACAATAACCACAACAACTTAAACTTATCATTCATTTACTATAAAGTAATTCTAATGTAATTCTCATACTGTAGTGCATATTAAAGCACATGCTCCAAGCATGGCCAAGAGGTCTGACTCTTTCACCTGTAAATTGATGAACTGGCCTCGATCACATGGATGTGTACTCAGATCCTACCTTGAGCTCAGACAGAGCACCACTGCAACTGTGCTCTCAGAGGTGGATCATCTAAATACAGTCTACCTCGAGATAACTGTACATAATAGAGTTGCAACAATAAACCAAAAATGCTCAGCTGTGTTTCATATAATTTCCACCACTTAAAACTGTCTTGCCTAACCCAGTGACTGGAAAAAATAACTATGAACATTACTGTTAAGCAAAGGGTAAGGATCAATAAGAACATTAAATAATTGACTGGAACATGAATGTGGAAGAAAGTGAATGAAGAAGTCCTTGTTCCAACTCTTCATATATGGATGTGAAATACAGTACTACAGTACTGTTTCAGACTAGCAATAGATCAATGCTAACAGTAAATATTTAGATTTTTATGGGTATTCAAAGAACTGACACGGTAAAGAATAAAGATGAGAAAACTTTGTAATGTTAAAACACACCAGAAAGCCAAATGAATGAGAATTAATTGAGTTGGTATCAACATAAGGAGTGCAAGGCAAGTGAGAGATTGGCACATGCCTAAAGGTATGAGAGCAATAGAAAGAAAAAAAAGAGTAAGACAAGCTATATAGGTATACCATATATGAAAGGACAGAGACAAGCAAATGTCAAAAGAAACTGAAAATTTTCATGCTTGAAGACATCTTTTGTTTTAATTTCTATATTTATGAAATACAGTAAAATGATTTCCATAATTACCTGTATTGGGAATGAAGGCTGCTCATTGTATATTCTGATAAAGACTCCTCCAATTATGAGTTCATCCTTGTGTGCTTCAAATTCAAAGGTTGCCCCATATTCTGGGTCTGACTGGCCAGTGCGCACGTGAGCTTGCTGATTAGTAGCGAGGAAGTCATTGAGCTGTGAGCGGGTTCCATTGTCCCAGATGAGGTATGGAGTTTCTACATTACTGGTCAGGATCTTTAACACCTGTAATGTTTGAAACATATATTACTTATTCTATATGTGGTATTATAATACACATAAGAAGAGTATTAGGCTTCACCTCAGCAGTGATTACAGTATTGTTCTTTCAATTATACTTGCTTTAGTGGGATACCTTTTACTCTCCAAAGGTTGCCTTCAAAAACTTTTGGTTCAATAAAAAATCAAATTGCTAATTTTCTTTTTAGAGTAAACAAGTTACTTTCTTAATTAAAGATTTTGTTTTACAAAAAACAATCAACATCCCCCAAAGAAATACTCAGAAACAAACTGTACATTTCAAATTGGTGAAGGCATACAGTACTGTACAGTACTCTAAAAATAGCTGTGAAAAACTGATCAAAACTATGAATAATAGCTCCAGTACTATACCGTACATTAGCCGGATGTCTAAATTTTAGAGGATCTTACATTTTTACAATACAGAAATAATACCTTGTCTATATTCTTATGTAACTTGCATTTACCTCTTCTGATGAGTTGGAAGAGATGAGGGAAACAATGTATGGGGTGAGCAGCTTCTGGAGTACTCCCTGTATCACAGTGTTGGCTGGGGTAATTTTGTTTTCTTCAGTAAAAAGACCAGCCAGGCGACCACAAGCATACAAAGCTAACTTGGCTAAGCGATTGCTCAGTTCCTGAAAGTAAAAAAAGATTTTTAGGAATACATCTATTACACAAAAAGAGAGAAACCTGTACAGTATATATACTAAAAGTGAAAAACTGTTAAAATCTGTATATGATCCTAAACAAATTAACTGGAGGAAGCATCAACTTGGTCAGGAAGAACAAAACCTATGCTCAAGTATGCTGACATTAGCATTGGTTTTGATCTTCTTGACCAGGGTCAGGTTATTTATGAAAGAGGCAACATCTGAGGTTAACCAAAGATATTCATTATTATATAATATTACCTGTTGGTTAGAATCTTCACTCTTGCTGACACCTCCTTCATCAAGGGTGTAGTCATAGTTAAAGAGGAAAAGTAACAGGTGCCACAAGATACCAGCTTGAAGTAAGTTCATTTGAAGAATTTGATCGATGGCCAATGCTGACACGCACTCCACACCCACCGAGCAGACACGCAATAAAGACTGGTGGGGCAAAAGAAAATGTTATTAATGTTTCCTTTTAAAATTCAAAACACACATCTATGCTAACCACATAGATTTCAAATTACTGTATGTTGTAATCAATACCACTCAAGGATGTAAAAACCTTAGTACAGTACCAAATAAGCTAGCTACATATTACAGACCGAGACCATGTGCAATTTTAGCCTTTATGGATCACCTGATGATTAGCGCCAAAAATGCACACTTAAAGCTTTGTCCCCCCCCCCCTCCAAGTGATCTATAAAGCTAAAATTGCCGATGATATTGTTTGTCGTCTCAACTACATCACTGATGTGAAACAAACACAAAATAAATAGCTAAAGACAATGGCAAAATTCAAGCTGAGAATGGTTATTCAGCTAAAGGCAAAGCAACTTTGAATGGAGCTTTCTGCAGTGGAGTCTGTTAGTTTAAGCATGAGGAGAATGCACCATTCTCACCAATTTTTTAACCAAATGCCATTATTAATAAGACATGCTCAGGTAACTGACATGTTTTTTTCTACCACTTCTAGAGTTAAGCCACACATACTTTAAGGGTCTGCAGGTTGCTGATAACAAATGGATGCAGGGAAATACCACAAAGTGATGGGTTTCAGGTAAAATGGATGAGTACAATATAGGAGAGGGATATTACATGCACCAAAGCATGTACAATATGGCATCAACACATTAAATGTTTAAGGGGTAAATAATTTTTGAAGGCATGAATTGTAATAATGTGAAAAGAAAAAATGAGAAGAAAGAATCTTTGAGGATGCACACAATTGCAGAGAGTAATGTATTGGGTAAACTGATTATAACAGTTCATCCCCAGTTTGTGCAAAGGTTCACCTTCATCAGGAAGAAGACTCTAATACAGAGCAAGGAATAAAAAAGCGAACAAGAAGAAAATGATGGCTTGTTGAGATTACAACAGTATTTATGAAGAAGATATTGAAAAATGTGTTGAAGACAGATGATATCACATAAAGTAAAATAAGGGATGAATGTGATACCATTAGGTCCTGAAAACAAAGTGTGACACACTAGACCTTCACCTTGTACTGTATTACCTGTACTAGTGACTATACAGTATCATGAAGACATATGATGGAAAGATGGTCTTCAAAGAACATATGGCAAATCTCTCAGTAATATAAATAACTAATAATGTATTCAGCACCACAACCTTTGGAGCATGACTATTTTACCTGACCGTATAAATAATGTATAAGATGGCATATGGCAGCAAGATATCACATGTATACATCTCCCAAAAATTAAACATGTATTATATTTTCAAAGGCCCTAAATCTCTATGCTAAAATATTTAAATCATTTGTGTAAATGAACTTGTTTTAGCTCTAGAAAATTAATGATCTGTCAAGTTTCAAGAAAATCTATCCATCCTGTTAACCTCCAAACGTCGGACTAGGAGAATTTTCATTGCCCCTCACAGACGGGCTAATTTAGAAAATTGAAAAAAAAATCTAATGGAATTGATATAAACGGTATATATCATTCGATTGGATGTCATATAGATTGCAAATATTGCAATAAAAATCTCCCTCTCACTCTCCTTTGAGTATAAAAAGGCAGTAAAATAATAGCCATGACATCATCGAATGTAGCAATGTTGTGGGATCTAGCGGTAATGGCTGCCTCCCTACACGTCACCCATTTTGTAATCTTTTCCACAAACACCCAGAAGGTAGAAAACCAATTTTTTTTTATTGCAATATCCCCAGTAGGCCTAATCCACACTTTTTTTTAAATAAAATTTATATTTTCAGGGCAAACTTAACAGAATACTGTAGAATGTTATAACATGAGAGTTGCACTAACTATGAAAAGAACAAACAAATGTCCTCTCAATAATATTTTAGTGACACCATGTGTACTGTTGTACCATTCATGGAAATCATTTGTTTCTTTCGCAATCATATTTACTATATCTATGGTCATGATCTGTAAAAAATAATCGACATATTTACTGTCCTCTGGAAGCCGATAATTCTGACACAGGCCTGGTGTCGGTGGATCAAAGTCGGGAATGTTTGGCACAAAATTTCTCCCATCACTCTGAACAAAGGCAAAATTGGTACTATCCTGAGGTATAGTAGTAGCTGGTGGTGAATCAGAGTCACTTACTTGGGTACTATTAAAGTCACTTTCCTGGGTAGCAGGCTCAGCCATTGTTCGTGTTAGTGCGTCGCGTGGTATAGACCGGCGTTGCCAAGGTTCACTTTCCTCCATCGAGAAATTACTTATATCTTCATAATGTGGTTCCCACTCACTGTCACTGTCACCACTAGCATCGTCCAATTCTTCCATCCTTCCCAACTCGAAATCAATTTCTTCAGTAGAAAGGTTTTTCTTTCTTCTATATCTTTTTTCACACGATGGCCCAGGCTCTGCCGACAGTGGTAGCACTGCTGCACTCACAAGGGGAGAGGCAGGAGCAGAAGTTGTATCTCCTTCCTCCATGACTCTTTGCAACGCACTGAGGCATACTGTATGGTGATTGACTTATCTAATAGGCTCGAGGGGTTGCTGAGGAGACACCTGGCTGGCTAAATGTGGAAATTTTTACCTGGAACATTTGAAAGATGCCTCGTTGTCTCATGCCCACATCCGGCGTTCGTTTTTGGATCATCATGTGACAATAACCGTCGTTTGAGGTTTAAGAGTCACCACATTCATATAAAAGATGGGTTTGGATACAAATATTCAACGCATGCAATTTTAAAATTTCTTGTGGACTGTTGACAACTATTTATTTACCCTTGAAGGCGACAGTCAACTGTAGTTACAGTCATTGAAAAAAGTTTCCCCTTCTTCCAGTCAACTTCCATTTTCTATGAATCCCATGGAGCACACTAGACCCCAGTACATGCTGCCATCTCTAGGCGCCCACCATAAACTTAAGTGGATAAACGTATCCCACACCAGCTGGTACGTATGTGGTGATGTAAACAAACTGCGCCAAAATTTCTTTCACTTTCTACATTTTCAACATAACTTAAAAAATTTACAGACAGCTTATCATCATAATAGTCCTTGTGGATGTATAGTGTATATAATACTGTTCCATACAACCAGATACAGTATAGTGCTAATTAGCAGGGTTTTTGATGACAAATACTGGCAGGGTATTTTCATTTTGTTTTCATGGTAAAATTACATCACTTGAGTTTGGCCATGATAGGGTTAAATACCATCTTAGGTGTTGTGCCACAGGATGTACAGTAGCCCACAGGCATAGTGTTCCACCCCTCGGTGGCCTTTCCAAACATGTGGCACAGTCAGAATCACTTTATGAATAAAATACTGTATTACCCCAAAAATATACTGTTGGCAACTGCTCACCTCACGTTACCGATTCATTCATAAAGTGATTCCAATGGTGCCACATGTTGAGAAAGGTCACTGAACTGTACATACGAAAATTCATTAAAACCACAATAGAAATGAAGGAGCCAGACAAACACTTTCTATCACACAGGCTTTCTCACTGTCAAGAACAAAAAAGCAAGTAAACACAATAACTTAAGTCAGTTTTGTGATTATGTTCACTTTAAATATTATAAATAGTATATGATTTGACAAATGAGGGAGACTTTACAAAGAGTAGGTAACAGCTTTTCACTGTTAAATGTATAAAATGTTGCGGGAGATACAATGTAAATGAAGATGATATAAACATTCCTGACTGTAAGCCGGGGAATTCCTGGAAGTACAGGTTGTTAGCATTATTTATTTTTAATTTTTTGCTTCTTAGAAAATCGAAAAAGCAAACATCAACCCAAATGTTTATATTTTGAGCACTACATTAAGAAATAAAATTACTCTGACTCACTTATTTACATATCTTTGGCTATTTAATAGTCATATGAAAAACTATGTTGGCAAACTACGAATGTTTTGCTCGAATCTAAGTTTGGTTACTCATCTTCCTGCTTGAATTTAAATTACAGAGCAACCAGTTGATGACCAGTCTTCACCATTCAGACAGGCCACAGCTCTTGAACCAAAACAACCTTATGAAAGAGGACATGAATAATGGTGGGAGTGTAAAGGTTGCTGTGTGGACAAGAAAGTGGTGCGATGTAAATCATATGAACTTTGTATTGTAAGGGCCACAGGAGGACCCGGTACCAACTTTAACGAGAGACATGTACAGTATGAGGAGACTAATAATGTTCAATGGGAAGCCAGTTTTCTTAGTTTAAATAAATCTTTATCAATTTACATTTGTTGACTGAATGGCTACTGTACCTTTTAACAACCAATAATGCTTGAACAAACTTGAACTATTCAGTCTTAACCTATATGCTTGTCAACATTTGCACCAATTGTTTCAGTAGTTCTAAATAAGTTGGAGGTAAATCTTTAGACCTAGTTGTTATGGAAATCAAACTGCTGAAGAGGCCATCTAGACCATAAAATCACTGTAAATTTATCAAATGCAACATCCATATCAGGTCTGATTTAAATTAGCACAAAATTACAGAATTCGGAAATAGACCAAAGACATGAACACAGGGCCTGAAAGAATCCTAATACATACTCATAAATGTACTGGTATAATTCAACTGGCCACTTCAGAGAATCAGTTTTAACACTTGAAATCTATCTACTGCAGACACTAAGTCAAGTTCAGTTGGTCTGACTGACAGTTCACAAGATAGCAAATGTTGATTGACAATATGAAACAAAATATAAATGACACAACACGACAACACCTCAGCCAGTAGAACAAACCACTAAACACAATACTGTACCTAATTACACTACAAAATTGCTAAAATGAACAAAACTGAAAAAAAGTAAACTGCATATTGAGACTGAACTCAAAACAGGAGAAACTGTTTAAGATTGGATGGTTTACAAGTGATGAGATAAACCTTATACAGTTTTAAAAGAGACAAGAGTTATTCCCAAAATTCAGATTAAAAAAGGTGAAGGTGGGAGTACTTTCGTCTTCGCATAGCAAAATAAAGGCAGCCATAAATGAAACACATAAAAGGATTGAAAATAAAATAAAAAACAAAAAATAACAAGAGAAGAGGGCAAAGTGAGGATGATAAGTAAGAACATTGAGACAATAATATGGGCTGCAGGTTTACATATTATGATGGCAACAGATCCTCCGACCAAGTGTTCAAAGGTCAGTACCAGAATGACTATAAATTTGCAGTATGATACAAGCAGATCATTATACAGGAAATGGCACTAATTCTTTGAGGTTATAACTGGGAAACTCTAAAATGCAAAGAGATTACTGATCTCAAGAGACTGAAAATTTTTAGTAAAGGATATTAACCCGAGTGATGAAATACATTAAAAAGAAATTAGAATTTAATGATGCTACTAATACTCAACTAATATTGTTGCAAACCTTGATTTTCATGATACTATGCATATAAATAATAATAGCAAAGATACCTATTATTATATTGTTTAATTTGCAATCAAAGCAAAATTAGATAAAAAGCATTTTATATTTGTGATAAAAGAACTCTGCAGTTGTTATATCATCCACCAAAAGTACAGTACAGTATGCAGCATAAAACAAAATGTTTTAGTAGTCCAAAAAACAAAAACAAAAATTGTCATATCAAGGCAGCCAATCCATCAAAGCCAACTGTAGATTTGGGCAAAATATAGAAGGTAACAAAATCAACATAAAAGCTTTCTGTATACAAGTGTATGGCTGCAAAAACTTCACAAAAATATAAAAAAAAGTGTAAAAAGAGAAGCTTGGTAACCCACCCTCACCTTAAAAGAGAGCATATGACACAGATCCTTGGTAAACTGGGTCATTTCTAGATCCTGTGGACGCATGTGGGACAACACAGTAGGGGGTCACAAATAGTATAGTACAGTACAAACAAATCTTTAAGTTTTCCTGTTGCGTATACTCAAGTCTAATTTCATTTTTTATCCCACATCATATTAACAAAAGACTTTAGATCTGTTCTGGCAGATTTTCACTACATATCTGATCCACTTGATATGAGTTAAAGACTTACACTTCTTCTGAGAGAATTTTTCAATGTTTCCAATCTACATCACATAAGACTATCTTCTGAAGGGTGAAGCATGTCATTCAACACTTAATGTTAGAGAAGGAAACCTGCACTTACAACTTATTACCACCCTTCCATTTTCTTCTATAAAGTAACCATGACTATAACATCTTAAACACTAGGAAAGATAAACAAATCAAATTACCAAAACAATTATGTAAAAAGATAACAATAAAAAGGTGAAGCACATCACTTATGATTACTGATATAAAAAAAAATTTCATAAGGACAAATTAACATCGCTAAGTGGAATTAGTATGGAGGATTATAAGACCAAAATTGGAAAGATCAAACCTTTCATGAAAGATAAGCAGCTCAGTGGAGGAGAGTGATACATTACAGTACATTACATTACAGTACTGCAATCCTGACACTACATATTTGTAACCTACCAATCCAGTGATAAACTATTCAAGTCCCAAGCATGACTCATCACCCATGCAGCCTACAAAACTGAGGTGTATATCAGACACAAATGGAAAAGAACATCCTTTAACAACGAAGGATCTCTCTCCCCTTATTATCTGTTTATCCACTAAAGTTCTCCATACACTCACCTATATTACCAATGAGTTCTCATGAGTGTTGAAATTAACACAAAAAATTAAATAAGATATAAGATAAGTCTGAAACAAAGCAGTAAAGAATAAGTTTGAAAGATGAAGCATTGTACACCATAAAAAGATCATGTGCAGTGACTCTGCTTCTAAGTGGGAAGGGGAGACCGTACAGCATTCATTCTTTATATGAAAGATAGGAAATACACAGATTTTCACTCCATCTCTAAACAAAACTAATTATTACCTTAAAGTACAGAGTGTGGCACAGATCTTTGATGAAGTGTGACATCTCGATGAGCTTTTCTCGGCACATGGGGAAAGAGGCAGCTGCTGTGTAGCATCGCGCTATGTTTGTGCACACTTGAACTGCAACGTCACCGGGTTTACTGCTGGCATTAAGTACACTTACACACCTGTTATAGGCACCTTGCAGTACCTGAAAGGAATGAGAAACATTATTCAGTATATCTATCTTCCTGAAATTCTTAAATTATTTGCATTTCCTTTTATTACAGTTTCCATGACTACCACAGTTTTTTTATACCATACCTTAGTTACTTAATGGCCATCCAACTAGAAGTGGCCTTGCCAAGGGAAGGAGGCCAGTGCATGTAGAAACTAATAAACAGTAAACTCTCTCAAATATAGACTTCCCAATACAGTACCAGATATTCCCAATAACAGATGTCTTTTTGTCTGGTACAATTAGTGGATTCAGCCAGTAAGATGTGATATTGGTAGCACTATTTGCTATTGACCACATGGTCAGTTGGTGCAGGTTGGAACTTGCTAATTCTCACTTACCTTAGTTATTACAGCTAGTGTGTAATATGAACATAACACTCCAATTGCCAGTAGTGTACGGTATTGATCCATACAGTGATATCCCCATTAGCCGGAACAATTGGTGCAGAGCACTTCCGGGAATGAGAGATTTCCGGGAAACGAAACGACTCTCTCAAAACCGGAAAAAAATTCCTCATCCCCAAAATTTCCCGGGTAACGGAAAAATGTTCTCTGAAGTTCCAGAAATTGCCCATTGCATTATATCTCGAACCCGGAAAAATATCCCTCATCCCCGGAATTTTTTGGGTATCGGGAAAATTTTCTCAGAATTTTCCGGAAAATGTGCCCCTCGGAAAATAGTTCCCAAAGCCAGAATTTTCTGGAAAATTCCGGCTTTGGGAACGATTTTTTGAGAAAATTTCAATTCCGTACTGTACTGTTTCAGTACTTAGTTACATTTTGCTGCAAGATAAATAGTTAACCTGCAGGTGATCTCACATTTAAAGATAAAACCATCTTCAGACAAGAAAGGCTACCTAACTCAATCTGAGGCCTTACTGAGATAAGGAGTGGTTCTGTGCACACCATGCCCAATACAGTAGTGCCCCAACAACCCTGTCTGGTCATAGTCTTAATCTCATATTTCAGGGACAGGGACATAATGTTTGTGTGTGTTTGGCATCCCGTACTATTGATCATTGTCACTACTATCTTTAGGTGCATCATCTAGCTCTATGAATATCAACCCTGAGACATAATAATTCCCACTGAGAGAACTTTCAGCCCTGCTTGAGATGAAGCAGCTGGTGTCCACTAGTTATCTTTGTTCCTCTATATTTTACTGCTTTTAGTATCATATAATTTTAAATCTCACCTCCAGGCCCTTTTCTCTTCTCAGTTCTTCAGCATTTAGTGAAGAGCAGTTGATAGTGTGGTAGGTGAGCTCAGCAGCTGCAGCAAGAAGTGATGTTTCCTTGCTAAAGAGCTGCTCATCATCTGCTTCTAACTGAATGGTCTTGATAAGCATTGGATAGCCAGAATATTTATATGGTGCCAAAACTGTGAATAAAATTTTATATTAGTACTTTTTAAATACCAATGAAATAATTACTAAAACTTTCATGCAACAAAAACAGGTAAAATTATTGTTTCAGTCATTCACCAATTTGGAGGTTGAAATTAACTGTTCAAAACACATAAAAAAACCATCGGAAAAACATAATTTCAACCTAACCTAACCTAACCTCCTGGATGACCAAAACGACAACAATACCCACAAACAAAATTTAGTGTGAAATGTGAATATGTAATAAACCATCAAAGAATGATATAAATTTTGTGATCATAAGTAAAGTCACTACAGAGAGTCACAATATGATATTGATCTCAAAAGAGAAGATCCAATTAATGCAAAGACTCAAAGGGTGGATCAATTATGAAAAAATATGATAAATAAAATCAGCTATACAGTGATGAACAAATTCCAAACACTGAAATGTAATTTCACAGTTGGTTCTTATTTGCTTCTCTCTGTTGCAAAATATGAGTGACCTAGTTATTATACCCCTTGTAACTACAGCTCCTCCCCGACTTACGACGGGGTTAGGGACCCAAATCCAGGTCATAAGTCAAAATGGTCCTAAGTCGAAAATGCTTAAATAATACATAAAAAATCTAAAATGGGTGTCTCTATTTCTTCTCAACACCACAAAACTCTCACTTTTAAGCTTGCCAGCCATTTTAAAGTGAATTACAAACAAAAATTTTCTCTGTATACTGACGTTGGGACTCGAAAATACGTAATTTGACAAAATTTTGGTACAACTGAGGCAGGTCGTAAGTGCGAGTGGTCGTAAGTCGGGGAGGAGCTGTATGTACAGTACAGTAATATACATGAGGACATCCAGTTGTATAAAGCAGTTACTTACAGTAAGACACCTCTCTCAATAAATTCAATTTACAAAGTTTTACACAAGATCTTATGTTTATAATATCTCTGAAAATTTTAAAGTATTACCTTCCTTGTATCGTGAGAAGAGAATGCTTTGTGTTCGGATAACTAGCAGGATATTCTTTGGGTCGGGTCCATCTACTGCGTGCGCTGACCGACTACATAGGAATTCGTAGGCTTTGTTCACTCGCTCAAATTTATCCTATGACAAAAATTAAATGAAAAAGTACTTAAATCAAAATTTTAAATAGATAAATGTACATAAAAATTTAATAATGATAAGTCTTTATATAATATCTAAAATAAATTTTTTGGTCTAATTTTCTTGAATCAAATTGAGCATTTTCTTCATATTAAATGATTTAAATGAATATTTATATACAAAATACAGTAACCCATTAAATCAAATAAGAAGACCCAGGCATCTAAACTTACTCTTGATTTTCCTTAAAAGCAAAGATGTGTAATGCTGCCATATCAATAACCATTTACTGTTTATAATGTTAAAGACAAAATTAAATGCAAGTGTCCATTACCCTTCCATCAGGATTCTTATCTGGATGGTACTTCTGGGCAAGTCTGAAGTACGCCTTTCGAATCTTAGCATCATCGTGCCGAGAGTCATGTTCAAGGCCTAACTCATGGTAAGCATCATCGACAGTCATTGATGATGGCTGCTTCTCTACTTCACTCTGCCACGCTGCTAAAACTCTCTTCAGAAGTGCAACCTGTTAAACAAAACAATACTTCAGCATTCCAATAAAATATAAATTCACCAAATATCTTACTCTTATGATACATGTACCCTGTACTATACAGGACAATATACATAATGGTCATAATACCACAAAAAACAATACAACACGTCCTTCAAATTCGCGGGAGTTAGGTTCTCAAAATGACCGCAAATTGCCAAATCCGTGAATAAAATTTGCTAACCGGAGGGAGTTACATTTTTACTTGTGTACAAAGAAATGTATACAGCTGCTCCCCGACTTACGAAGGGTTAGGGACCCAAATCCAGGTCATAAGTCGAATTGGTCGTATAAGTCGAAAATGCTTAAATAATACATAGAAAATCTAAAATGGGTGTCTCTTTTTCTTCTCAGCACCACAAAACTCTCACTTTTAAGCTTGCCAGCCATTTTTAAGTGAATTACAAACGAAAATTTTGTCAGTACACAGCGCAATCACTAATGTTGGGACTCGAAAATACGTAATTTGAAAAAATTTTGGTATGACTGAGGCGGTCGTATGTCCGGGTGGTCGTAGGTTGAGTATGTCGTAAGTCAAGGAGTAGCTGTATTCCCTTTGTGTGTTTGGCCTTAGGACAATTATTTCTTTTACCTGTATTGTATATATGTGTGTGTGAGTAGACACACACACACTAAACATATAAATAAATAATAATGGGAAAATCCTCTCAAAAGTAATCAGAAACAAATGTATTAAAAAATTTTTAATCTACCCTCAAGTCCACTCCATGCTTTATTAATAACAAGGCACAGGGTCGACTTGAGGGTAGACTCAACATTTTTTAATACCTGTACATTTGTTTCTGATTATTTGTGAGAGGATTTTCCCATTATTATTTATTTGTATGTATTTTGTGTATGTGTGTCTACACACACACACATATATACAATACATGGTAAAGGAAATTACTGTCTCAAGAATGAATGGCTCCCTGTCCCAGCAGCAAAAATGCCGATAACTTTAAAACCACCCTTAGACATTCTTAGGTACAGTCACCCAAAAAATTCCTGTCGCGAACCACGAACCCCGAGATTCAGACTCGTGAACCCGAAGCAGTAGACACTGATACATTATTCTGTCCATAAATGCTTCGGATTTAAGAGTCTGAATCTCGGGGTTCATGGTTCGCGACAGGACTTTTTTGAGTGACTTTACATCCAGGGTGTCATATGCGAACAGTCGAGGTCTGCGAATTAACTATCTGTAAATTTGAAGGGCATGTTGTATTCTACCAATACTCTCCTAGATAGAATATAAATAAATTTCATCATTTTCTAGTTAACAAAAACTGAAACAAGATTTTTATTCTGAGCAGCCAAATCATGGCAACTGTACTAAATTTTCAACACAAGCCACTACAATATGTGCAAACAGTAACTCAGGCAATGCAATATTTGTAATATCTCCGTTAGCTGGAATCCTTCTTAACCAGCACTCTCCGATAGCCGGAATTTAAATTTTCTTGGAATTTTTTTTCCAAAGCGGGAATTTTCCACTTTGGGAACTATTTTCTGTGAGGCACATTTTCTAGAAAATACCGGGGATGGGGGATATTTTTCCAGGTTCGAGAGATGATGTATGTGCAATTTCTGGAACTTCCAAGAACAGTTTTCCGTTACCCGAAAATTCCGGGGATGAGAGAATTTTTTCCGGTTTTGAGTTGAAACAACTCTCTCAAAGTCGGAAATCTCGAATTTCCGGAAGTGCTCACACCAATTGTTCCAGCTAACGGAGATAACCTTGAACCATTCCAAGAAAAATCATGTCAACTACGACAAACAACTTTTGAATTCAGATTACCACTTGTTAGTATATTCAATAACTTTCAAATAAAGGTATAGGTAAGACATAGACATTGAAGAGTATTAGAAAGATTGAGACTACAATGGTTCTATCTTAAAAAAGCTCCAGTTCAAGAAAATCTGTATCCTAAATGGTACTTACAGGATCTTTGATGGGCCAATCTGGGAAGCGTTCCACATCACTTAAATGTTTCAAGTAGTAAATGTCACAGAAGAGCTCATGTTGTAGCTGAGGGTACGTGATATGAGGGATAGCACAGTACTGGTAAAGGGCCCTTGTGTTGCTCATCAGCCGTGGGGTGAAATCTGCTAAGTGTGAGGCCAATTTTTCAATCATATGTCTACGCATTTCATTACTCCATATTACCTGTGGAAGTGAAGTAATTGATGCTACCACCACAAAGGAAAGGGTATCTATTATGAAAAGACACAATTATTTCACATTACAATGTACAATGTACTGTATTTCAATATATATATTCTTTTTTTACCTCAGGTGTGTCAAATTCTCCCAAAAAGATCTCTGCAAACTTATCAGCACCATAATTCTCAAGATAGCACACCATAGCTTCTGGCAGGATCTGGCCCAGAATGCTTTGTTGCATGATGTCACCTCCAGAGTTCTGTTGTAACATGGCAAGTGAGAAGATTAACAGATGGCCCACAAATAAGTAAGATCTCCTACATGAAATTATATACTGTAATGACATGCCTGTATTAACTAAAAGAAGGATGGGATCTTTCTGACATATTAAAACATTGACCAATTATTTGAAAACCTACAATCCCAGTACAGCATCATAATAAGAAGTGTTTCAAGCCAGACTAAGACAAACTGCTTGAGATGTTTGTATTATAACATTAAACTAATTTCAAAATAGCGAAACTTTAACTGTGTTTTAAGCTTTGTTGCTTTTATATTTCTCATCTGGAACACCTCACATATCCTTAACCCCTAAAGTACTAACCCCATCGACCCGTGTTCCTAGTAGGGTACTTACCCTATCGATCTATGTAGGGCTCATCATGGTTTTGCATTCAAATTGAATTCCTTTATTTTGCCAGGAATACAAAACTTTGTGGCTACTAAAATGAAGAAATATGATTTGTGGTAACTGTAGGCCTCCCCCACTGCCTTAGCAGGGTCCCTCAGTAACTTCTTGACCATGATCCCATGTGGACACCACTTCACCTCCACTCTCTCCTGCCTCCTCAACCTGTCCTCACTACAGTACCTCCACTTGTTCCCCCACCTCCCTGACACCTCCTCACCACCCTCCACCTCATCTGCTCTTTCACCGGCATTATACTATATTGTACTGTACTGTATATATCTGTGCCTTTCATATTCCTTCACATCAGTTATTTACCATTGGGGTGAACCGGTCCACTTTCCCAGTCCATTTAAGGCAAACACAAGGATTTTTATAATATTTACACACTCTAGAATCAATTCTGTACGTATGGAGAAGTCCAAAAAATAACTTAAATCTATTTTTTTTCCATCTAAGGGGTTCCCAGAAAGCATGAATTGGTCCATCTTTGATGGTCAACTATGCCATTTAGGTGGCCTGTATAAGACTTTGTCTTGGATTTGCACATTCCATACACCAAAAATTAGGCATTTTTTTATTTGTATTTTTTGCATCTCGGGGTACAACACTGGGGGTAATTTGTATACTTTAGGGGTTAATTTGTCATCTAGGATTTTAAAACACAAGCTTGATTTTTGTTTTACTCAGCTGAAGAGGGTAGGGGGTAGCCGTAGTGAAGAACCTGGTACCTATATTGTTACATTACCTCCTCTGCCCTGAAGGACTGTTGCATATGTGACATGTGAAGGAAATACCCAATGGGCAGCACGTTGGACCCCATGTACATGAGGATGAAGTAAAATACACCAGTCGTGTAGACAGTTGAGATGTTAGGATTGTCTTGCATGATCTCCACCATAAGTGTGGACACCTGTGTAAATAAGGGTATATGCATTAATATGATATATACAAGGCAAAAAAAATTACCAAGAAGAAAATTCAAAATACCTCTTCCATTCACTGTTTTGGGGAGGTAGTTAGAAAAGGGTGAAAGTGGATCCCATAGGCATGACTGCCCATAAAGCACCACAAATTCTAGTATTTATTCCTTAATGTTGTACTTTTAAAAATCAAGAACAAAAACAATAAATCTTTAAACCACTCAATTAGTAATGCTATTAATACTTTTTTTAAGCTAAAGAAATATATACTGTAATGTGTTAGTGATGCCAAGAAAAGAAATATGGGTTCAAAGAGGACCCAAGACTGACCTTCTCTACGAGGACTGGATCAAAAGTGAGCAATAATTGGACGATGTGTGGCAGAGAGAGTGAATCAGAGAGTAACCTCTTGATGCGGGGTAGCGGACGAATGACTGCTCCGTCTTCTGTTCGTGATGGGAAGTATCTACACATGGTAATGAGCATGTTGAGGATGAGGGTGGCAAGGTCACTTTCTGTCATTACTGCATTACCCTGGAAACATTAAAACAAAAATTAAAAACCTATCATGTGATTGTAAAGACACTCATTATTTTACTAAAACTTAATGAAAGGAGCTGGGATACTTTTGTACCCTCAGGTTAACTCTTTCAATTATATTGCCGCACCCTATGTGGTAAACAACGCCAGTACCATCATGGCACCATATGCATTAATAATTTTCCCACCCATACTTTGAATTGTATTGCCAGATAGATTCATCCCATTTGATCAGCTGGCAGGTACAGAGGTGGCCCAATTATTTGTAGGCCTGCTAGTGTCTTATCAGTCATGGCTGAGTGCAGACATGCATTCAAGTTAGACTACTTGAGTAGCATTAATCCCCTACCCTGCTTTAGGTAATATGATCTGACTATGACATTATGTAATCTAACCTGACTATGACAACATCTGGCCTGACAATGACAATGTCAGATCATAACCTTTGTGTGTATAAGCTCCTCTGTCAGTTATTGTAATTTAGCTTATGTCTGATGATGAAAAAATGCCTTTGCATGTACTGTATCTTCACACAAATTGTCATCAGCTACGTTATTTATTGCAAACTTTTCTTTCACACTGAGGCTACAGCTGTCTACACACAATTCAATTCAAAAGTGTTAATATTTGTGTGCAAATGAATTCCAAGATGAGGATAAGAGAAGCGCTGAAGTTGTGAATTCATAAATTAGACAAAATCATAATTGTTTCCATTAAATATTCAAAGAATATCTTCAAATAATATAAATTGTATTCAATATTGGTAGCCTTTTCATAAATTTTTCATCATTCCGAACCACAACAGTACAACAGTGCCCTTACCGTTGCTGCCATGGACCACTTCAACTGGGGAATATTTGTCAGGGGATGCCAGCCGTCCATACCCTGGGCCCAGCAGAGTGTTTTGGGACTTAAAGTACCATTACTCCAAATTTCTTTCAGCTCTTTAAAACTGTATGGTCCAGCCCGTTCCTTATTAGAACCCTATAAAACAATAAGTAATTGTTATACTGTACTATACTCATTACAATATTAACAAGATTTTGAGGCTAATATGGTTGACAAAAATGAACTACATTTTGTATCATGATAAAAGATTAAAATTTCAGCATTCTAGGATTTCTTTAATGCATTGTAAGATTTACTTTCCCTAGTTTTATGCCTTTGAATAATGATCTTACAAGGTATCTTCCTCCAATACAACTACTGTGTAATGCAAAACTCACATGTTAAGAGAATAACAAAGCTCATAATCTTCACATCTCCCCACCTGATAATACCACTCCTTCTCTGAGTCTCTGGCCATATCAGGTGACGCCTCAATCACATTAGTCTGTGTTGCCATGACTGCACGACTGACGTGGAGGTGTGCCAGAGTCAACAGGTCAGAAAGGATGCGCACGCCGCCTGCTTCAACAACCTCACGCACATTGGACTTCTCTAATATTAACTGTTGGAAATTAAAGAAAAAGAATCATCAGAACAATAGCAAATCCTCATGACTAACAAAGATTTGATAACCGCTTCTCTAACTTCCAGACCAATATACAATGGAGTTGTAATAATTCACATTTTTAAATTTGTCAGTACCTCTATTACTACCTCTTTTTTTTTAATTTCTTAGCCATTTATTCATAATTCGCTGGAGAGCATCAGCTGCCGCAGTGTTTATTTACAAAAGAAACCATTAAAGTTGTGTAAATATTATCTTAATGCTTTAATTTGACTTAGAAATACAGAAAATATAAAAATGTAAAATAACAGAAATGAAAAGTGAATTGTGTGTGGGAGGTGGACTGACCCCCCCCCCACAATTTCACCATAATTCCCATATTATTGAGGTTCATTTGGCACCAGGTTAATGAAACATTATTGTACCGTAATCAATAAAAAAAATAAAAAATAAAAAATAAAAAATCAACCACAAAAGAGATATTGTGTGGTATTAAATTCCTGGTTCTTTGTTGACATAGTATGGTCACAGCCAGCCTGGTGCTTGGCTGTCTCAATGGAGTATTGGTGTAACCCATATTAAATTATGAGACGGGAAGGAGATATTTATGTAAAACAGAACTACTTTTTGTGCAATATCTGTGTTACTGTATTTTTTTATACATTATGTATGATGTTTAGTGATTATTAAAGCAGTTTTGGAACAGTTCATTAGTTTTTTGGCCTCTGGAACCAAACTAATTATCTCCATATGAATTAATTAAACTGTAATTTACAATTTGTTAATTCACGCTGTCTTCTGGTCCAGTAACTAACCTGCAAATTAACGCGACTCCACTGTATTATATTTGTCTCAAATTTAGTGAGCCAAACAGTTTTACATGAGTGAACATACAAAAAATTCCATACTTCTACAGGTACTACAGTATTAGTAACAACAGGGGAGGCTTACACATAATAGGTCCAGACACACACAAATAAACTCCTGGGGGAAGGAAAAAACAATTAATACCACAAGCACAACTCACCATAAGAGTTGTCCTGAGAAGAACTTTCTTTCTTAACTCATCCTGAGGGCAACTTCTAAATTCTAAACAAGTCCCAGGCTAGCTATCTGGTATCCAGCAACTGCAAACTGCCAGATATCTGACCAATTTATTATCCGGTACATCCCCATTATTGACCAATCAATATCTTTGAAAACGAGTTTCCCTAAAATACACTTAAAAGCTGGGAACAGTAAGTTTCATTCTCAACAGTCCATACTCCTCTTTTTACACTGCAGTACTCTTAGTCTCTGCTTAATTATCCATTATATTCTTGAAAAGGAATTTTTCTAAATATCTGAATCTATTCAGATGTATTTCTACTATTGTATATTCAAACCAATAATACATTTTCCCTCAACTTATAATTTTATCTCTGACATAACACACCACAGCTTCACCAAGCAGTTTCTTGTATATTCTTATAGACTCGTCACTGTTGCCATTCATCACCTATCTTCCTTGAATAGTTCCTCATCTACCCTGTCTTCTACCAGGGATGTGTAAATACTGCACTGCATGTCCTATTTTAACTCTTTTTCACATGTGTGTTTTCCTTTTGCATTTCCACACCTTTGATGATAGAGCTACAATTTGGGACAGAGGTGCGGATGGCCTTGAGAAAGGTCATAGTCTATCTCCTGTCCCTCTATCTGAGCAAAGCTAGGTAACTCACCTGATGCTTTACATGCTTCCATCATTTTTTGGACTACTCAAGAAATTCTTAAATTCTTCAAACTTGTTTTGATAAGAAGCCTTTGGCAACAATTACTTCAGATACATAGTAACTAATCCAACATAAAGGAACATTGCAGTTCAAGCTAATGTTACATCTTTGATATTAAATGATGTGCATAGGGAACTCTTGTAAGCCTTTTTCCATGATACTGCAGGATGGCTGCTGGAGTGTAAAAGAAACACTTGGTAAAGGTTGTATATAAGCAGCCTTACTACGATGCAACAAAGAGCAAACAAGATATAAAAAAAATATGTATTATGAAAAAGTCTCACCTTATTTAAAAACAGAAGTAATCTGTCTCTCTCTAATTTATCACAGGTACGGGATAACATGGTAACGATGTAGCGCGTGTCATTAAACTGGCCAATGTCTTTGTGGTGCAAGCCATACACAAGAGCCATGGCCTGTAGACAGAGGCACTTCATGGCCACTTTGGGGGTCAAGAGGAATCGGTGGTAAAGGTCATTGAAGAACTCATATCTAAGGAAGAAATAAAAACATTAATGGTGCAACTGAGCTACAGTAATTTTGATGTATTATAAGAAAGCATGACAAAAATACAATTCATGAAATGATTAATGTACCGTATTTACTTCTACACAAAAACGAGCAAGAACAAAAACTTACGACACAAACACATGTAAACAGGTTTTAAAATCAGGCATACAAGATTAAACTGATAACTTACGACTTTCTAATAGGTGAATCTTCCTCTGAAGTGTTGTTCTCTTGTTCTAGTAAGATCCGTAGATAGTAATCACCAATCTTGATCTCATCCTTTAGTGATGGGTAGCTTACCTACAAAGAAAAATTCAAACTAATTTAAAGAAAATTGATACCGTAAAGGTTCCAAGTAACATATCAAGATAATTTTCCACCTTTTTCACATATGGACTGAAACTCATACCTGCATTTACTTTAATATTGTGTTCACTGTATAGCATCATTCAATGTAACAATACTTAAGAAAATTATTCAAGTAAACATAGAGAAATGTGTTTTAGGGACATAAGCATCAACATGTAATGTACTTCAAACTCATGGTGGTTCCATGCAATGACCATCCCTCCTCTGACATCACGGTCTTCATTAAAGGCTCTCATTTCTGCTTCCAGTGCTACCCGCAATTCTTCTCGTGTCTAAGTGAAACAGAAAACACAAAGTTATTTTAACCCCACTAACTAAAACAGAATTTATTTCCTAAAAAAATTATCCCCTCCCCCCCAAAAAAATTAAATAAATAAAATAAAATATCAAGAATACAGATAATAAATTTTGTAGTGAGAGGAGAGAACTATCCTGATACAGAGGATATTGGATAAAGTTAATGTATTTGGTAGAAGGAGACAACCTATAAGATGGCAGGGAGTTGTGAAGCAATAAGTAAGGAGAGAAAAGAGAGGAAAGAGTAGGCAAAGGACATAATAAATGTACAGTGATAAGGTGGCCTGGAGGTTCTACTGTCATAACCATCCCTTCAGAGGAACACTATACTGTAGGGTAAGTGAGGTAAGGTTAACAATAACATCACATGAAGAGCTAAACAATATTAAAGTTTAGAAATCATCATAAGCAGACAGTCTTTGTCATGCACATTAACATGTTATCAACTTCTCAGTGAAATATGACTCACTTTGTAGTTCCATAAGAGGTTTGGGAGTGCATGATCTTGGTTAAATTTATAATAAAAGAGAGGCCAATTTGCAGTAGCTTTTAGTTTCTCTCTTCTCTTGCGAAGCACCAGAGGTCGCTCTCTAAACTTCTCTTCCGCTGACTTCTCTCTCCTCATATGTGACCGCCAGTGTTGTAAAGCAAACTGAAAATTTGCAACAGTCAATTATCTTAATATAAAAGGATGAGCAGCATAGCAGAATAAATAAGTACAAAGACAAGTTAGGAAATATAAAGATGATGAAGCAGGTGAGTTACGATATATATTTTTTGTAAACACTGTACTGCGCTGGCATACCTATTATAGCACTGTAGACGTGTTCCTGCAAAACAGCTCTACAAGAGATCAGTATAACATGGTTCCAATAGAGATGTGTTGGCAATAGTGTTATTTCTTACCTACAGCATGAGTCATATAAGAGGGCTTCATTGGGTATTAGTAATGGCACTACTAATGATACTGTACACATGATAAAGGTATTAAAAGAATAATCTTCAATGAAAATGGAAATAAATAAAAATATACAGTAAATTACACTAACTAGTGCATTCAGTCAGAACTTGCATAACACTGACCACTGTTTGCCACCAATCCAATTTTACAGTAAAAAAATTCCACCAAAACAATGAGCATTAAAAAAAAGAAGAACTTCATGAGGTGTGCCTGGTACATGTGAAGTTTGATTAATACATATGGTGAGGAATCAGGAAATAAATAAGGAAATGAGAAGAAAAAATATTCCTGCAATCTGAGTGGTTGACAGTAAGATACGTCTGATAAAATCTTAAGAAATTTAAAGAGCACAGATGTGGTACTGTACAAATAAACAAAAGATGTTTAACAGAGGTGGGAAGGAGACTAAGGTACAGTAGATGGACATGGACTGAATGATAAGATAAGTTGTGTATCTTCTGTCATCAACAAAAGAGCTTTAGTCATTAACACTATGCCCACAAATCTTAAATTAAATCATTTCAGAATTTAAATACACAGAATACAATAAATAAAATATGGTAATGCAAATGGAGCAAACAATATCAAAATGACTTGGTATTCAAATGTACAGTATACAGAATTATAAAAAAAAAAAATATCAAAGTGAGTATTGAAAAGTAAAGTGAATTGAACAGTGAGACTATACAGGGTGTTTTGGAAAACTGTTTCATAATTCAGGGGTGTATTCCTGAGACATTCATATGGATGAATGAGTCTGAAACACCCTGTACTGTATACAGATAACCCCCAATACATCTGTACCCATAAATCTGTGAGTTTATGACAATACTTTTCTAGACAGGAAAAAAGACCTGGAATAACAAGTTCTATTTCCTATCTACTTATCTATCTGTGCTGTACTACTTTAACCAATAACACTCACATCTCTCTTCATAATTTCACTTTTTTTAATTAAGAACTATTCCAAAACTTCTTCTCAAACATCTTCTCAAATAAAAGTACAGATACCTGTATTGGATAATTAAAATATCAATATGGGTGAGTTAAAAGGAAGAACCTACTTTTCATTCTTTAAACGTAGTCTCCTCACTGAGAACTACAATATACGTAGCAATACTTAAAAAAAGACCTTGTTCATACTGGTGTACAGTAAAAAAAACCATAATTTGTACCCCTCAAATTCAAAATCACTCATAATTTGTAAGGTTTTGCTGATGCAAAATACATATTAAATTTTTTTTAATAATTGGTAATATTTTTAAACAGGAGACATTTCAAAATATTGAAAAATATATATTAAAATTTTCATGTTTCGCAAATTTTCTGATTATGAAAGACATTTATGAATAGTATGACACACGTCGCCATGGGATGCTACTGCAGATAACAGGAAAGTACCGTTGTTGTTTTTATCCCCTCGGGAGAAGGTGTCCCTCATATTTAGTAATATCTTATTATTTGTAAGGGCTAGAGCCCCTATTATTTTGAATTATGGGGTTTTACTGTATATAACACTCTCATCTAAGAGTTGGTTTTGAGCTCCTGGAATGGAAAATAACTTGACCCTTTTTATGTCCAATATATACAGTATTGTATCATTTAAGAGGACATAAGACATAATTTACTCATGCCAAGTGTTTAAGTAAGTGAGCTAACAATGATATCTGAAACTTCAAACATATACAGCAGCAAAATTAAACAATGTAGTGTTTATTCATAAAAAAAAAAACTAATGATACCACATCAATATCAGTGTTCTTGAACACAGCATTCTGACAATTATGACAGAACATCATGCAATGTGTTAAACCAACACTTGTACTAAGAAAGCACTCTATATTACAGGTAGTTCTGCTATAACGCGATAATTGTGTTCTTGTAAAATATCGTGTTATAGAAAATCGCGTAATAGAAATAACAGGGCTTATGGAGAAAATAGGGTTAGGTGCAGATTACTCGAAATCGAAAAAATTTAGTAGTTAGCCTAACACAAAGGATAGCACAGTCTAAATAAATGTTACATTCATATCTAATAATGAAATCATACAGTAAATGTAACACTTTACTTGATGGGGGAGAAGGGTGATTTTGAGGTTGATAAAATCGAGCTTCTCTTCAAGTGTTATATCCTTTCTTTTACGATCATCACCGGGAATTCTATCACCAGAACGCTTCTTGTTGATATTCTTCTTTACTATATTCACAGTTAATACAGTGGGGTATGCTATAACGAACGGATCCTACTACGAATATTCCTATAACGAACGGTTTTACCTATAAAATTGAGAATGCTATAACGAACGAAACTCCTACAACGAACATTATTTAATTTTTTTTTTTCTAATTTATTGTTTTTTTATTACAAATATTAATGATATTCTTTATTTCAGGGGTTTAGATGCATATTTATGCACTTTTTTACAATTTTTACAATTTTATATTATATTTTTCAGTGTTAAGTGGTTGTATTTGGGGGCCTGGAACGGATTAATCCTATAACAAACGAATGCTATAACGAACAAGGTTCTAGAACCAATTAGATTCGTTATAGCATACCCCACTGTACCACAAAATTGGAGAAATAGTAAGCAAAAATCGCGTTATAGCAAACAAGCGTTCGCGTTATACAAATATCGTTCCTAATTCATAAATCGCGTTAGAGCAAATTCGCGTTATCAAAACACGCGTTATAGCAGAACTCACTGTACTGCTAAAACAATTAATTTATGAAATGTCAAGGTGCTTCTACAAAGTGCACTACCATGAAGTTTAGACCCACTAACTGACATAGTTGATAAGTATTGTATGCTTTTAAAATTATTGTTTCAGGAAAAGAAAGACAATCAACATAGCAGTTAAAAAAAGGAGCACCCAAAAATAATTATTCCATGCTTTGCTACTGATGAGAAACAAGGTGTGAAGTACAGTACCATGTTCAAAAGTACTACAGTACTGTACTGTATTTGTATTTTGCAGGTACTATTAGGCTAATTTAAATTTATCTGAATTGTAAAGTAAATATTTATCCATGCAAGAAACTTACCCAATCCTGGTAAAGCAGAAAGAGGGGAAGAAAGGATATTGAAAAAAGAAATACACACAAGAAAATCAGATTTATGCAAGACAAACACAACAGATGCGAGGAAAATAATCTAAGTAATCCTTTGTCATTGTACAATAACAAATAATTGACTATTGTACAAGAATAATAATACGCACATGGCTAGGAAAACCTAACACAGCAGTATAACACACAGGAAATAACACTTATTAGTCTTCTTAACAGTACAGTACAGTAAAGCACTTGTGTAACTATGTCAACAATGAGGACTGTTTCTTATGACTGACTGCAGTCATCTCACACCAGTGATGACACTTTTTTTTTTAATAAAAGTTATAAATAAAAATTTTTCCACTAAGAATTATCAGTTAAAATTTTAGATATTCCAAATTTCTTCAGGAGAAAACAGTACAATTAGCATTTTTTAGTAGAAGCAAGAATTTACCTATGTTACCCAAATAATATTACGATATATTTTAGTAATGTTAGATAAGGAAACCTAGATTGAACTTAGCTTGTTAATTTGCATACTAAAATAAGTGCAGTGATGTCCCCGTCAGCCGGAACAATTGGTGCAGAGCACTTTCAGGAATGAGAGATTTCCGGGTAACGAGAAGACTCTCTCAAAGACGGAAAAAATTCCTCCTCACCAGGATTTTTCCGGGTAACGAAAATTTTTTTGCTGAATTTCCAGGAAATGTGCCTGATTTTCATCTCTCAAACCCAGAAAAAACTCCACATCCCCGGAATTTTCTGGGTATCAGGAAAGTTTTCTCGGGTTCTCCGGAAAACGTGCCCCTTAGAAAATCGTTCCCAAAGCCAGAATTTTCCGAAAAATTCTGGCTTTGGGAATGATTTTCCGAGAAAATTTCAATTCCGGCTATCGGAGAATTCTAGCTTTGAGGGATTCCGGCTGACGGAGATATTACTGTGCATGATACCGGACCGACCATCACTTAAAAGGATCATAATACAATCCTAGACAATTACCAAATTTTAGTTTATAAATGTGTGTGAATTAGAGATCTCAGTACTGTACTGCACTAGCTTTAACTTCTGTACCATCAAGATGTCAAACCTACTGTAGTGTGATATATCTGTCAAAAGTATGAAAACCAGGATAGGTGTATGTGGGACACACGCAATGATGTTGATGATGTGACTGACATGAATGAACATATCTGTACTTATGTGTAAGAATGCACATGTATGCTCATTGCATATACTTTGTAAACAAAAGATAAGAAAACACTTCTAATTAAAAGAAAGGGTGGTGTAGAGTAAAGTTCAGAAAGGGGTGAATTAGTCATATAAATTAATCTTAAAACAGATATGGTTCTTTTTATTGACAAAAGACTCAGTCATAAAAGATGGAACTATCATTTGTTTTTAATTAACGTATAGAGAACAGGCATCCAATTGTACAAAAATTTTCTTCCAATTTTCTTGATAAAAAACCCACCCACCTTGTAGAGAGAGACTAGTTTACAATATATTTTTTGGGGCGTATCTTATGGTATCAGTAACTTTCACTAATATGAAATGATTCTATCACCAATAATAGTAATATACTTTTTTTAAATCACTGCCAGTACAGTACCAACAGTGAGGCCACATCACTCAAGACAAAATCATTAAGACTGTACAAGATTAACCCACCTCCTTCCTTCTCATTCAAATTTAATTTTGTCACACAAGGATTTGTTTTAAAGGGGGAGGGAGTTACAAAATTTGTATTTGAAAATAGAAAACACAGTACAGTAATGAGATTTCCACGTATGCATTTACAAGCAATATACAGTACTGTATAGCCCTGTGTTCTATTAATGAGTAAAGCTACCGGTATATAGGTTCTAAGCTTGACATCAGTGTTAGATGGAAGTGAGGTAAGACTGATCCTTCATACTCATACCTCCAGTCTGGGTAAGGTGGAAAGGGGATTTAAATCCTCACTATATACAGTGTGAAATTTGATTAAAGTCTATAAGTATTGTTTCTTCCCAAGAATCAGCATTTTTATGCTATCCTTTGTGAAGTAAACTTTTCCATTTTCCTCTCGTAGATATACTGACTGCCAAGCCTTTTTGAAAATGACTCCAAATAGCAAGAAAATCTGGGCTTAATTTTCAGTCTCCATGTATTAGTAGAACTCACACATCCTTTCAAGCAGTAAAATCATTTGTAATTTCATCTAAATTATAATTTAGACATGAATACACAGACTAGTTTACTGGCTACAACCTGATGAGTTATGGAAAGATGTGACCATGTGACCTTAGACAGGTAATAAATCTAAGAAAGAAGATTTAATTTCAGCGTAGCTGCCTCCCAAGTTTTTTAGATTCTAAAGTTTTCCACTTTAAATTTTGGGTCAAAACTGGACTTGGGAATGAACCAATGGGGGTCACATGTTTGCTTGGTAGACCCTGGCTAAACCCATTAAAGAGAGGATCTGGAAAGTTATAAATAAATACCTTGTCGATATTTGTTATACGAACTGCTTTTTCTATTTAGAGATTACATTTCACTTATCAATCCTGTTAAGTTAGGCAATTAAGAGTATAAAAAAATAGCCATATATCTGACCTAGATTCACCTAAGCAAAACTAAAGTGTAATCTTAAAAATCCCAATCACCTTCCACAAGCAAAACTGATGTTGAACTTTTGGTTACAACTTAGATTTCTAAATGACTTCCAATGAACACCAAAGTTAGCAAAAAAAAAATTGGCACTAAATCAGCATCACCATCGCCCAGCAACATTAAAGCCAACGATACAGTTAGAACTACAAATCTTATTATGCTTAAAAGAGCAAAGCAAACTGCAATTACCACTTGTCACTCAGGAGCAATTTGTAGTACTTACGTCTACATGTTTTTCCAGATACGACTCATAGTAGGCCTCCATGTGCTTGGCTCCCTTTTGTAAATGTCTTTCCACAGTCTCTATTTTCTGCACAGTCAAACAAAGTACAATGATGTGGCACAGGTGATATGAAGACAAAGAATGTCTTACAAAAATCATGAAGGATATTGCACAAATAAACAAAATATCATGAACTAAATATTCATCATTCCCACAGGCACAAACAAATTTGGAATGCCATATAATTACTGAATATTAAAAATGCATAACTGACATAACAATTTACCATACATGAAGCTTTAACTTGTACAACTGATAACAAAGGACAGTGTAAAGCATAAGAAATACAAATATATATACCCACATATGTAGTATATACTCAACAGTGTACAGTATAACAATAAATATATACAGTTGCTATTTACATATAAAAATACAATATATTAATAGTTGACTTTCCAAATCAGCAAGTAAGCCTGCCAATTTGCAGTTTAAAAGTGTACATTAATACTTGCTGCTACACACAGTCATTTTGAACCATCTGGCACTTAAAACTTCTTAACATATGACTGTGATTCACTGGAACAGTACTACAAAGTGGAAGGGAAGGCCAAAGCAGATAATAGAACAACGAGGGAGTGTGGCAATGACAGGGGCAACAGCATATGTAAAGTTATTAAGCATTAAAAACTTATAAAATAAAAACAATGACAGCTACATAAAATATCCACTCATGGACTCAAAACAACTGTGCGTTATTGTGACTTATGATCCCAAAAATCATTAAGGGAATATAATCTACTCACGTCCATGTGTCTTTCTACCAGATGCTCAACCTTTTTCACAGAGCTCTTATATGCTCTGTCTAAAGTGTCCAACACTTGGTTCTTCTTATTCCTTTCTTCATCCTCTTCTGCAATCTTCAAATTATCTCTGGTGTTTAACCGGTCTATGTCATCGAGGGAAACTGTCTCTTTGCTCTCAAGAAATGCTAAAAGACCTGGTGGCTGCAATACAAATATTACAAAAATAATTGAAAATTTGCACTTTTATAATTTGATTGTTTATATAACTATGAAGTCATGTTTCTTTACCTTAAATATTATTAGAATTGTCTTTACATCCCTTTATAATCTTAACTGGATATCTCTTTATAGGCAGTCCTTGATTTACAAAGGTTCAGTTTATGAAAATTGATTATGAAAAAAAAGCCCCAGGATTTCATTTATGAATGAAAAATCCAATAATACACAATTTTCACCATGTTTGCGATTTTTTTCGTGTTGATTAAAATACTGTATGTTAAAATAAATCCATTTTTTACTACCAGTACAGTATGCATATTTCACTTACTTATTTCATAGTTCTCTAACACTTGCAATGTTATTAATTCTCCAAATAAACTTTCAATGTGTCATCATTCTCCTGCATTATCCACATAACTTACTCCTCAAAACCACTGATGACAAGTAAACTCATCTGCACCAGCACAATTACTTAGCCAGTTGCCTGGTTGTCCAATTTCTTTCAACTTATTCTCATGTAATATGTGGTGAATTAAAAAGAGATAACTTGTTTGAATTCATAAATATCATATGCTATTTATTTTCAACAAGGTATAGAGTTGTAAGAGAAAGTGTGAAATTTGGAAGTGAACAAAAGTTTGGAGGTGTGGATACTCCCAGCAACACACGAGAGAGCACAAGTAAAGTGTCAGCTGAGTGACAGAGGCGTTTGTGCAATGTAAGCAAAGCAGCAGGAATTTAAGATGATGCAGTAACTCATTAGGAGCTGAGTTGCAGTATTTTTTATAGAATATTTCTTTAATTATAGAATGGGAACCAACGTACAATATTACTAAAGTATTGTAATATAGTACTGCATACTGTAATTATTATACATGTTGACTGAGTGATTCATACTGTTCACTTTACCGGGTATTAGAAATCTTATCCAGTTTTCCATAAGTACAGGTACTAAATTAATACTATAATATACTGTATTTATTGTATGTATTTCACTTATGGTTTACACCATTTTTTTATAAAAAATGCATTTTGTGGCATTCTAAGATTTTTTTTTAAGAATATATCTAAGCTTTTATAATGAAAGTCTATAGGAAAACGGATTCCCATTAACAAAACTAAAGATTTATGAAAGTTTTTTTATGAATGGAACCCTTTTGAAAATCAGAGAACTGCTCTCCTCTTACTCAACATTTATTTTACAAATTTTTTAAAGCAACAGTTTCATCATACAGTATACAGTACCTACCTAAGTTCAGAACATATTATACAGTACAATATCATGTCTTTCAAATACATTTATACCAAAATTAATTGATATCTGAGGAAAACAGCTAAGAATTATTGTATCATCTTTGTTATAAATAAGCAGAAATCAATGCCAAATGAATGAAATTTTTTGTGTAGAAGCTAAAGGTTTTCTCCTTACCACAGTACGTCCTAAAAGGTCAACTGCTAGCTGGTTCTCTGCAGCCCAGAGGGATACAAGGTGACGTGAGAGTTGGCGATGGGTAAGGAGCCTCCCGTCAGATGTCTGAGTGAAGAGTGCCGTGAATAGATGGCGTGGTAAAGCTCCTTCAGTGAGGGCCAGAAGCTGCATGCGCATCGGGATGTCATTCTCGCCCTCTTCTATCACAGCTTTCATCACTAATCCTGCACCCTGCAATATATATCACATTTGACAATACTGTACAGTATTACTACATCAGTAGTTCTAAAATAAGCACCAGTACACCCCATATAGGTGGAAATATGAGTAAGAATGGCAGAACAAATCAGCACCTTTATACAAAAAGGTCACCTTTTCAAAACTTCAGTACTGAAGAATGCACCACTTACTTTTCCTCAATATATAACTGTAAAATCAGACTCAAATTCAGCGTGGAGCAAACATTTCAATAAAGACACCATTCATAATAAAATGAGTTCTGAAGAAATTGCTCTACTGCATATAAATATACGGACAAAATTCCCTGAACACTCGGCAGCATCTGGCATGTAAGTACAGTGATAATTAGGTGAGGGGGACTGGAATTCTAATGTACTGTACAGTACAGTACTGTATTTTCTCACATTTTCCATTGTATTATGGAGTGGATTTTTTCCCATTTTGAAGTTCTGATATAATATGTGATGCCATGCCGCATTATTTGATAAAAACGAAACCTACATACAGTACAGAATAGCCCAAAAGTTGATGCAAGATATTGCCAAGTGTCCAGGGAATTTTGTCCGTAACTGTCTAAGCCGTGGACCCTAAATGGATATCATCTGGTGGGTGGTCATCGAATTAACTATTCAAAACTCGAGTTATTACTGACCATAAAACACACTTCTACCATCACTGCCACAGGGGTACTAGAACTGGAAAAGCTTGATTAAAGACTTTTAGAACAAGGTTTCTTAAAAGACACCTGTATCTAATATGTTAGTTACGTACTATGAAGGTCTGAATTAAGTTTAGTCTGTTCATTCAAAGCTTGCAACTGAGGCCTAGAATCGGTTTGTAGCAAGGCAGGTGATTGGCTGGCAGATGAGCACAAGAAAAGTCACTACAGTTCTTATCTATCACAATTATATTCTGATATTTTAAGGGATAATAACTATTCTGTATTGATCTCTGATAATTTCTACACTTGGGGGAAGCAAAAATTAGTATTTGAAATGCTCTAGTAACATATATATCTAAAAGAGAATCAGAAAAATATTATAAACTTTCAGCAACATCATCCACCACACTACATGACGTCACATAGTGAAGTGGGGTTTACGTCTTCAAGATATTTATGTTTGCAGAGTGTTTTCCAGATTAATTTTTGCTTCTCCAAAAGCAGAAATTATCAGAAATCAACACCGAATAGTTATTATCCCTTAAAATAGTAAAGAACTGTAGTGTCTTTTCTCATATCTGTCTGCCAGCTGCTTTGCTACAAACTCACCCTTGGTCTCAGTTGCAAACATTTATTATTTGCCTGGAAGACCGGACAGGAAATAACTGATCAACATCAACCTAAAATTACTCTACATGATGTTAGTAAGAGACAATAAAGCTTACCATTAATATTCTTACCTTATTACAATCTTTGTACAGTATAAGGCATTAGTGTGCAGCTCAACCTTTACATTCTTTCTTACCTTATTTATGGGTCTGGTCTAAAACATGTGAAAAATTCTTACCTTCACAATAGCAAGTGACGGATGCTGAAAGAGCCTATAGAGAGATCTCCCGTTGTCTGCCACCATCTCCAGTAAACGATCAAAGTGGGCTCCATCTGTTGTCTCACTATATGGAGCACACAGGGAAAAGGTCATGAAGTCCAACATAGCTGACACCACCAGTGCTCCAGTTCCATGTGACTGTAAAAATAATTCATGCCATGTGAAGAATGTCATCAAGCTCTAGAATGCCACAAGTGTTAGGATTATACCTCATTTTGAAGAATATAAGCTGCATTTTTTTTCATAAGAAATTTGGCAAAAGTAGAGGTGCAGTTTAATATTTTTCCCATTTTACTGTACAGTATTTAACAAAGGGTTTTCCAGGAACCTAACCCATTCATAAAGCAAAGGATACCTGTAAATGAGTATTCTGAAAAGGCACTAACCTTCAGATATATATATATATATATATTAAGTCATATTTTATACAATCCCTTTCGTCTCTTGTTTTCCAGAGACTAGTCACACACATATACTGTCTTACAGTACTTAAGCGTCGTTAGGCAACTGATCGATAAAATGCTAACTTATTTCTGAAAATTATGCAATGTATTCTTCAAAATTATCAAAGCAAATGCTCAAAAAACTCTTAATAAAATTACCTTGAAAAGAAACAAATTGCATGACTGATGACAGCATTTATGAGAGATCTTCAGTACAGTATGCACGTTTTATGCAACGATCTTTTAAATGTTCAATTTACATCTTTTCATTATGAGTAAAGAATACATAAAACAACTCTAACTAACATGTGCAAATTTAGTAATGAATCAAAATAATTATAAGAGATCTGATTTACCCACCACTTGGTAAACCTCATGTAGTACTCCAAGAGTTTTTTGTGGAATTTCAGGGAAGTATAGTACAGTACAGTAGTTCTAAAAAGGAGTCAAGACAATCAATAAAGATAATTTTAGATTTTCAAAAGAATCTAGCATACTCACTACATGGTAAACCCAATTTTCTAATAATTTTTCTTGGAATTTTGCCGAGGCAAGGAGAGAGGCTTTGTTGAGTTGTTCTTGTTTCAGATCTGGGTAGTCGTGCATCGGCTGCATGAGCGCACACAGCATGTCCAGTGCTGCATGGTTCACCCCATCATCGTTCCTCTGTAAGGCCTTCACAACCTTTACGCCCACTTTTTCTCGGAAACTTGGGAGTAGTTGTAAATGAAATTCGTATATCAAACATGAAGTGCAGTGTAGCTTCTTTGATATATAGTACAGTACTACGTACATACTGTACAGTAAAACAACTGACGTGAGGTGTACCAGTGAAATACAGTACAGTACTTATGAAACTTAGTTGATATATTTCAAAAATAAAATATTTACACTGGATCTCCCACGTTACGGAATGGATGCGTTCTTGAAAAAAGACTGTTTCGTGAATTTCCATAAGGCACACCATTTTTTCCCAAATACCGTACAATATTCCCATGTCAAAAGTGAAGAAGCATTCACATGGAATTTTTTTCAGTCAACACAAGTAATAAAAACACACTTATAAATGGAGATAGACATTTAACACATATTACTGTAATTATATTTTAGATTTCTTTTAATAATTTTACTAACCACAAATCATAGCACTGTAAATACCTGTACATAAAAATACATGTTTTAGCAATGGCGCCAAGTTTTTCTCCAGCATCAAACTGCCATAAACCATCGAGTTTTACATCCAGTGTATTTCCTTTTCATGCTTGTTTATGTGTAGTACTTGCACTTAAAATTGCTGGCCTTTTTGCAGACATCTTGAGGGGAAATACACTCATAGTGTGGAAAAGTCTTGAAAGAACAACAGCTAGATGCGGAGGCAGACCGTAACTGATGCGCTCCCAGATTCAAAACAAAGCCTGCCACCAACGTGATCAACATGCACAAATGCAGCTTGTATTTCTTAAAATCATTATAAAATTATTATATACTGTAACATTTTACAAGGACGAATTTACATTCCGTATCCTGATTTTAGTGGTAGTGATTTACAATGGCCATAAGGGCGAATTTCCGTATCCCGAATTCCCATAACGCGGGGGTCCAGTGTATTAAAATATTCTAGTCAAGAAATCAAATTTAAAAGTGCATAGAAAGAGATAAACAAGAAGACTCACCCAGGAAGTGAGGTGAGACAGGCAAACCCAGCTTTAGAAGCAACAAGTCTGCGGAGAGCATGAAACTGTGCCTCCACCTCCTCAGGCGGAAGGGTTGCTTGGTCCCCCTCTCGTAGCACCAGAGCTCCAAGACCCCCAGTGATTAGTCGTTCCTTATTCTCAGCAAAGAGGCCCTATTGTTGCCGAAATGACATATTATAAAGTTTAAAATACTAATTCATTAAGAATTCTAAACTTGTTGCTTTCTAGTGATATTTTCATTATAGTGTTTATTTCAATGGTTCTTTAACAATCATGTCACATGAGTTACTTCATCCTTACCTTCCTTCCCACCAACATGGAGGGGGATCTACTGCACAGAGCCTCACAGAAAAAGAAAGTATTTACATGTATCCTTAATGGAGTTCTTAATCACAAAACTAAATATATCAAATTACTGTACTCTGTCAGTCTGTGCATATAGAGTAAATTGACCCAAAACTATAATACAAAGTAAAGATGTTATGACTTGCTACATAATTAATATGAAATTCTGAACTGACTGATGTACTTGATATACTGGTTACAGCGAGTATTAAATCCAATACAGAAACAGGAATTCAAACTTTTTATTCTAGGTGCCACACTCCTAGCAAATACCTTTGACCCAATCAGTTATGACAATTTTCTAATGTCTACTACAATGTAATACCACTACACCACTACATGTGCTCTGTCATAAAACAACTGCATTATACTGTTTACCCTAATGTTTTGACATCACATTTTGGTTAGATTATGGTATAAATGTTTCTATTGTCAAACAAGAGATTGTGTTGTTAACCAGCTGCTAAACATTACAAGACATTGTTGGGTGAAGTTAAAATTTGGCCAACACCCGACTTTTAATACAGTTATATGCATTTTTACTGCTACTTTACTAATTATTCAATAAATAATGTAGCATTATTTACATAATTCCACAATCAGTATTGCACAGGTATTAATATACAGTATACAGTACTGTAATTTCTATGCATGTGTTGACAGTATTACACAATACTTGTATTTCAACATGGGTTTTCATAAACATTACTGTATTTCTATAATAGTTTTTGTTTCCCATGATGCTCTACAACAGTTATTTACAAATAAAACAAATCCAATATGGTGGCCAAAGTTAACATTATCCATCAACTGTATTGTTTCAGTTATATTAGAGTAGCACACCACAGGCCCCAAGTTCTGCTTTAAAATGGAACTGTACAGTAGGGTCTTGTTATAGTACGAGATAAGGCCCAAGAAAAAGAATACAGTATGAAATTGTAATATGACATGACATAATATGTCACAGTGTTAAAAGGTGGATAGGGTCCGGAGGAACAAATATTACACATAGTCCCAGCTGGACACGAGGGATATGTTCCTATAAAGTACTTATCACTTGCACACCTTTACTTACATTTTTTATCTAAAATATCCAAATAAATAAAGGAAAAATTTCCTTATTCAATTTGCCACATATTACAGAGTAAAGGAGGAAAAATTGGACAATCAAGCAACTGGCTGAGTGACTACATGGTGGAGGTGAGTCGAGAAGAGAGTGACAAATTGCCAGTGGCATGGATTAATGACCTATCAGTCAGGTCAGGCCATTTGTTTTATTATTCACCATCTGACTGATTTTCAAGGAACCTAACCTATTTGGATAATGAGGGATACCTGTATATCAAAAGCACTATATCAAGTCGTAATATAACGTGACCCTTACTGTGCCAGGTGTGTTGAAACTTCTAGAGAAAGGCTGAATAGTTAGATGAGTTGGGAAATCCTGATGTGAAAAGTTAACGTGATCCTACCAATAATTTGCTATCAATAAAAATATGCATGCAATGGCTAAGCAACTTTGAAATCTTAAAATAGAAATGCTTACGTACAAGATATACAGTAAAACCTCTCTAAGCTACAATCTATCAGACAGTTTCTGAGGTGCAATTTTTGGGGTCAAGGCTTTAAGAAAGAAACAAGACCAGTGCTGCAGCTATGTGAGGCTTTGCAGCTCTGTATAGATAAACCTTCCATCCTGACCACATCTACTATCTCATGGCTTGCTTTGAAGCAACATTTGTGTTCAGTTATTCATATAGCTGAATAGTTGTACTAAAGAACAAAAACTTTTGTCACTGCGATTGTAACACTGACAAGTGAAGATATAACTCTTTTAATGGCACTTTGTCATTAGACTTTACATACTTGTTAACTCCATTGTGCTGAGGATACATAGTGAGTGTACTGTGACAACTGTTATGTAAATGTTTTGTGACAGTACTGTACTGTATAATTACAAATGTTACTGTAACTGTACTACAGTAGTGTGTATGTCTGCACCATGTTGAAACATACTCAGATATTTTCTGGGCATAGAGGTCACAAGCCTTTAAAGATGATGACTACCCTTGCCTTATTTTGCACAACAGTTCACAGGACACTTGGAGGAGCACCACACGAGAAGGTGTCAATACTTTCAAGTTAGCCTGACTGCAAACCAAGGCAGACAAGCGCCAACAGCGGAAAAATGCTGCAGCCGCCCCTCCCGCACTAGATGTAGCTCTGCCAGTCCCATATCGGCCTCTCTAGTCACCTGAGAGCTCACCATCGAAGGTGACATCCTTAATAACTCATACAATTTTATCATAACTGGATGATCGTCATAGTCGGTTCCGAGTGACAACAAAGTAGTAGTAGTAGGTGTTTGGTGCAGTGAACAGTGACTGCCCTATCCACATACAACTCCCTGTACATCTACAACTGCTGGTGAAAATAGTACAATGCTACATATTTAATATTATTATTAGTAGTAGTAGTAGTAATCTGCATATAAAGACAGATGAATAAATCATATGTGAATCCAAGTTTACAGGTCCAAATCAGCACTAAAAATATTTTACAGCAATCAATGCTAATTTTTAGAAGTGTTAAGTAATATTTTGACCCAAAAACCTCACATAGCTACAATTCCCTGTACTCCAAATGCTACCCCTTAGAGAGCTTTTACTGTACTCTAATAAAAATGACACACCTCTCCTGTGACTGCATGAAGTAATCCTGAGTAGGAGACATTTGCATTAAACCTCTCTATTGCCTCAGCAAATGTCCACCCAGGCGGAGGTTGCTGGAGAAACTTTAGGTGCATAGATTCTACTTCTTCATCTACAGGCACTTCAAGGGGACCCAGGCGTTTTCCCCGCTCTGTTGGTGTCATGCGCACGTGGACATCCAAGTTGCCCGACGCTCGCACACCATCAACAAGGGAAGCTAATAATGAATCTCTGGGAAAATTAATAAGAATCAGGTGTTTAGGTTGCTTAACCAAAACAGGTTTAGCAAACCCATTCTACCCCTCTTTAGAATCAATGAGGATAAGGTACCTGGGATGCTTAACCAAGGAAGATTCAGCAAACCCATTATAATCCAATTTAAAATAAATAAGGATCAAGCACAGAATCTGGGTTGCTGAAACAAGGAAGAATAGGTACAACAATTCTACTCCAATTAATTAAGAATAAGTGAAGATGACAAATAGATGGATAAAGAGATTATGTATTAATCATAAATAAGTATATCATCTCAAAAGAAGGAAACCAATATAAAGTCAACTCTCACTGCTCTACACTTCATTTATCTGGCTTCTTCGTTACCCAAAGAATGTTTGTGTATTCAAGTTTATCAGAGTGTCCTTTGCCGAGAAAATTAGACATTGCTGTATTTACCCATATTCATAGATACAGTATATTTTTTCATATAACTGGTGAAAACCAATGTATTTTTTGCTCATATAATCTACACAAATAAGAAGTAAATAACACTTGCTTACAATTCAGTATGTAACAGATTCCTCCTTAATCTATAAGTGTGAGCTGACTGTATATTATAGAATAGATCAAAATATGTCAATAAAAATGTATACATATTGTAATTACAATAGCATCAAAATCATGAATTTACACTTGTCTCAAACATAAAGAATGTATCATGTAAGTACATCCTTATAATCTGTATATAGATAACTGACTTAAATAAGTTCTATGATGAATAAACAAAAGCTGGTAAAAGTAAATTAACATCTTCCTCATCATATGGTCAAGCTGGCATGTGCAGTTATGATGGCAACAAAATTGTACATGAAAAATTTAATCCTCCGAGCATGTGGTAAGGAAGAGTTAAAAAGTAATTCATTATTAATCCTACCTGTCAGAGGAAGTGTATTCTCGGTTGCCTCCTCTTATATATTCTACTGTGAGCTTTTGTGGGTTCTCGAGGTGACGGACTAGAGCGAAGACTTCCGAGAGAGGACGTAAAGTGACAATGGCATAGGAATTAGGGTCACGTTCTAGTAGGCACGTCTCACTTACACAAATGGTTCTTCTGACTGGGTCATTGTGTCTGTGGCTCACTTTGTGCACAAGAAATTCGCATAAAGATGTAATGTGTTCGTCTCCACTGTAAATAAAGTAAAAGAGGCATCAAGCATGAAAAAATTCTCATTGGATTAGTGAGACTTCATTTAATCAAAGCCAATGATCAATCCTAACTGAATTATGTAACTTAAGTGGACAAACTTGTACAAATTTTTTGGATGCACATCTCCTGTTTTTCCTCCATATATTTATAACTGTTACCAGACCCAGCAACTTCCTCAACAATATTACATTCTTCCTAAGATTTCTCATTCCTCAATCATCCATTTTCTTCAACATCAAAACTTTGTCAACTATCCTCGGTCAAATTGTCTTACTGTTTATTCCTATTGTATACCTGCACTGCCTCGGCACATAGGAAACTAAATATATACTCCCACAGTCTATGTTCACCATATCCTGTACCTGCATTGTCTATACTCATGCTGAACTGTATACTGCACCTGTATCTGCATAGTTTATACACATGCCTACCCAATTGTTAACCTGAATGACAATTTTACTGAATCAAAATTATTACTGTATTACATTATTACTATTATTATTATTATCATTATTAATAAACCAATGCAAGGAAATTCAAACTATAAAATTTATTCTGGTTATGTAATACAGGATACACAAACTTACCTATATTTCCCTACTCTAGTTTCCATTGCAAGTTGAAGGGTGATGCACACTTTTTTTGCTGTAATAGCTATTCCAATGTATTTCTTAGCATTATCTTCAACCTTCTTAAGAATTTCATCCCGCCGATCAGTTGAAAATATGTGTAATCTCCCAAAGCCTCCACTCTGTAACATAAGTTCAATAACACCATTATTAGTCAAAGTACAATATTATACATAGCTCCATCTCCTTCATAAAGTGACAATTAGAAATAACCAGTATTTGTACATAAAGCTTGAACAATTTACTTGAGTACAGTACAGCATAGTACAGTGCACTACAGTATAGTACTATACAGTACAATATTGTGCATTAGAGTATAGTACAGTTCACTATAGTACAATACAGTAAAGTATAGTACATAATAGTATACTGTAGTACAGTACAGTACATTTCAGTACAGTACATTACAGTAGTAAAGTTTATGCAAACACTAAGACAACTGACAATACAATAATATGGATTATTAAAACATGTAACAACATACAGCTTCATCAAATCACAGAACATCATATAATGTGGAAGAAGTACAGTAGAGTAATACTGATGGACGTTTAGCTAACAATCAATCACAATTTATAAAATGAAATTCCAGATAAATACAACTGTATGGTGATACCAGTTACAGTAAAGCAACAATATACTGACTCTACGAATAATCAGGCTACTGTATAAGAAATGACATGAGGGACTACAAGAGACAATGCAGCATGGAGAACCCACACAAGCATGGAAAATGGCTCCCAAGCATTGCTGATGATGATAATAATGATGGCCAGGAATATAGTTAATCCTTAACATAGTCCACGAGCATTGTGGTTCCATATTTTACAGCAAACTAATTAGGGAATGCACAGCCTTTTTATAACATGACATGGTGCTTAAACTATCATGCTCTAAGGTGAGCCAGTGCAACCACTTGCCAAGTTATGAATATTTCAGCTGTAGCAACCAGTGGATTGGCAAACTGTTACTAATTGAGCATGTCACTTGCGCTCTCTGGATATGAGCTCACAGCTCCAGCTGTATATAAGAAGTGTATCACTGAGTTACAACAATAAAATCCATGCCATGCCATTAAATATTCTCTTACCAAAAGAGTGATGGAAAATGGACAGCACCCAACATTATTCTTATAAAGTAACTGGAACATTTAGACATTAAAACAAACAACACCAATATAGTGGTGAAACCAACTAAAAGAAACACTTTTAAAAATAAATAACTATACAGTAATATAGAGATCTGGTGGTATGGTATGTATGGTGGTGGGATAATCTGGTGGTGTGATGATCTGGTGGTATTTAAGGTGGTGCATTGATCTGGTGGTGAAGGGTGTATAGTGACACAGGAGATGTAGACATTTTGGCAGTTAAAGCTTAACTAAAGCCTTTGAACAGGTGGGGAAGGGGTCAGTAAGCCTGGGAATATGATGTAGACTGCACAGAAACTTAAATTATTGCAGTGAAAGTTCCTGACTCTTAAAGAGGGTTTGTGCACCGATTTAATTTAAGGCCCCAATTCTGGCTTAAAGCACTAAAAGTATTAATACTCTGAACTGAAGACTAACCTGAAATAAAAAGAATAAAAAATATTGTACTGAATACATTTAAGTATACAGTCAGAAAATGAGGCATACAGTGAACCTGCCAAACATATATACTGGGTTTAACTCCTGTGTGTGTCTGTTGAATGTCCTACACAACGGATTCTGAGCCTTGTCCCTGGATGCATTGTAAAAAAGAAAAAGAAAAATTTAAAAATCTTACCTGAATACAGAGGCCACCAGGAATGTCTGACACCGGAACAAGAGCTTCAATATCTTTGAACATGTAGGAGGCTAGAGGGGCCCCTGTCGCAGCATCAAGCTGGTCCACAGAGCATGGGGTAACCTCCAATACTACTGGATGTCTTGCTTCTGACCAGTGGACCTTTTGTGCATTGGCTCGCTAATGGGTTAAAATTTGGTGAATCATTTTGATAAATTTATAATGTTTATATACGGTAGACAGTAAGAGATTTTTTTCCTACGATAGAAGAACTGTCAAGGAGGTCAGAGTTTAGCGAGTTTTTAGTGAAAGAAAGTCCAATGCTGTGATTTTCAAACCTTTCAACAAGATACATACTGTACATCTCTCAAAAGTTAATAAGAAAATCAGCATTACATGTCTAACCACAATAATTGATTGTTTTATTATCTGAGTCTGAAACTATTGTGTGCTAAATCTATGATACAAGACCTCAACTTTCTACAATGCAACAAAGTATATGGTAAAACAGTGATGCTTATCATATATAACTAATAAGTTCCTCATTTTTTCCCTATATACTGATATCATGATGACCTTACTCACAAAACTTACAACCACTCCATTCCTCAGTCACACGGAAACCTTCAAATCACCTAATTACCTGCAATATAAATTTTCAAAACAAAGAGTAAACCTAACCCTGGAAAATGGTACAACTCTCACCCTGAACACAAATTAATAAATATTTAAACAGAGGAATCTGAAAATTTGCAGAATTTTATACAACAACCTTATCATGTTATGTTATGACTTTCTTTGAGTAAAGTACATTTAAGAAGTGACACTACTGTTATATTGCCACATAAACACAGTGGTGAAGGCTAAAAATAAATAACTTACCAGGTTGTCTATAATTCCTTCAGCAAAATTGTGCCTAAACACTAGAGCCTCAGAGATAATGTCTGTCCGGTGTTCTGATGAGAAACGCATGTGGTCCACTTTCTTCCCTTTTCTCATAGTTATGATAAACTCATTAGGAACCTGAAAGAATTCATGAAACTCAACATCAACTACCTATAATATTAACTGCTATCTTAATTTATGCCATTATCTAAGAATTTCAGAAAAATATCTATAATTTTATATTCTTGGAAACTTGACTGATTTCAATTTTATACAGATGTAAAGAAAATCCATATACTCTACATTTCCATCCATAGCTTCAGTTATTATTAAGAACTTAAAAAATGTAATATGTATAGTACAGTACAGTAATGTATAAACAGAAATATGGTAAGCTAAGTAGACAAAACTGCAAAGAATTAGTATGAGGCATGATCCAGCATCAAGAGTTCATTAAAGGTAAACACAGGAATTAAGTATTTAATGGGTGAATACTTACTTGACCAACACCCTTAAGGGCTGGAGTTATGTTGAGGAAGTCATGGTAATACCACTGGTTGGTCACCTCCATACTACCAGGGTTATATGTGGTAATGCCAGCATTTCCCACACTGAAGATGCGCTTGTATCTAAAGGATTGTTCTCTGTATCAGTACCGGACTTGCATAGCTTTATAAAATAATACTGTATGTACATTGGCAACTTAAAACAAACTGTTCATCACAAAGACACTTTATAATATTTCTCTGTGTATGTATGAATATTTTTTTTTTAAATAAAAGACGACTTTAATATCCAATGCTCGAAAATGTGTAACCCAGACCAACACACACAAATTACTGTATAAACCTATGAAAAATAAATAAAATAAACAAAATAAAATAAATAAATAAATATATAGTTTAGAGTTTGTTACAAGTTAAATTATTTTTATATAATGAATGTGTAACTTACTTGCCCTTCCATGCGGAGTGTTTAGTAACCAAGTAACACGCCACATCCTGGTTGTTTGTCCCCATGGTTCAGCCCCCCACACTGTTGACCAAAGCTTGTTGTTATGCACACAACACATGAACTCTTTATAACCTGTTAACTGTACCCTTATGATATTTAACATGAAGATAAAATGGGTAATAAAGAACAGTATAAGGAATAATAAAATATCCTACACACATGACCTATCATCTCACACAGTATTCCTTTGTTCTTGTAAATCTAAGGCTATGTTATGAATTCATCATACTTTGTCAAATTTACACTCTGAGTACAAAACCTTATCAAATAAATGCTTTTAACCCCTTCAATACAGGGATGCCACTCTTAATATTTGAATTGGCTAATCCCAGACAATTTTATTCAGCTCAGAGGGCCCCCATACACAAATGGTTAAGGAGCAACACATTACCAAAGATAAATACTCGTACTGTATGAAAATACTGTAACAGTATTGTTACAAGTATTAATGGGTTTTTCTTTACTGAAATCTTCAAAAATTAAAAAAAACTTTGAATTTATTTATGGAATGGCAACACTGTATGTAATTCCAAGAGCTCTGGCAAATGAAAACAAACTACTGTACCACTAAATACTGTTTGAGTTTGGCAGGAATGTAATACTGTACTAAGCACTTACCAAATTTAAGTTTATGAACTTGTGCTTTTTAAGTTTTATCACTTACAATGAAACTGATTACGGTACAAATTTAAGTTCTTTATATGTGCATTGATTAACTATATAAAGTCAATTGTGGTAAAAAAGAAATTCACAAAAACACTACTGAGAATTCGGCAATGAAAGTCTCAGTTCTGTGGTATTCTAATTTGTAATAAAAAAATAGTGTATCAGAATTCAGTCCTACAGTGTGCCTATTAAATTTCAACAGACAGAGCCTACATTGAGGCTATCACCTTAACCCATTAACAAAAATAAACAAACATAAACTACCTAAACCTATTGATTGTAAAAAAAAAGATTTATACTAAAATTAGGCAACCTTAAGATAGGTTAGGTTGCAAGATGGTGAAGCTTTGTAGCAACATGAGCTGTTCTTGTACATTAATGCTGTACATGTACTCATGTTTTATTTCTTACCCACTGAATTTGCATTCTACAAATTAAAAGTCATCAAAACTGATATTTTTGTCAAAAAATTATCTAAAGTTTTGGTAAACTACTGTATTACCATTAAACTTATTACATTATCACAAAAACCACTAAATTCTTATGAGAGTATTGGAAATAAATTCATATATAACTTAATGATACCAGGTTCTAGCTCACTTTAATGCCCCCCCAGTAACTGCTTGAAAACATTAACTTTCAAGGTATGAGTGAAAAAGTGTTTGAAATAAAGAATATTAAACCGATGAAGTCATAAACAAATTTTTCAAGAACACATTCACCACTAATTCTCCTTTCACTAATTATATATATCAAGACAAATGACACCAAGCATATAAAGCAAGGGATAATAAAGACCATTTTATCAAGAGTAAGATCCACCACATATCTGCATTAAGGTGTTAAAACGAATGTTACGGGGAGGTAGTGTGCTTGGCGGAAGAGCCGCTCAGCTAGACTAATAGATCTCTTTTAGTACAGTACAGTACTCTATTTACCCCAAACATAACCATTTGCACTAAGATCACCCATGTGCTCTCCTCACCCAAATTGGTTATTCAGGTGAGTAAGGTGATTGAGATACTGTGGACAGCTAAGATGAAGAAGATACTGTGAACAGCTAAGATGATGAAGATACTGTGAACAGCTAAGATACTGTGGACAGCTAGGATAAGAAATGTGAGTAAAAGTTTAACACAGTGCATAATAATATGAGCCACCTGAGGGAAATTGTACAGAAGAATTACATCTGTCCTACTTTTGTTTTTCCAACTTTTTTTATCATGCTGGCAAACCTTGGTGGACCCGCCCCCTAGGTGCGCCGCCAATATCAGGTGTTTATGTGAGTGTTAATACTGGTAAACAAATGTCTTTTACTTTTACGTTACTTTTATCCTCTTCACCACTGATTGGCTCGTTAGCCGCTTGGGCGATTGGTCACGTCTCTGTTACTTTTCTTTTTCTTTTATCCTCTTCGCCAAATGATCGGCTCGTTAGCCGCTTGGGCGATCGGTCATGTCTCTGTTACGCAGTTGGCAAGTACTGGACATGCACCGGCTCCTGAATGTACCTGAACCTGTTCCAGTGTTGGTCAAGTCTCGTCTTCAAAGAGCTCACACTTAGGTGCCGTCACAACACTTTCTGGTAGATTGTTCCAAGAGTTCACAACTAAGACATAAGATTAAGTTTCAGAAAAGGACAACCTTAGAACTCTATATACAGGTATCCCCCTATTTGTGAGAGGGTTGCATTCCTGGAAACCCAAGTGTATAATGAATTATCTTAAATTAAGAGCCTTTTAACATGGATTTCAATGAGATACATTCCTGACCTGTCTCACACAGACATGTATCAACGAAAAAACTATCCTACACTAATCAAACAAATAAATAAAAAATTAACAACACTCAGTACATCAATAATAACATGCCTGCTGTTTAACAATGTTTTAACTTTGTCTCATGAGACAAGGTCTTCCTCGAAATCTCGGCTTTCCCAGAGGCAGGAGATTCAGCAGGACACTTGTTAGCCATTTTCAAAGTCAACAGTTGATCACTTTACAGTCACCAATAAATGGCAAATGTCACAGCAATCACTATGTTATGCAAGATAAGTACAGCAATGATAACTTTTGTTACATGAGAGAGGGCAGGTGCAATCATATTGGAAATAATCATGGGACTAATACACAGGGTGGTCATGAGATTGCGTATAGGTAGGTGACACCGCCCGGAGGATGGAAAGAAGTTTCTGCATATAGCAGCCATCTTGGATTTGAAAAGTGAAGGGAGAAACGCACTTCCCCAGTCTTTATATTCCCTGTCAGCAAGTTTAGTCTCCCGACAACTATTGTTAACGCATACTGTATTTTACCTAACATAAATCATGGGAGTGTGTTTTAACCTAACTAATGTTAATACAGATTAATGTAAATCAAATCATTGTAAATACGGGGGTGCCTGTACTGTACTGTACTGTACTGATGTTTGAGTCATTAGGTTAAGACAAGTATACTGATGTTTGAGTCATTAAGTTAAGACATGTATACTGATGTTTGAGTCGTTAGGTTAGACATATATAATGATGTTTGAGTCATTAGATTAGGTTCTTGATGACTTTTTTGTTTGGCAAAAATGTATTTCCTCTGGGATGTTCTTTAAAAACTGAAGAACTTTTCTTCTGTTCAAATGTTTCCTAATTGGGCTCCTTAATTCAGGCACCTGTTCTTAAATACAGGTAGCTATTACATGTTTTAAAGTTTTCAGTGGCTATATATTGGTTGTTAGCTTTGGTTTCATCAGTTTTGGATGTTTCTACCCCACAATTTTCCTTTACTTCAAAGCCCCTCCGATTTTGTGTTATCAAAATTGTATGTTTCAATGAAACTGAAAAGTAATAACCAAAAAAATCGAAAAATATAAATTTCTGACAAAAACAGAATAGAGTAAAGTATTCTTAGTTTTGGCTCAATCTCCTTATATACAAATCAATACTGTATAGAGTTCCATGGTTGTCCTTTTCCAAATTTTTACTGATATTAACATTTTTGCTTCATAACAGCAAAATAACCAACAGCAACAACTTATGAACATTTTTGTATAGATAATTAGAAATTCATTTTTAAATTAATAACAACAAATAACAAGGTTTCCTGATAATTTTCATATTAATAGGTTTGGCAAATTTGTCCAGGACAATGTTTCATACCTGAAGAGCATCTCCTTATACCCACAAATGCTCACCAGCAACTAACTACCACCGTATTTTAGGTTAGGTATTGGTCAGGGTGTTGTTTTATTATTAATTGACTATGTGGAAAGTTTGCTGGGAAGGTTGCTAAGCATTAGAATCCCTTTATCGATGGCGAGGGCATCAACATTTTAACCTTAAACATGGTGAAGAAGATGTCCATGCTGATTTTCCTCTTAATACATACTGTACTAGAGCAAAACCAATGAAAGAAGATGCAATTTCTTCAAGCTTCTATTGATATTTGCAGGGCAAGAAATAAGTTTTCTTCTATACAATATTTTCCTAATGTGGTTCATAATAATATGCACTTGTAAACTAAGGTATTGCTGAAATATTGAGGTACTAGAGAGGGCAGGTACTAGAGAGGGCAGGTACTGAAGAGGGCAGGTACTTGAGAGGGCAGGTACTTGAGAGGGCAGGTACTGGAGAAGGAAGGTTTGGGAAGAAAGATTATAGTGGCAATCAGAAGACAACAGCTTGGTTTTGGGGACATGTTCTGAGAAGGGTTGGGCTGGAAATTTTAAACTAAACAAGGAACATCGAGGGGGTTAGAAGAAAGGATTGGCAACATCAAAAGTACCCAGATGGAATCCTGGAGGATGCTGGTGGTGGATGAACAGCTGGAAGGCTGATGATGAAGCATGGCAAAGTGGTCAACAATACTGCATACATCTAACTGAATGGACAGATTTAATACTACTATGAGATAACACTTCTACCTTTTATGTAACCACTTATATGGAACTTTCACTTGTGACTTCTGCAGCTTTACAAAATATCTTATGGAACTATGAATAGTTATTTTTAAAATCTTGAAGTAGAAATTTTATATAATTATGTAAAAATGTTTCCAAACATTGTATTTTTTATAAAAAAAACCCAGGTTAGTGTTGCCTGACATATTTATACTTCATTCTTTGTCAAGTTGGTTGCAACTTCCTTAAAAATAAGGACTTAGCTGTCACAAGTGACATCAGACACCAACTACATCAATACAGTCCACACTTCAGTGATGATAGGTTTTGAGGGTACATATATTGACTGCCCATGTACCAAGGTACGAGTCAACTAATTTTTTTTAATTTGACTACAAGTTAACTACCAAATTAGATGTTTACACGATAAAAATAAGGTTATATAATGCGAGAGGGTTATTTTTACTTGCAATATGTTGGAAACATAATTGTGATGGTAGCGGAAAACAAGTGGACAGTCATACTCGCTGACTGTCAACTCAGTAGATAAACTATATAAATCCTCAGGTCAAAGTGAAATAACAATTATATCCAGTAGACTGATAAAGTACATATACACGTACCTGTTGTAAAATTCTGCAAGTTTCTAGCGGAAGAAATAGCTAATAAATGTCCATATTTTCACCCGTGACAGTTCTCTGTGTTTACGGTGGGTGTTTTGCTGGGAGGATCTGTCCTTCTACTCTCTGCCCGATTGATACCGCTTTGGCTTTATCTCATATGTGTGCAAGATTAACGCAATTTCTGATAATTTCATACATTAATGCTCAAATTTTTAATTAATTGTTTTTAATTAGTTTATAATATCTCGTTAATTTGCTAGTAATTGCAGAACAGGTAAGTGAAAATTCTACCTTGACGACTATAATAATTGGTAATAGCAGTGGAGTGTAACATATTCAAAGCAAAAATAACTAGACTAACTCTTTAAATTCATAGATAATATGCAAATTATTTCCAGCAATCTGCTAATGAATTATTAATATCCTTTACAACTCCTGTGGTGATAAGATAATGTATTTCATAAATACGTACAGTATTAGTACTCTATACAGTATTTCTTACACGGAGACATGATTTATTAAGTAGAAGTTATGGTTTGAAATATATCTAAATACTCAGCAGATTCTATAAAGAGTTTCATAAAGAATATCGATAGTAAAATTACTTTGCGTTGGGATGCTGTGTCTCGACCTGTGGTTAAGATCGGTTCAGATGATATCTTAAGTTACGCTCACTGTACCCTCCACTGTCCGCTTATGTTACATTTTCAATACCTTTCCGCACTCTTATATTACGTCCATTGTCACACACACACTACAGTATGTCACTACCCACCTAAATTACATAACTGGTTGATATAAGCTACTGAGTATGAAGGGAGGCCGGAGTCACTATCAACGTTGCCGAAGACTATTTCCGGCTTTAAAGTCATGTAGTACACTCCTGAAATGCTGACACTATTAGATAAGAGAGCGGAATTTGAAACCTTATTGAAGACACATCAACCCGATATAGTAGGTGCTGTAGAGCTGTTGTACAAGAAAAGGAGAAACGACTCGGAGGATGAGGTCATTATATTGTAGATGGATATGACTCAATTATGAACCTTAAGATTAACCAACCTACCACTACGGTTTCCTCCTGCACTATAAAGGTCGTAAAAAGTAATAAAGAACAGACCAACCCGTCGAATAACTTATGAGGTTTTAAGTAGTGAAATTAAAAACAAAACCAAAAACACCAGACTGTATCCGGCCCTGGCAGATAGGACGTCCATATCCGGCCTCTAGAACTACGTGAAGGTAAGGCACCCCAGTTTATTTCACCTGGTGATTAACCACCCTAAATCTTCCTGGGGGTCTAGATTATGTTGGGTTAGGTGAGCGTAAGGGTGGTTAATATTAGGGTGTAATAAATTGGAGTGTGTAATCTTTATTTGCTCCGACCGGTGTCGTAAGAATCAAATCTCTATCTGTATTTTTGTTTACGGGGAATAATCCACCCGGGCGAAAAATTAAGAGTAAAAAGAAATTAAAAATAGAAGAGAAAAAGACTATTAATCTACACACGAAGATGCAAGAAGACAAGCTTTTTGAAGTAAGGCAGATTGTAAGAGTATGAAAACATAGAAGAAGGCAGAGAATTCCACAGTTTGGCTGTGTGAGTTATTCTAGTGTGACCGACATCCACACAGAAATGGTAAGACAGGTATTCCGAGCCCACGGTCTTGCCGGCGGTACACAGGATGCCAAATCCACCGAACATTATCCGTTCAAGTACCTGTAAAAGAGAGAGTGAAGCAACATTGCTTCGAAGAGAAAGGGAAGAGAGATTATCAACTAAAGGAGGAGAGTTAATAAGGCGAAATGCCTTTGATTCCACTCTATCTAACAGTTGGACAGTTGGATCAATTCTTACTATATTTTCATTACTGAATTTGGATATAATATTCATTTCTTGGACAAATACTTTGTTTGGTAGATAATTAGGCCCCTAGGCTAGTGAGCTATCAAACAGGGAGGTACTACTGCCTGCCAGTGTTGCCAGTGGGAAAATCAAAACGTATCCAAAAAGATACTTAAAAGTAAAAACGTATCCATAATCATCTAAAAAGTATCCACAAGGTATACACTAGGGGGACCGGTGGTAGAAGCGGTACCGTTCTAACATTGCAAGCGAGATGTCACGGGTTCGATTCCCGGGCCGGTGGAAGTTGTTTGGACTTACTTCTTAGCCCCCATTAGTCCCTGTTCACCTAGCAGTAAAGTAGGTACCTGTTGTAAGTCGAAAGTTGCGAATTCATATTCAGGGAGTTGTTGGAGCTTCCAATAACATGATGACATAAACCACTGACTCTTCAGGCTTCTACGCCCTTAACTCATGAGACATAAAGGCAAGCATGAACTTAGCATGCTTCCCTGTTGGGCCCTGTAAACGCTTCTGCGCTTCACCTTACACAAGGATGTAGGGGGAGTGCCCAACAAAAAAAATAATACACTGCCACGTTCGTAGAGTGATACGGTATATTATTTGTAATGAAAGTTTAAAATCCTGCTATAATAGTCGAGATAAGTTTATTTCTCTGGAAACAGGACCGCCATTTGCAATGACGTCACAAGTTTAAAACCCCCTGGGCTGCAGTCGTAGGTGGAAAGGATGGCCTCTTCAGATCCCAAATTCCACGTTCAGGTAAATTTTAAGGGTGTTTTTTTTTATGATCTGAGTCATGGATATTTCGTAAGTGAAGAATTGTGCCGTGAAGAGCAGCTTCAAACAAAGGTTTGATGGATATACAGTATGACCGATAGGGGTTGGGTGTAAATGAGCCTGCCCAGCATGGTGTCCTCCATTCTTATGGTCTTTTGGACATAAAAAACTCCCATATTCACACCAGCTCAGCTGTCATGTACTTTTACCTGGTAGACTTTCTCTTCTTTTTTCAGTGGATTTACAGAGTATATCAGCACTAGATGGATATACGAGTAAATTTATAATTGATGTCATTGTCTGGACTTTGTTTTGATAATGCCTGATGCTTGCTAAACATGACAGCATAGTGCTGTTATTGTTTTGATGATTCACTAATGAACCACTGGGATATACAGTATCATCATTTATGTTAAATAATGGGTAAAATTTTACAATAACTACCTTAAGTATTTTGATGTTTAGATTCGAGATAGGCTATATTGGGTAAATTTTAAGTTGTGGTCATCCCTGTCGACTTGCAGACTTTTTTTCTGATGGTTTATGATGTGTTATGAACGATTCTGACCCTCATTTCCATCGAGAATCACGAGTTACTACCCCCCTCTTAACCGATGTATGTTAAGCTAACCTAATATCTCATCGTACCCTAACCTAACCTATGATCTGTATTTTCTGATGCGATCGAAAAATGTTTTGTGACAAAAATCCTGTAGAGATAATGTGTCTTTTTGAGTACTTGATCCCATAGTTAGACTCTTAAGGTACCCCAAATGACTAAAAAATACCAATATTGTTTAGAATGTTTATACAGTACTATGAAATTTGTTGTATGGGCAGCTAATATCCATTGAGTTAGTTTATGTGCTTATTAATATTTATATATTCAAATTAGTATTACTGTGTTGCACAGTAAAGCACAATTATTATTATCTAATAATATTTATTTACTGAACCCATCAGCCGAGAAGGTTGGACAACTACGGCTGGGAAGCAGGGTTGCCAGATGTACGACAAGCTTCACGGCCAAATTCACGCCATTTCACGGCCAAATCGGCCAAAACTTTTTGGATGGGAAGCACAAGGCTATTTTTGCATTCCACACAAAATAAAAGTATCCCCTACAATATCCACTTAAAATGTCGTAATAAAACCAAATTTTCACTTAGAATTGAGAGCCCAATAATTACATAAACATAATATCTATAATCTACAGTGAAGATTTACCTTAATCTGAAATGGTGGTGGAGCATGATAATGGTGGAGAACTTGATAACACTAGCTGACGTGAACAAAAACGTCTAGTTCGTCATCGTTATATTTTCTACCACTGTCCTAGGACCTTTCCATTTACTAGTGGACATTCAGAAAACTAGCACTCGGAATTTCAGAAAGTAACTCAGATGACTTTGTAAGCTCTGAAGCTTAACCCATATGCTGGACACATTCAGCCTGAACAACTCAAATATGAGAACTAACAACTAAGGTAGTAACTAGAAAGATCAGTCAACTCAGTAGGTCACGTAAACATGTGAAGTGGTGAGGTCACTGATTAGGTGGTCATGACAAGGTGAGGTCACTGAGCCAGCATATTCATTGTGAAATTTGAAAATCTGCTAGATTTTTCTTCACAGTCCACTAAATGAGAAATTAATACGTGTCTTACAAAATTCGGCCAAATACTTTGGCCGTGACCATCCATTTTTTCACGGCCAGGCGAAGTTTTTTTTTTTTTTTTTTTTACGGCCTTATTAGAGAATTTGGCCATGGAAACGGCCATTGGGCAACCCTGCTGGGAGGTCACCCCCAACCAGTGACGTCACAACCAATCAGCTTTTTGGCAGTCACGTGACGTTTTAGCAACTTTAGCCCTTATATTTGTTTTACACTTTGGCCCAATTTATTTAAAAATGTCATTACCATAGTGAATTTAAGCGTTTTCTTTACCCATTGACCTGCCATTTTACGAAAAAATTCCGACTTCAAGAATTCTATTATAAGAATAGAAGAGTGATTCTATTGATTCTATGTGTCGTTTTGTATTTCACATTTCTTGGTTCACCTCAAGATCATGTAGGTGATTAAGAGTAAACCACAAAAACGGATGGTTAAATAGTGCATTTTATCACTATACCCCCCTGTAGTAATTTTATTAATTATTAATTGTATCGTGATGAACACAACCAGTCAACATTAAATTTATATAGTAGCATACAGACTGAGTTTTTTTTGTGCATATTTCTAGATCTAGTATGACAACAAAGTTAAACTGAAATATAATGGCGTCATCAATAATTTTACTGCTTTTAAAATGATGTAATATTAAATTGGGGGTTTAAACCCTATTATGACTAAAAATTTTAAGGCTTTCCTAACATACAGTTTATAGATGAAATTTGCATAATAGAAAAGGCACTGAAAATGTTCATTGATTACGAAAAGTTTCACTGATTACAAACAGTTACAATAATGAATTGATATACTGAAATAATAGATATGATGATTCTAGATTATAAATATTACCAACTTCAATATTCATGATTTGCTCTTTTCCTCCCCTACTTATCTTTGAACGCAGCTTGAGCTGAGTGAATCATCGAATCACTAGGCTCCCATTCGTAGCAATATCACCCCCATTCCCTTTTGCTAACAAAAGGCCATTTAACGACTCTGTGATCAGCCTGTTCCTAACATCCGTCTTCATGAGTTTTACGTGGGAGAATATTCTCTCAACTGCAGCAGAAGTGTGGAAAAGCTAATAAATTCAACAAATTTTGAAAGTTTTGGGAACATAGACAGGAACGTAACGTGTTCGTTGAATCGAGAGAATTCCCCTTTTAAAGGGATTCCATCTGTAAATTTTCCTTCCTCGACATTCCATACTGTAATATACTTAGTTTGTTTTGCATAACCATGACAGAGGGAGGGAAATAGAAAAAAAACTTTTTCTAATCAAAGCCCACCAATTTAGTTGGTTGTGTGGAGGTTCCAACTACAACAACGGGGTAACTTCTGTTGGCAGAAGATAACAAACAAAAGTCACCGTGTTGTGGAGAGCTATAAAGTCAAAATCCCCTTTCACGTTACCTTTGCTTATATGCATGTCTGAGAAAGGTAATGTTTTTAACTTCAGTATCATAATGGGTCAAAATCATCCGGAAAAATATAAGTAATAAAGAATATGAAAAAGGAATAATATATGGAATAAACAAAATATATAAAACGTATCCAATTTCTCAAAAAAATAGTAAAATAGTACCCAATTTCTGCCATTTCGTATCATTTTGGTCAGCGTCGTATAAAGGTACGCCTGTCAAAAAGTATCCAAATGAGAAGCATAATGTATTGTCTAATGGTGGACCCTGCTGCCAGACATCACGAAAATAGTGACCAAGTCCCAGGTTGCTGATCTGACTTGCTGCCTCGTTTACACACAATTGTTGGGGCTCGATTGTTTCTCTTTGACAACACAACATACATGTATCGGTTCTTACTTTTGATCTTTTTTAATTGTTTTTCTTTATGGTTCTTTATTATTATTATTATTATTATTATCAGTTATTTAATTTTAAATGTTTAGGTTTTTATTTTAAATTTTATTTACTTGAATTAATTATTATTATTATTACATTTTTGCCCCCCAGGCCCCGATGTGGGTCAGTGACCTGTGCCCGGGTGGGCTAATCTCTTTAAAAAATAATAAAATAAAAATGTGTAAGAATGAGCGGGGCACCGAGTTACTAGTGTTGTAGTGGTTACTCTCCCCTCCAACTGCACCTACGCTAGTGTGGGGTATGAGATGTTTGGTTCACACTCAGGATGGGTTGGAGAAAGGAAACTCACAATGTGCTCTCTATATACATGTTGTATTGGATGTACAATGCAGCTTGGTGCTGGGAAGGCAGCATGGTTACAAGCGTGATGTAGAGAGAGCTGGTTGGTGAGGACGCTCAGAGAAGGACAGCTTGTGGGTCGCCATGCTCGCCAGCGGGAGAGAGGACCGCCAGGCAGGCAGAGGTGTTGCTGGCTGGTTGGTGTGGGTAGAAAGAGCGATCACCACGAGGTCAGGTCTTAAATAGCGGGGGTAGGCGTGGCTTAGCAGTTGACCCCCGCTCCGTGATGTATGGCGGCGCTGGTTGACCTAGACCACGAGGCATACACTGGGGAATTGGTGGGGTCGGCTAGGCAGCGACAAACAGCGTTTGTAGGGGAGAATTCCACTACAATACTCCCCCTTCCCTCCAGGCGGTGTAGGAGACTTGTTGTCTGCAGAGTTGCTTAGCACATGTGAGGCAGAACGGGCGGTGCGTGCCTCATGTGAGACAACGGCGATGGCGTGGATGAGCCGGTCGCTGGGGACAACTGTCTAGATACACAATATCTGTGGGAGTAGAGAGGGAGAATAAGGGTGTGTGGAGGCGATGAATGTTGTGCTTCCCTCACGGCAGGTACAGAGTCGTCAGATGCGCCTGCTGGGGTGTGTGGGCCTGGGTCAGGAGCAGGGGCTGCGTCAGCAGAAGCGGATGAGGGCTCGTGACAGCAGCTGGGTCCACGACAGCAGCAGGGTGCAGGACATTAGCAGGGAGTACCTGAGGGAGAAAAGAGGGGTGTGTGGGTCCGCACTCAGGAACAGAGGCCGCATCAGGGGCGGCAGGGGTTACTGCTGGGCCGGGGTCGGCGTCTGAGGCAGGACGGGTGTGCTGGGGTCGGAAGAGGAGCGACTGTCTGCTTAGAGTAGCAGAGCTGCTCTAGGGTGTCTGACCTGCGGTGTAGAGACAGTAGCTGTAGAGCCGATGAGAGCTGCTTCTGGGTGGATAAGCCAGTCTTCCATGTTGCTTGAAGACTGGGAGCGTGATCAGTTTCTCCTCCATCCTGTGTGAGTGCGAATCTCCGGGAGTCACCATTTGTGGGGTTCAGGATGTTTGGTTCACACTCAGGATGGGTTGGAGAAAGGAAACTCACAATGTGCTCTCTATATACATGTTGTATTGGATGTACAATGCAGCTTGGTGCTGGGAAGGCAGCATGGTTACAAGCGTGATGTAGAGAGAGCTGGTTGGTGAGGACGCTCAGAGAAGGACAGCTTGTGGGTCGCCATGCTCGCCAGCGGGAGAGAGGACCGCCAGGCAGGCAGAGGTGTTGCTGGCTGGTTGGTGTGGGTAGAAAGAGCGATCACCACGAGGTCAGGTCTTAAATAGCGGGGGTAGGCGTGGCTTAGCAGTTGACCCCCGCTCCGTGATGTATGGCGGCGCTGGTTGACCTAGACCACGAGGCATACACTGGGGAATTGGTGGGGTCGGCTAGGCAGCGACAAACAGCGTTTGTAGGGGAGAATTCCACTACTAGTGTTTCTCGAGGAACCCACACACCCCATCTTTTCAGGGGCGGAGCCAGAAATATCAAAAGGGAAGGGCCAAGAAATTGTGAGTGGGGGACCGTGGCGAGCATAGCGAGCCTACTCAACTTTTTTTTTTTTTCGTGGGGATTGCTTTAAGCCACCCAGAAAAAATTTTGAAATCGGACTAATGGGCATTTGAGGCCATGTGCACTTGATATTAGGAGATATTCTGAAGTCATTAATTTTACTGTGCAAAAACGCCTCAGTACAATACTACATTAAAGAAAAAGTATTGGATTTTTCTATATTATCACTAATGAAATTCGTGGTTTACATAGGGGTAATGCAGCAATACTTTACGTAATTGCGGGTGTTTTTGAGTAGCTAAAACACAGGAAAACTTGGTGGGTGGGGAGCAGAGGTATTTTACCAAGGATTATGATAGGAACTAAAACTTGTATATTTCCTTTGATCCCCATCAATGGTTCCATCTATTGGACAAGCCAAAATCCAGAGAAAATGGTCATTTGTGTTTTCGAGAAAATTTCTATTTTGTTAATAGTAACTCTAGTATTTACCGTTAATATTACTTTCTCTACCATTGGCATTCATTATTATTTTCATTATTTATCATTTCACCACTTACTATCTTATTAGCCATTCAGGTGTGTGTGTTCGTTGTCCATTGTTAGTACAGGAGGAAACTGGTGTACCCTGAAGAAACTTGTGATGTAAGTAAGTAGGCTATTTTCAGCCTACTTAGCCAGTCTATACATCTGTAATGATAAATAAGAGCATCAACTATCAAAGGAAATTAAATTTAAAGGTGGCTGAATGAAAAGGACCTTTAAAGTACCAATAATTGCCAAGACTTTGTTTTACTCGCGGGTATCTTTAAATTGTGTCGCAACTGCAGTTGAAAATGTATACAAACATGAAGCAACTGCTCATGCACGATACCGATTACTACTAAGTCATACAAAAGGAAAATGCAAGGGTTAAAAATGTATTTGGTTCCAAATTGGTATTGAGTGACAGGCCTATAACTATAACCTAATTTTATCATAAATGCACATGGATATGTGCTTTCAAATGATTGGTTAAATTACAATTTAAGTCCCATCGAGTAAGCCCTTTTTTATAGTTTGTTTTAGGGTAGTTCTACCTCCTCTTTCAGATATATAACATAAAATTATCAGGAATTAATAGGAAAAAAGTTACAGCCAATTTAACTTTGCATTTGGCCTACAAACCGGTGGTCTATTGCTAGTGGGGTGGAATGGGCCCCAACTGTCAGAGCTAGTGGGATGGAATGGGCCCTACTGTCAGTGCTAATGGGGTGGAATAGGCCCTAACTGTCAGTTTATAGTCGGGTGAAATAGGTATGGCCCCTGAACCGTGCCTGGTCTGCCTCTTCTAGGAATTGTGTAGTACCTGTATATCACATTCAGTAGGTAGGCTACCCACTTAAGGTTACTGAGTAAAATTTTAGTTATGTAATGGTTCTAGGAATGTAATATTAGTTGAGGGGGAAGCTAGATTGAAAATATGAACACAAATACATCTCAGTTTATTGAGAACATTTTGAGTGACTATTTTTACAAGAGAATTCTTGGAAGGAATTTGTTTGTCAGGATTCAGTGGCTGAGAAATACAATAATTGATGATAATACTTTACCAATTTAAGTAATGTTCCTTACTCTCATATTCATTGATCTTGAGACATAGTAAACTAAAGTGGAAAGTTTAAAAAAGAAAGTTCTGTTGCAATAGTGTTGGGTGAATTCAGTACAGTATGTACAATAGCTAAAACAACTACAGTATCTGTGCAAGTGGGGGTCAATATGCTCCGAAATTTTACGTGTGACTAGTGACAGCCCTCATATACCAAAATTTATCGTTTGTGGTCTCATATTGTTTCCCACAAAGTATGCACAGATAGTTTGTTTAGCTACTGTACAAAGATACATATAATTGCAGTGTTTACAACTGATTCTGCATGTCTAGCTCTCTTGTAGTTGTCCAAAATGAATTACTGTGCATTAGCTTTTCATGTTCCCCAATTTATTTACCTGAATTTGAAAATATAAGTGTTGTGTAACACGGAGCATGTACTGTATCATTAATTTATAAATTTCCCCTATAAATGATCCCTATTATTATATTAAAAAAAAAATTATACCCCAGCCACTTAACCCTACAAACCACACACCTGACAACACAACTGTACAAAATGAGCATTGAATTCTATCAATCATTTATAAAGTTATTGAAAATTAAATTTTATTTACATGGCAAGTGGTATTAAAAATTTGATCTTACAAAGATTAAAATCAGTAGTTACTTGAGCATTTATATAAAATGCATATTCTATCATGTTAAACGTGTTTATGGGAATTCCTCCATATGATGAAATGACTGAGAACAGATATTGCAAACTTGTATGATAGTGAAATATTATCTTCAGCTTCTCGTTCATGATTCAAAATTTGGGATAAACATTTAATGAAATCAACTTAATGCAATATTATAACTTTCAGGAATTGTGATTTGTTTATAATGGAGTCACATAAATATCAAATATGACATCCACGTGAAAAAAATTATTATTTATTATAAAATGAATTCTCAACAACTGGAATTCACTTAATATTTGCCAAATAACAGCCAATGCATTTGTTAATTATGACTACTATATTGGAAATCAGGTAATATATACTATACTACATTAAGAATACAATGATGAACAATTTATCATGTAATCTACTAGACTATTTCAGTTAAGTTCAACAAGTCTCAATGCTGTACTTCAGTCATGTATTGACAGTTGTTATTTCACATTACATTTAGTAAAGTAAAAATACAAATTAAATGCATGGATTTGTAAGTTATGGGAATGATAAGATATGAAAATGATCATTATGATATGAGAATGGGCATGACAATGATAAATTATAACATAGATCCATGATGATAGATACAAGTACTGTATAAAGTTTCATTGCACAATTGTTCATGACAATTTTGTGCAACTAGAGCTATCATAATCCAGTCGGGAGTAATTTCTGTTGTTTACCAGAAAACTCCATACCACATTGAATAAAAAAATTACAAAATTAGTTTGGAAATATTCCAAGCTTTAGTTCAATAAATTAACATTCCATCTACAAAATTTCAGTGAAATGTCCCCTCAAATAAAAACTTCTAATTATACAAAAGTAACCTCTGCTGTAGACATATAATTTTCTCTTTAACAATTATTGTAATTGTCACAGAGAAAAAATAGTGTCATATAAAACTAACAATCTACTCCCATTATAAGAGGACCTCTATTTACTGTCACTAAATAATAAGTAAAATTTGGAAGGAAACCTGGGTGTAGTGGGGGAATTTGCATTACAAAAGTTCTTAAAATTACTCTAAACAATAAATGCACATCTAGTCTGTACACACACACAGTGCACAGACAAGAACACATGTGAAGAGACCAGCAAGAAACGAGTCTTGGAGATTTCAAGACTTGCACCCTATTTGAAAGGTTCATTCTTTGTTGACAATCCAAATACAGTATGCAATCATTTGAGATTAAAAGCATATGAGGAGAGCAAATTTAGAATACTGAAGTGCACTGATTGCTACTGTTAAAATGCATTTATTTACTTCAATGAGTACAACTCCATAATATGAGGCATTTCCCCCACTTCCTAGAAACACTAGACTACGGAGAAAGCTCCGTAACTCGTCAATTGCTGACCAAATCAAATAGATTCAGTGTGATTGAGCACAGAGACCTGAACTGCTACAGCAAGTAACTTTCCATTAACATCAAGCTGGCAATGTATCAGTTTAAGTCATTGACTGTAAGATTACCTCTTTCATTTACTCATTTTTTTTTAAGTTCATTTTCGTGAAGCAATAAATTTACTTCTCTTGTCTTTTTCCTGGAAAGAAGCACTGCAAAGCTGTACTAATTATTCACTGTTTATGACCACAGTTTACATGCTGAGTTCATCATGACAACACTGACTAGGCAACACTCAGCCACCCTCACAGTATAAAATAATGAGTCATTCATCTTCATCACATATTTCATTCAAATCCAAATGAATAAAAAATCTAACATCGAAAAATTAAAACTATCACCTGGGTGGAGTGATTAATTATAGCATATCCCACCACTATACTCTTGTTGCATCTCAACCTTAGGTCACCCTAATTGTACAATTTACAATTAAATATTTCCTAAGTCTGTAGTGTACAGGAGTTATCACACTGAGCAACTAACTGAAAAATAGAAATCCAATTGCCTTCAGATGCCTAAAAATTTCTTAAAATTTTTTTTTAGTTACTATATACAGGAAAATGAACATCATTTTCCTCAACTCAGCATTTAAATTTTCTTTGAAACACCACAAAAGCTACATTTCAAATGTTTTGTACAGTAATTTCAGATTCTATGCAAATGAATAAAGTTTACAATTAAGAAAAATATATAGTCAAAGTTAAGAACACTTTCAGTAAACTTCTGTGGTACAAAATACCATCCTTCTTGAAGACAACTTATATCCTCCTATTCTGCCATACTTGTCACATTTCTGTTTATTTTAAGCTCAAGTGTTTGTACCGGTACTAAAATATCATGAACCTTTCACTTTAGTCAATGTTAACCAAGAGAGAGGAACAATGGTAAGAATAAAGCCTTCATAATCCATAATAACAGAAGCTCTAACCTTGCTGAGATAAGAAAAATTCAAACTCAAGGTTAACCATGAATTGTATACGCCACCACCAATTAAGTTGACGCTCTATTTTTTAGTAATTGTTAATGAGATAAAACAGTGATTTAGCTCAGTAAATAAGGTAGGTTAGGTTCAAGGTACATACATATAATATTTAACCTCCTTTGTAACAAATAAAGGTTTTTGTTATGTTCTCAACACAGTACAGGAGTATTACAAGTGATGGGTTGTAAATTGAAAAACTAATATTTGGAAGTAAATGATTTTCAAATGAACTCAATGAACAGTGTTGAACATTGCCACTAATTGAACGATTATAAGTTATGCAATTGTCAGTTATTAATATTTTTCTCAATTCTTAAAAGCTATAATTCAAATTCAGAAATTTTTTTAATAGCTGTAATTCAATTTCATAGACATTGTTAATTTTGCAATTTTTTTCCATACAGTATTGTTTGATTTTAATTTATAATTACGTATTCCCGAAATACATAATAAAAATTGGAAAATAAAAGTTTTTTAAGTTTACATTTTTCAAATGGCAGCCTTTCGAATATGACACTAAGCCATTATTAAAGATGACATGAGTCAACCAATCCTAACATAACTTACCTAACCCAAGCTAATTGTGTAAAATAATTAATTATACAAATTAGATGTTCCAAAACTTTTGTAAAATAAAAAAAATATATAAATATATTTACACCAAGTGTACGGTATAAGATGCACAAAATCAAATTAAATATTATTGGCACAATAAGGGAAAAGATAAAAAATATCTTAAAGCCAACTCGAAATTTTAAAAGAATACATTATACCTCATAACCCGCAGGCTTTTATGATATTGGAACAAAACAGTGGTGATACTAAACACTTTCTTCACTGAGACTTCTGTATCCTTAAGTTTCATTAGTATAACCATAAAATGTACTGTACTTGTGCTTATCTTGAACTCCCCATAAACCTGTGTGATGGATATGCCATTCAATCATATCCAATACCCTCAACTTAAAAGCAATCAACAAACTTTTGTATTTTGTTCTTGTATTCAACAAAGTTTCCTTAACAGCTCCTGTAGAACTGCCAAGACCTTCACTGGAAGACATTATGAAACACTTTAGGCTTTCAAAATGTAGAACTCAAAAAGTATGTTGGAGTTACAGAATGTACATCTGCTAACTGATGGAGTCAATACATGTCACACAGCCATTTCCTAACACTCTTGGGGTTTCCCTGCGCAAAATTGCGTATGATATAAATTATCGCTCTAGGGTTGTCATCTGCAAAGTTGCGTATGAATTAAAAATTTTAAATAAAACATTTATTTACATCTGCCTATGAACGCTAGATATGCAAGATGCTCATTTGACGTCGGCGTGATCTGGGAACTATGTAGACTGCCCTCCCTTTGTGTTCTATGATGCAGGATATAACCTTGACCCACATTTCCCACACATTTTCTAGCGGTTTGTGCTGATTTCCCGTTCATCAAAATATTTTAATTTATTCAAAACAGTGTTGTGAGAGTTTTGAACCATATCTTGTGTTGTTGGTGAGGGCGGAGGGATGGGAAAATGTAGAAAGTGCAAGGAGATTGCACCGTGTGGTGATTGCGGGGTGCCTCCTGATGCTTTCTACTCGCCCTTACATATAGAAATACTGTAATAATTTTATGGAGATTAGTTACTGATTACTCACATAAAACTGTTTGTAGATAATGCTAATGCAATAAATCCCACCTTTTTATCTCAAATAGCAAGCTTGCTATGACTCATTATGTATAATTATCATCTCGTGAGGTGAGCGCCTATCTTAACCCAAAAGTGTAAAGTTATTGTTATGATTCAGAAAAGGTTGAAATAAGGTTTGAGGACTGGAATTTTCAAAATAGCAAAATTTTGACAAATTATGGAGGATTTTTGAGTATTTTGACACTGGTAGACTGGCCACACACTTTCATGACAGTCAAATGGAAATGGGTTACACTGCAATTCTAATCATATGTCCATATCAAAACTTTGTACTATATATTATTCAGTAACAGCATATCAAATAATTTTGTTACTAATTACAAAAAGATGAAATTAAACTTATGAATAAATTAATCTAGATTATTTTTTTTTAAATATTAAAAAGAACAAGAGTCAATACTAAGGACCTGCCCCTTAGTTTTCCCAATTCTTTTGTAAAAAGTCTTATGGTAAATTTATTGAGTCACATTTAACAGTCTCAATTAATTTTTCTGAAGTTGCCCAGTGTAATACTGACTTAACAAGAGCTGAAGACAACTGATAACTGAGGAGAATTGGAAGCACCACAGTTCAGCATTTCTGGAGGCTGCATTCCTAAATTCAACCCATTTTCTTTCTTTTGCACTCCAAAAGTTGCACAAACACATACAGGTAAATTTTGTATATAAGGAAAACTACAGATATAAAGTTCAAGCCATTCCTTTCTTAATTCTGCCCAGAAATATTTGATTAACATCCAATACATACGAAGCATTTTATTTAAGGTCTCCATTATTCACAAATCAAATAAAAAGCAATGCTTCTAATGTCTGAAGTAAAAAATGTAATACAGTGTATAGAGTATTTTCATTCTTTGAACTTCTATAAGGAATCCATAATTTCACATGTATCCAAATTACACACTAAGGTATATTTTGTTCAACAAAATTACACTGAGAATTTCACTTTCAGGGCCAAATGGATAATAGTACAAGATAGGCAGTGATGATGAGGGTGGACCTCAGCAGTTAAACTGGTTTGCTGTGATTGCTGAAAGATCCTTCATTAGTCCCTCAAGATTGGCCATTTCCTGAGATAATTCTTCAGTTGAATAACCATGCAGAAGGGCTTCATTAGCTTCCTGTAAAAATAAGGAGGTACTTAAAACACATTTAATATAATGAACATAACTTTTTCTATACCAAAATTTTCTTAGAGTCCAAATCTATCAGTGATTGATTGCATAATGAAAATCAAGAGTGGAAAGAAATACAGTAAATCAGCTAACTTGCCTCATGCTCTGGTAAAGAGTCAACACGCATAGTGGGACCAGCCCAGCGCCCTGATGGTCCACCTGGACCAGCACTGCTGGCCATACCAGATGATCCAGGAACTAAAGACTTCTTGAAAGGACTTGTTACTCCTTGAGGTCGCACTGCAACTGTGAAGTCAGAGAAACTTGCAAATGTAACTTTCAACAGAAAAACGTAATGAACAAGTGGGGATAACAAAGGGTAAGTGAAAAGTGAGAGAGAGGTTAAGGGAGGCGTGAGAGGGTTTGTATGTCAGCCTACTGTATTTGGCCAATCTACTAATTCCACTGACTACACATTCTGAAATGTTTTTGTGTAAGAGCGATGATTCTTAATGCCTTGAGGAGCCTAGAGCACCCAGACTGTACTATCGGTTGCCTGCATCCATGAAGCTGCTAACTTCTGTGGAGGCCTTTAAGGAACAACTTAAGACCTTTCTTTTTTTGAAAGCTTATGATCCTGTGGTCCCTCCATTAACTAGCACAATTGGTTCCACAGAGTCAGCCGTTAACTGAAAATCTCATTAACTGAATCTATTATTTCAATAGGATATTGGGTAATTGGTTCCAACTCACAGAATTCCCTTAAAATTAATTAAAAAGTACATACAAAGTACTGTATACCGGTAATAGAATTAACAAAACATTAAATGTAAACAAAATACAGTACTGTACAGTATACTGTACAATAATAAATAAAAAACAATAAAATATTTTAATACTTAATTTGAGGTGTGTATGAGAGTGCATTGGTTCTAATGCCTTCTTCATACAGTATTTCTTAATAATTTCTGCACTGTATATTATCAACATGTTAACTAAATTTCAGAATGACCAATAATTTTAAGGTAAAAATGCAAAAATATTCAAGCGCACAACTTTGTCGATGTTTACTCCACTGGAAACAAAGGTAAACATAGAACCGATTATTGACAGACGAGTTGATCAGTTGATGCGAGCACTAAAACGTGTTTCTGATAAGGCTGTCGTTCATAGAATTTGTACACGTTAATAGAACTAAAAATCCTTATGGGAGCTAACTCGTTAACTGAAATCTCATAAATTGAACCGCTCGTTAATAGGGGGACCACTATACAGTGATAGAGAATTACAGGGTTTAGGAAGTATTAAGACTTAAGGGTATATGAATGATAAAAGTTGAAAGTCACATTTTGTGATATTTTATTGTAGTACAGTATTTATTTATTTATTTATTTTATTTTTTTTCGAATCTTTGACTTTGTAGTGCTTCGGGCGCTCGTGAATTATTTTGAAGAACTGAAACTTTTGAGAAAGAAAAGACCAGTTTTTTCTTTTTCTTACTCACCATCACAAGCACTGCCACTAATTACCCTCTTCGGGGCCACGATTGCAGTAAAATTCACCATAAAGAGAAACCGTACAAGTGCCAATACCCGAGAGATGTTCATGGAACCAATCCGAGAGAGAGAAAGGACGCCAGAGTTATGTTATGGTTATTTTACAACTTGTAATTTTGGGTATATACGGGGTGATTTTTTTTATTCGAGAACCCTGAATAATACCCATACACTAAAAGCTATGTCAGTTAGGAACCTAAAATTTTGCGTAAATGTAGCTTAATGTTACTGAAAGACACGACATGATCCTGAGAGTTATCAGGTATCATGTGACCCGTCAGTGGCGTTTAACCATTTTCACTCAGTCACACCATGACGTTCACTATATTCAAGTTTGTCGCTACATTTATGCAAAAATATTAGGTTCCTAACTGATATACTTTTTAAGTTACGGGAATTATTTAGGGTTCCCTATAAAAAAATCTTAATGCAGTCTCTGACCTATGTTATGGTTACTGTATTTTTCAACTCATAATTTCAGGTAGATATCAGGTGTATATGTAATTTTCTTCATTTTTTTTCCTCAAATGCACACATTTAGTTCATACAGGATGTGACAAAAATTAAGAAATAATTATCATAAGGTCAAAAAAAAAATAGGGAATAAACATTTCTTCTTACACTGGAGTTAGCAAGGAGAGTGGGGGAGTGGGGGAAAGCTTCATGAGAGATCTCAACTGCTCGCTGTCTCCTGTGTTCAGTGTGTAGTGAAGCAATTGCCAAATGGGAATGCAGCATTTTCTTTTCCTTTTTAGTGGTAATACAGTTATCCCGTGTTTTCGCGTTTTTTTTTTTTTCGCGGTTTTGACCATTCGCTTTTGTTTTTTACCCCTAAATTATATATATATATATATATATATATATATATATATATATATATATATATATATATATATATATATATATATATATATATATATATATATATATATATATATATATATATATATATATATATATATATATATATATATATATATATATATATATATATATATATATATATATATATATATATATATATATATATATATATATATATATATATATATATAATATATATATGCGCCATTTTTGATATTGCCCTGTGAGGTGCTGCAAACAGACGCCACCCTTTGCCGCCTCAGACACTCGCTGCTCCGAAAAGCCTCAGTCCACACGTACCTACCGTACTGTGAACGCTACTGTGATTACCTCTTCTGTTTGTCCTCCTACGTGCATTCCACATGGCTCCAAGACGTAAGTTTTACTGTACTGTTACCTTTGTTCTCTGGGGGTTTTTTTTGCTGTTCTATAAATATCACCTTGCCAACTATTTTTTCTTTATTATGTTTACTTGGTATTGTAATTAAATTTTATTCAACTTAATATAAGGATAGAATACATAATAGGAATGGAACTTACCAATGTGTTTGGGCTGAGGTGTGGTGGGAGCAGACTGAGGCGGTGCCGGGACACTGAAACTACGTAAGGGATTGCCAGACCGCTTGCCCAGTGTGTTGCTCCCTTCACCATTCACAGAACTGAAATTTTTTAAATTGTATCACACTACCATATTACACACAGTTTATGCCTTAAAGCATTTCTCTAAATTAATCTTTAAAAAAAATCACATATTTAAATATCTTTGATTAATATTTATTGCACAGTTTCCAAATTTCTGATGCTATGGTGGAAAAATAAACTACTGTACTAATACTTCATAGAAAAAAATCACATCCTAACATAAATTATCCCTCCAACATACCACAGTATTAATCAACAGTTGTTCTTTCTTAACTTGTGGTATACTGTATGTCTCATCAAGCTCTTTCATCTTTGTCTCCATATCTGTTTTATAAATGTTCAAACCCTATTGGCACGCAATCCTTTTTAGTCTCACACTAAAGCCTTTTGACTACTTATCCCTAAAAATTTTAAACTAAAAAAAATTGTAATCTTAACCTTTAAGCCCTGGGTTAGGGTGCTGCTGGCAGTAACCCCCGTTAAATCGAGAAAAAATCAACTTTTCCAAAAATAATTATAAATAAAAATAAAAAAAATGGGGGGAAAATAGGCGGATGTTCTGGAACATCACCCGGGGCGCGCTAGTCGGACGTTCTGGAACGTCACCCGGGGCCTAGGGGTTAATCTTTCAGATGTTTTCCCTGTACAACCAATCTGGATGGGATATTCATCTACAGTATTGAATAGTCTCTAATTCTAGATGTGACAAGAATAACAAGATATATCAGGCTGCAAATTTATAATCTTCTTACACACACACACACACACACACACACATTCCAATCTTCAAGCTTTCTATCAGTCATATTGTGTTTTGGGGTAAAACTACAGGTATATAGGGGGTCCCTGGGTTACGAGTGGGTTCCGTTCCTGAGGATATTCTTAAGTCGGATTTGTACGTAAGTCGGAACACATGCTATGTGCATACCGTACTTACAGAACAATGTTTAAAATCCCACTATATCATAGCCTAAGTCCTTATATACATCTAAAATCACTTAATTTAAGACAAAAGAAGAAATAGAATGATAAAATACAGTAAATGAAAATAAACAAAAATATGTCATCAGGTAAATAAAATAACTGTGAATTTCAAGTTTAGCCCCATTCATATTGGTGGGCGTTCATAAGTCGGGAACCCCCTGTAATTAAAACAACAACATTATACAAGAAAACACTAACATGCACCAGAAAGAATTCCTTGGAGCATATTGAATCACAACTATAGATTATGATTCATAAAACAACTGCAGAATTCCTGTTCAACAAATAATATTCTTTTATTCTGTACATCTGGTTAAAATGCACACCTTAATATCTGCCAAAATTTTGCCTGACCACCTAATGGGCAGTCATACCTATGGGACTTGTTTTCACTGTAGGCTATATTTTCCTTAAGGTGTGGATACTGAACTGTTTACATTACTGCATGAAAACACATTTAAGTTTTATGACAAGAATTAGTAGATAGACTCTAACAATACAGTAAGTACTCTCTTAATGATATCCCAGACAACGTTGTCTTGTTATACATTGCTATTTTTTCGAAACCCATGATTCTGATTCTGACAACACTGTTTTATGACCCGCCTGATTTATTATATTGTTGTCACCCAGCACTGACTACTTTGTAAGGTGTGCAGAATGTTCTCTCATGTCATGCTGCACTACTCTCTCTCTCTCTCTCTCTCTCATGGAGCATCACAGCATCCCCAAGCATCATCTTCCCAGTCTTTCTTAAGCTTCCACAGTATACAGATGAGTTTAAGTGTTTTGGCTGCAAATACACTATGTATACTGTAACCCATCAAAATGAGTTCAAAGCACTCAACAAATGGTAGTGAAGCTAGTGCTGTGATCAAGAAATGAATGACCATTTGCCTTATTAAGAAAATGGAAGTCTGAATCCATTTTGCTAAGGGTGAAGGGGAGCGCCCATACATGTCACAGTGACTCTTCCACCACTCTCCTTTTGTCTGCCACCCACCACACACTCGCTCCACCTCTCCCGATCAGTGAGTACAATACAAAATGATTGTTTTATCTTTTAATTAAACATATATTTAGTTTCCATTTATCTTTTTAGATGTATAATATACATTTCCTATAAAAATTCTATTAAATTTATGAATATGTAATGTATTTTATGGGGCGAAAGGAGGCTGGGGAACGAAACTAGTGTATTTCATTTCTTTCTTACGGGAAAACTTTATTCCATGAACGATGAGGTTTCCAAGAACGTAACCACAATGTTAAGTGAGGACTTACTGAACATACAAAAATACAAATATGATACTCCTAATTTGAAGAATGATGAAATAAATTTTAATTTTTCTAATATCAGGTAAAAGAAAATTTTGATTCAAGAACAATTCAAACTGGCTCAAGCATCAGCTGCATAGGTTACTTTGGCCCCCAACCAAATCCTGAAGAAAATTCTTGGCAAATGTATAAAAACTATCAAATTCTTTGATAGTTCCCCTTTAGCCATTACAATGGTAATCAAAATGATATGTCTGCATTTCCAAAATGGTCAAGGCTAAGGTTTTAAAACTGCTCATACATACAGTCATACAACATGGTCTGTTCACCGTTATCTAATCTATAATGTGCAGTTTTCAGTAAAACTTGTAAAACAGAAGTGATATTCCAACACCTTTAATCATTAAGCCTTAACCACTCGTGTCACAAATGAAATTTCTCAATATTTTATAGTTTAGGAGAACTGAAATTCTCAAACTATTTTACCTAAGAAGTTTGACCTTGATCTGAATTAACCTTGTTTGTATTCACCTGTATTGTGAAGTACCAGGAGGTCCCCCAAGACCACCTAGAAGAGGCTGTGCAGGCTGAGGTGGCAGAGGCATCCCCTCAAGAGGCATATTACCTGGCCCGAGCACTGAAGACATACCACTACTGAAAGAGGAAACACAATATTGAAAAGGCCCCTTTTATGACTTTGTGTGACCAACATCAAGTAGTGTGAAGTCACAAATTTAAGTACTGTACTGGGAGATCAGCTCGCCATATCTTGGTTACAACTGACATTGCCAATTGTTGAGTGAAATAATTCCTTCAATGTTGGCAAAAACAAAAGTCAGCTTAAGTATCAAGGGAGCAATAGGCCTGAAGATACAAAACCTGGTACTTTGGAAAAACCAAAATTGAATATCTTCCACATATTAAAAATATTAAAATTAGAGTACAGGTTGTACCTCTCTAATCCGGCATTCTGTGGTCCGGAACGATTTTAGTTTGTCCAATAGGTAGATAGGCAGGTTTTTTTTTTTATCTGAATTATTATTATTATTTACATTATTATTATTATTATTATTATTATTATTACAGGAGTATTAAATTTTTGCCCTTCAGGCCCCAATGTGGGTCAGTGACCTATGCCCGGGTGGTCTAATCCCCTTAAAAAAAAAAACAAAGCCCCGGGAAATTAAGGTTTGTTTACATCCGGCAGTTCGGCTGCTCTCTCTCTTTCTCCTTGACTATACAGAGTACAACATTTAACCCTTCAATATATATGAGCAGTAAATAAGTGTTGCTTTCATATTCTTATGTAGAGTAATGACGATATGTTTTCACATGTGCGCACTTACATACGCACAATCTCACTTTTTTTCTTACCATTAATGGTTAGCTACTTATATTGTTCCATTTATTAACATTAAATAACATTACAGGTACTTCAAACACCCATATTAATTTTTTTTACATTAATTTTACTACAGCTAAAATCAGGGTCTTATTTTCTTCAGTTTTATATGTAGAACCAATCAGTCACTGGTTTTGTAAGCTTTAACATAAACAAAGCCGGCAGCTGTCTAGTCTCCTCTAATATTCCACGTATTATTAATAAATTGTATTGTTAATTTTGCACACACAAACATTAATTCAATAAAAACAAATTCAGAAACATTAATTAAAATATATATGAACAGTAAATAAGTGTTGCTTTCATATTCTTATGTAAAGTAATGACGATATGTTTTCACGTGTGCGCATGCGCACTTACATATGCGATCTCTCTTTTTCTTTACCATTATCGTTAGCTACTTCTATTGTTCCATTTATTAACATTAAATAACATTACTTAAAACAACCATATTAATTTTACTACAGCTACACCCAAGGCCTTATTTTCTTCAGTTTTATATGTAGAACCAGTCAGTCACTGGTTTTGTAATCAACGAAAACAATGCTGTGTCATTTCCTCGTGTGTTTTAATATTCTACGTATTATTAATGAATTGTACTGCTCATTTTGCACACATAAACATTAATTCAATAAAAAAAGACATTCAGTAATAAACAATAATGAATCTTTTGTACACAAGAGAAATGACGCTGTCTACACGATTATGCACGTCGTCTGCACGTTGGCAGGCCGTTCAAACCCGTCGAAATCCAAGTTTCCGCCGTCAAAATTTTTATTTATTTTTTTTTGTGTTGCAATAAAATAAGTTAAGAATTAAAAACTCGCGAAATTTGAGAAGGTACTTTACGACATTTAACCCTTCAATATGTCTTCAAAGAGACTATGATGCAGAGAAAGTGGTGCTAGTGCTTCCAAGAATAAGCACAAGTCACTACAGGCGTATCTATCCAGGAAAAGGGTGAATTTCCATGGTCCGGCACCGGTCAGGTCCCGAGGTTACCGGACTAGAGAGGTACAACCTGTACAAGTATCTGAAAACCTGAATGATTCCACAAGTTTTAGTCCAAGGATTACATAAGCCCAATAAGATTTTGCAATATCCCAATATGTGGGATATATTTATGTACTGTATATAATATTGTTTGGACTTATATGAGTGTGTGTGTGTGTATAGACATGTCTATAGTACAGTATAGACTATACAATACTGTAAGCTTTTATGCTGTAGTGTACATTTTTAATACTGTACAGATTAAGTTAGAACCAACTGACAAGAAATTTTGACTGCCAAGCTAGCAACCAGTGTAAAGGACACAACACACACTTCCACTACAAATTACCATCAAACACCATTTTACAATCCATCGTTCATGGACTCAGGCTCAGTTGCCTTGGTAGCAGATTGCATCTAAGATTCACATGTTAACAAGGGTTTACTGTTTCAAACTGAAGCATAGCTTGTGGTGGCCTGGTTGGAAAAGCAATTGTGGCCAATTTGGTGATTCTAAAACTATACCTAGAAACCAAGTACTGTATACTGTACATTAATTTATGTTCAGTGACAAGAAAAATTCCTGAGAATATCCTATGGCTCCATATCATGCAAGGGGTAGATTTTGTGCATTACACATATTTTGTACCATAATTCTATGGGCAACAGATCATCAATATGCAAATTTAAAATCCACAGACGAGGCAGGATTCACATTACATATACAGTCCATATAAAAATACCTGGTGGGATTGGGGCTGTATGGATTTTCTGCAGGCGAGTTGTATCCTTGGCTGGCAGCAGATGAGAACTGTGGCATGGAGTAACCTGGTCTACCAAGAGTACCATCACTGTAAACACTACTAGATGTACTACCACCAACAACTGAAAGGCAAGTAAAAAAAAATATATACTGTATATATATATATATATATATATATATATATATATATATATATATATATATATATATATATATATATATATATATATATATATATATATATATATATATATATATATATATATATATATATATATATATATATATATATATATATATATATATATATATATATATATATATATATATATATATATATATATATATATATATATATATATATATATATATATATATATATATATATATATATATATATACTGGATTATACAGTAAAAGTAGGGTACTTAAATAATCCAAAATTATATCATAATACTGTACAACTTTTCACAACCTATGACCTTACAGTATAAATGATGGATTAATCCTGAAATCTGTTTATCTAACAGAGACCAGGCTGATGGGCCTGTGTCATTACACCATATAAGAGTAAGGGGTGAATAGCCAATCTAACTCCAAAAACTACTGACTGGGGACTTTGAAATATATCTTTATTTTCCTGTAATAACTAGAACCCTATTGAGAGGTTCTTTGGGCATAAGAGCCACCTTTCAAAGTAAAAGGCTGTTTGGTCATTGACATATAAGTCTGCCTAACCTAACCTAACAATCATCCTGCAGGACCCATATCATATTATATTAGCTGTCAGAGGAAGGAAGAGAAACCAGGAAAGGTTCCCACTGCTACCACTCACAGGATGAGTATGGGGTGCACAATAAACCAGCTGCTGTCTGCGGCAAAATTCAATTAAAATTCTATGTACTAAACACTGTCACCCTTAAGAAGTTAAACTGGCATAAACTGAATGCTACATACTTCCCGCGATTACACAGTTGGAAAGCTTGAGATTCTCGTATAAATAATAACTAATAAAAATCTTGGCCAAAGACCATGCTCCTGTTTTGGTCATATTCAAAATCAAAAAGAAAAAATCCAAACTTCAATCTAAACATGAAATAGCAAGGAGGGTACCAAACACTACAAGGTTCAACCCTTTGGAGTTTCAACCACCTTTTTTCTAGTCTGTTCTAACAGACTAGAAGCATTTTTTTTGAGAATTAAATATTTTCCTTTATTAAGAATTTAAAAACGATTTTCTTGTGGTTGTCTTGCCTCCACAAGTTAACTTCAAGCTCCATCTTTTTTATCACCTTGTCCAGATGAAGAAAGTATTTGAGAGCTATTACTCACAGAACACCATTAATTGTGACTGCCTGGACATTCTTAGATGCCAACTTTCTGTACTTATTCCAAAAGGGAGATACCATCACTAACAGATGTCTTCTACCTAATACCCTGGGAGCCAACAGATGGGTACCTTGTGTCCTGGGTCCAAGAATCACAAAGTGGTCTAAGAGCTTTACTTAACTTGCCACATTAGAGTAAATCCCTTGGTACAAGAGTAAACCATAAAAAATAGATCAGGGCAGCCACTAAAGTTTACACCTTTACCTACAATGCTGTCAAGGAACCTGACACAATTTAAAATTTTCTGGATTACAACTTTCTAATGCCCAATATATACAGTATATTATGATAACACACATTCTGAATGACCTGATCTTCACCTGGCTTAATGGACAAACTTAGCATGAGTGTCTGACTCATGTATACAGCATTACAGAGCTAAACCAAATTACCCTCACAATACAGTCTACAAAAATGTGACCATAAATTTCATGTGGCAATGACCCAGTAGTCTTCTTCCTTGAATAATGACATTTTTCTCACCACAGAAATTTTTCTTACAGTTTTGGTCAAGTGAAAAGCTGCTATATTAAGGGGTTAGAATGGATGGCATAATGACATGGGCACCAGCACCCCTGTAGGGTCATTAGGTTAGTAATTCACATATTTATGGCTTATGACAACAATAATTACTACTGTATAATTTTCATGGTTAGCTAAGCAAAATTTCAATCTGTATATACTATAAAATTTGAGACTATTTTACATTTGAACTCAGTACAATAACTAAGATTAGTTGACAACATCAATAAGCAATTATAATATTAGCTTCATTATAGTCTGCAAGTAATATCACTATATTAGGCCTCAGTTTTGTGTGAGCTTAACACTGCTGTTTTATATACATGTTAAATAACTATATTTACTGCTCTCTGTACATTTATGGCTGTGTTTACAATACATACAGCAGTACAGTTTGTGCAGAGCCTCTTCACAACACAAGGGTTTTTGCATATAATGTACAGTACCTGTATTTGGAAATACATCCCTTCAATATATAACCCTCCTACCTTACCTTCAATTCATTCTCTATCATCTCACACAACATTCATCCTTCAGTTATATCATATTCACTCATTATATACTGTACCTATTTATTATATATCATTTTTTTTTATTATTCTAGTATTTCCCTCCTTTGATATCATTCCTTTAGTAAATTTTTCTAATTCCCCATATGCTTTCAGGAGACACCATTACAACAGCTTGTATTCTATAGAGCCATTCTAGTGTAATGACTGTATATCTCAATACTATACACTGGACTGGACTGGATTGCACTAATCCTTTCAACAAACTTGCTAAAGCTGACAATACTGTATTTTCCCCATCATTCTCAACACACAGACCAAATTAGGTTCCTCTAAAAAAAGTCTACCCGGTACCTTATTAATACTTTTGAATATATTATATTACATATAATAAACAATTACTGTATATGAGAATCTATTATGTTCTTAAAGCCTCCTGACACACATAAAAAACACAGTATTATATTTGTACCACTAATATCACTTACATAATACAGTAGAATCCCGGTTATCCGGAGTCTGGGCAACCAGCAGATTCAACCAACCGGCACCAAAATGAAATTATAATCAAAATCTCTCCCAAATCAGCTAAAATCATATGCTTGAATACCACACACAATTGGGATGAGCCGCCATATTTATGGGACAGTTCTTAAACACGTATTACACTTTATATAAATGATGTGGTTCAGAGTTGAAAGATTTACCGTAGTGAGCAAAAGGTTAGCCTAATTTAAAAAAAATAATCAAATTGCATGTAAAAAATTAACTAAAATTGTTATTGATAAACAATAAAATTGATACACAGCATTTCATAAAATACAATAGCATATATTTTATGTACCAAAAATAGCACCTTCCACACTCAAACCATCTTTAGGGTGATATGACCCAGTTCAGACAGGCAGCTGACTTACAGAAATGTGGCTGCTGCACTGTGTGTATGCCATGACATCACATTGGGGGAAGGGGCGCGGTCACGCAGTTACAGCCCACCACCTCCACACACGTTCACTTTCCACGCATTCACATCCATGCTCTTCACCTCTTTTATTTTGTAATTTTATATTACATTTTCTTTATTTCTAACCCACATTGTTTATATAGTGACATAAGAGTTCAAGAAATCCATTTTTCCACAAATTTGTTTATTTTCATGAGAGCTTAAATTTCAAAACAATTAAATTTTTTGTCAAACATACGTGGAAAGTGAAAAACTGGTAAATGGGGAACAATCATGAAAATGCACAGATTTATGGAGACACGGACTTCTGAGACACGAATTTGTGAGGTCAGCCTGTAGTACTTTGCATTGTTGTTGGGGCTTCTAGGATTGAAGTTCAATTAACTGGAAAATTTCTTTATATGGCACCTTTTACTCTTCATAGGTGCTGGATAACCAGGATTCTACTCTAAAAATTTTTAACTTTTATCATCTCTGTATATTCCATATTTTCAGCCTTTTGGCTGTCATGTTGTCATGTTCTTTCAATAAACCATTACTTATTAATATTATTATTATTATTATTATTATTATTATTATTATTATTATTATTATTATTATTATTATTATACACACACATACACACACACACACACACACAAAAATATATACAAATACTTAAATGTACCTCTAAAGTCCTGTTGTCAAAAAATAAAAAAATAAATAACTGCAACTACTGTATACCTATCTGATAATTATACACTGCAAACATTAAGACATTTATGGTAACTTTACAATAATACATTATACACATACAGTACAGCAAATTGAACCCATGGAACTACAGTACTGTACCGTACAGTACAGTATACTTCACTGACAAGAATATTAAGCTTTACATGTAAGGAATATAAACATTAAGCACAAAGTTTTCTCTTTCAGAAGATGCTCAAACATAATTTTCTAATGAAGTTTTCTTTTGTAGCTGTAAAGTTAAAGTTGTGGCCACATGGGACAAGGATAATTATTAATTTTCCACCAAAGACAACACACACATGCTTTTACCTACATCAAGCAGAGGAAGGTTGGAGACTGTACAAAACATGCAGAGAAAAGGGCATTACTTACGGTCATTAGAAACATCCAAAGACATAATGAGAGGTTTGGGTTTGAAAGAGCGACGGTTCAACAATTTATCCGTTTCATCTTCACTCAGCTGATCACCTACAGGGATATATTGAGAACAAAAAATAAAGAAAAAGGTGGGGATATAAAAGCAATACGAAGGGGCTACGGTAAAACTCATGCTACATAAATAAAAAAAATAAAACATAAAAGGTATTATCATACACCTAAACAACAAATACAGTACATGAGTACACTTGCAAATACACTTAAAAACCCTACATTCTCTTTCAATTCACCCACTTCTTTCAGTAATGTTTCATCAACACATCAATATAAAAATGAACAACTTCAGTAACAAACTGGCACTACCATAAGAGTGGCATATAAACATTAACATCAAAATTATATCCAACATATGAGTTGTAAGAAACGTGTGAGCCTTTTACATCACACCTACATCTCCCAACTACTGCATACATTAAACTCCCAAATATTCCTGTATATTTAGTATTTTTGGATCGATTATCCATAGCAACTAATGTAGGATTATTGATTTTAATATTTACAGATGGTACAAATCCAAAACACATGTATTATGTGATACAGTACAAAATTTTTTCATTTATAAAAACATATGTAAAGCAGTATAAATGTTTGAATCATAATATTTATATAAATTACAACATTGTAAGTTGGAAATTCTTAAAAAAATAATAATAATAAAATACAACACTGTGAGTTGGAAATCATAATAAACTGTCAAACAGAAAAAAGCAGCAAATGAAATTACTATTGTACTGCACAGTGAAGCCTCGAAGATCCAGACCCAGTAAATCCGGATTTTAGAAAACTCGGACAAAAATTTTGGGGGTTTTGGGCGAAGGGGCCTCCGAGAAGCCTCCCTATGAAGCATTCCCAAAATAGAGCAAAGAACATTTTAGGCCCAAGGATGCTGGTTGACCGGTCGGTCATGCTGGACACAGGTGCCCAAGGAGGTGGGAAACATAAACAGGTGTCAATTGTTGTTTGTGGGAATATTTCATTCACTTTAGTAATGATACAAGGTTTCTTATTATGTTATGGTAAGTAAGTGCATGGTTTATATAATTTGTTTATCACTGTGCCGGGTGTGACCGTCACTGCCGGTGACTTCAAGCTGAAGCCTATGCTGATTTCTCACGCTGCCAATCTACGGGCCCTGAAAGGTTACTCTAAGAATTACCTTCCTGTCATCTACAAGGCAAATAAGAAGGCATGGATAACCGGCGCCATATTTAGCCAGTGGTTGAACGTTTACGTCATCCCTGCACTGAAGGAATACTGTGCCAAGGAGAACCTTAACTTCAAAGTTCTGATCCTTGACAATGCTCCAGCTCATCCTCCCAATCTCGACGACTTGCATAACAGTGTAAAAGTTGTATTCCTGCTTCCCAACACGACAGCACCGATGCAGCCTATGGACCAAGGCGTCATCGCCGCATTCAAGGCGTATTATTTACGCCGTACCATGGCCCAGCTGCTCAAGGCTACAGACAGAGAAAATAAACCAACGATACGAGAATATTGGCACAGCTTCAACATTCTTCATGCAATTATTGACAACATTGGCAAGGCATGGAAAGAGGTTTCAGAAAGTTGCCTGAATGGTGTGTGGCGCAAACTGTGGTCCGAGTGTGTCAACAGTTTTATGGGATTCACGGACTTAGTCCCAGCTGTGAATAGGGATATCCTCAGCTTGGCTAGACAGGCAGGCTTTGATGAGCTGGAATCAGAGGATATTGAGGATGTCCTGGCATCCCATGCAGAAGAATTCACCAACGAAGATCTGCAACAACTAACAGAACACAGTCCCGTTGAAGACGACAACGACAAAGAACCTCAACGAACGCTAACTTCCAAGAGGATGGCAGAATCGTTGAACATGTTCCAGCAAGCACTGCGAATCCTTCTAGATGACGACCCAAACAGAGAACGTAGCTCAAAGGTTCAATGCAGCATTGAGGACAGTCTTGGTTGTTACACCGAGATCTATAAGAAGATGCGTAGCACCAAGCAGTCAACACTGGATTCATTTTTCCGTCGCAGGACGGCAGAAGCAACTTCTTCACAATAGCCGGCAACCGAGGAGGAGCAAACATCAATGGAGGAGGAACAAGCAGCGGCAGAGGAACCCCAGTCAGAGCAACAGGAGGAAGCGGCCGCAGGGTCTCAGTGACTCGCCACCCTCCTCCGCTCCCGCCCTCCTCCTCCTTCACTCCACTACCCACCACACACTCACTCTACCACCTCCACCCATCGGTGAGTACCAATACAAACTTAGTACTGTAGTTCTATATTCTGTATATAAACTATTTTCTATAGAAATGGCAATGGTTTTCTGTAAATGTAATGTTTTTCACGGGGCAAAGGGAGGCCAGGGAACGTAACTCCCGTATTTTATCTATTTCTTATGGGGAAAATTGATCCGCTTTAAATTTGTTTCTCATAACGTTGCATTTTCATGAACGTAACCCCGACGTTAAGCGAGAATTCCAGCAATGCAAGTTATATTCTGCTAAGTCGAATCAGTGACATTTTATAAGCGAAAAACTTAAGTAACTCAAGTGGTCAGGATTTTATGTACTGTATTTTTGGTGTTTTTTAAATCATTATTTATCGCTTTTATGCATTTAGTACATTCACTGGAAGATTTGGACAATCAGCTGTATATATATATATATATATATATATATATATATATATATATATATATATATATATATATATATATATATATATATATATATATATATATATATATTTATTTATTTATTTTTTTGATGTGGCGACAGCCCTTGGGTGGTGGGACCAGCAGAATTGGTAACTACTGTAAATGTGGAGAGGTAATCCCTGTTTATTGCAAATTCATGTGCACCTGTATTACAATTTAATATTATAACCAAAATATTATATCAAAACAATGTGTTGTTTTTTTGCAATGTTATTGTATAAACAAAATTCAAACTGTGTGAGTAAGTTTCTTTTACCAGAGCAACCATCAACAAGACCCTTCTACATGCACAGAGATTCACAGTTGTGTCAGGAAGAACAAGTACATCCAGTACCTCTCAGTGAAACTCATTTCCACAACTTACAATAGTGATTTATGCATTTTTACTTTTATTACATACTTTTTATTTGTTTTAATGTCATTAGAGTAGTAAAAATGGGCATGCACAGTGGTGGTGCCTCACTGCTGTAGTGGTGGCAGGTGGTTAGTCAATAAAGACCAAGTACATGCACACATCTCTCAATAGTATTTTATCCGTCTTTTGGGATGAACAATCGGCTAAAGAATCCCCAGGATTCCTTGCCAGGAACATATCCCCTCATAATACATTGTTTCTTTTGAAAAAAAATTAGTTGTGCAATACAATTTCACAGATGGCCTCCCAAGGGTTTCCACGATCAGAACCCTGGCAATATATGAAAACTACCTGCACTATTAAATGAATAACAATAAGACAAAGAATATATATGTTATAAGAATACAGTACGGTATATAAAAAATAAGTCACCTGTAAAATAAAAGTATTTAATAAAAGAAAATGGTATGATGACTGATATGGGGGTGAGCTCGTGTGTATGTGTGTTAGGGAGGGGATGATGTTGAAATCATTGGCTGGACATACATACACACCACTTTGTGTGTGTGTGTGTGTACACAGCGATGGCACTGGTCTCTTATGCCCTATGACTGCCTAAGTCAGATAGTGTGATTCAACCCAGAAAATGATAATTTATAAAACAAACAAAAACAAGGGAAGACTTGTACAGTATATGTATAAACATCCATGTTACTATTGATGTGTACAGCACTCACACACCCAAACATGGTCCCTCTCACACAACTCCTCCCTTAAGCACACAACCATATTGAAGCTTCATCCTATTCAAATCTTATATACACTATCTAACTAATGCATCTAACAGGCAACCAAACTATTTTACTGAAACTTGTACAGAAGGCCTGATTACTTACTACAAAAGAACACCAAGCAGTACACAGCCACTACATTATCTACAAGATTCCCTTTTACAGAGTAACCAGCATAAACATATCAACTACAAATAATTACAAGAGAAACTATTTTTTATCTTATTTTACTATACTATATTAATGATCCAAATGAGACAAATACTTGAGGTGGAGTTAGCACTAAAACTGCTCCCAATTTTTTAGATGCAGTACACATGTTAAACCCCATTAAATGAATACACAAAAAAAAAAAATTTTTTTTATCCTTATCTTGCATTTTACAAACTACACATGACTAATTTTTTTTACACAGACACACATGCATATACAGTATCATATACAGGGTATATATGACAGAGTGAGACAATATACTTGTATACAGTATATAAAATCAAGCTATAATGGTGTTATTCATAAAGCATTTTCCTCCTCACCACAGTTCCGGTACATTTGACAATTATACCAAGACAAAATATTTTCTTGTTCCTTCTTATGTTCCTTCCAACTGGTGGCTTGAGATGGTGACTTTACTTGTACTGTATACCTTTTTTGTGGAGACTACTAGTCTTGTGGAGTAGCTATTAACTATATGTAGAAAGATAAAATAATAAGCAGAGAGGGACAGTAAGTTGCAGCAGGATAGGAAGTAACTTACGGAGATAGGTTGACTGGTAAGGAGTACGGCGGTCGAGGGTGGAGGTGGAAGTGTAAGTCGTGTTCTTGTCATCGGGTTCATACTCGGGTCCTGTAGGGGTTTGCGCACTCAACATTATCTACTCAAGCAATATAGGTTGTGGTGTCTACATAACTTAAAATCTATCTTTCTGTTCTATAGAGTTCTGGAATTTCAAAAGTGAAGTCCATCATCAATGATTTCAAATCATAATTTCATCATTGAAACTAAATCTTGAAAAAGTTGACACCACCACCACTGTGAGAGCACCTTGATGGGGATAACACTCCAAGCTTTTAACTACACCCACAGAGACAGAGTGGCCAACTGCTAGTAAGCAAAATGTGGAACATTTGAAAATCACAATAAGAAGCTCAAGTTTCTTGAATATATTATTGCTTTAACGTTAAAAATTAAATATCATTCCATTATTATACAGTATTTGCATTGTACATGCCAAGTTTTGTTCTGCTATTCTATTCTTGTTATATTTTGTCAGGATCTCCACTGACATATTTGTTTCAAGGACTGAAAATACACTGGAAGGAACATGAGTAGCACTAAATTAAAACTATTGATGAAGCAGACCACAAGAACCAACTAAACCTAACTTACTCTAATCAAAGCTAACCAAATGTACTCTGTGGCTATCAGGCTACATGCTAGCTTGGCTTTAGCTGGTTCGTGTTGTCTCCATCAAAAATGGTTTTACTGCCAGTTTTTGTCTTTACCCATCAGATTATATTATCTAGATCAACCTTCACAAATCTGTGGAATTCCTGTCAAAAATATCAAGAAGGAAGAAGATGGAGCTAAACTTAACATTTAACTTTTGTTTTCAAGTACAACATAAAAACTATCAGTGATATATGACATCTTGTTTTTGTGATTTTATGCCACATTATTTCATTAAGCAATTTCTTAACTTGTTATATAAAATTTGCAAATTAATATACAAAAAAGTTAACCAATATTTTTTATGGCCACTTTTTCTAGTGATATTATAATCAAGAATCATACTGGAGCTTATCATGTGTACAATAACGTTAAACTTCAACAACAAGGTAAAGTAAGTACAATTCAGTATGAGGATCTGGTATTGTGTTAAGCAATTAAACATAGTAACTTACTGTTGTGTTAAAGCTACAAATTTCAAATGCTCCAAACACAAGATTTTAGTTTAAGCCACAGACACATGGACGCTAGTGACATGCAATGCACATCACAATTTCCAATCACTGTAAGTAACCACAACCCAAAGAAAACTATTAAACAGATTACAGTAATATGTACTGTAAATTTTTAAATAAACTTTTTTATATGAAATCAGGAAAAAATTATATACAACACAGTGCTGAGAAATAAAGGATTTGCCCTTCCTTGCATAAAGTGTTCCAGTCATGAAAGACACCTGTCATCTGTCACAGAGGATATACCTGTTCAAATTATCATCATTCATCAAATAGAAAAAAAAATAGGAGATGGAAACAAATGGAAGAGTATTCAAACTGACCCCCAAGCATTTGTAAAATACCTCCTCATCATTCCCAGTACAGGTAACTATCTCACTAGAAGAGACACAAGTGACAGAACACTTTGGGTGCTCTATTACTGAGGTAATTTCACCATCTTCATGATGGAGTCAGTTAAGGCCTCAAAACTGGTCACGTAAGAACACCAAGACGTCTTGATATTTAGACTGTTAATTGCACTCTAATATGATATTATGAGATAAATATCCTATTACTTTATACTTTAAGAGCATGAAAGTTATGAAGTTCAATTGTATGATAGATGGCTAAAAAAAGATTTTCTTCTCATTCAATTGCTAAGAGTACTAGGAGGAATTCTGGGGTGTTTAATACTCATTTCATATGAGGCCACTGCCATAGTAAGGGCACAAGCTGCCAAAATCAAGTTACCACCACAGCAAGTTTCAACATGGTTTTCTTCATCACAAAGTGTGTCATATGTAGATGACCCAGCACCTGTTGTGAGTGAAAGTGAGGCGAGTGAACCCGAGGCTGGGCCGTCATGAGGCTGTAAACGCCCGTGCAGGCCTCACACGGGGAAGATTATGTTGCATAAAGGTTTCATAATGAAGGTATGACCAGCAAGGCAGGTAGGCCCCCAATGTGCTGATGGGTGTTTCACGAGTTGCCTTTTTCTCTATTTTTAAAAAATTTCACTTGTGCCCTTACTATTGCAGTGGCCTCATATGTACGGTACACTTTTATGGGGACCATTAGGATATCTGGCAGAAAATTTTTTTTTTTTTATGACATCCATCACACATTAGATCTTCATTCATCATGTATATTACAACCTTACTTTTCTTAAGATTCTCTACCCTGAATGTTTTTTTAAGGGATTGACAATGAGACAGAGAAATGACTGAGAAAGAAAATATATAATTCAATGTCTGATGTGTGATTGTAAGATTGAAGGACCCATACTGTACATCATCCTGAAAATTTAATATGATTGGTAGGTATTACATTCTGAAAATTCAAATGAAAGAAAATTATCTTTGAAGAAAATGTACTCTCAGTTCCCTCTAGCAGAATTTAGGGTTCATGAATCATCCACAAAGACATTACTCTGAAATTTAACAATAAAACCAAATTCCATTAAAATAATTACAATTCCTGGAGTTCATTACTGTATGAGAGAAGGAGTTCACAAGAAGAGAAGGATATGAACTTGGGCTATATTGTGCTCCTATTCATCAATGGATGATGATGGATTGAATTCTAATGGCACACATACCAAGAAATTATTAGAAGAAAAGATAAAGTGAAGAAATGGATCATCTGGTGTATAGGGGATGGCAGGAAGACATTGGGGACTGGCTGTTGATGATATGAATAGCTTTGGATAACATTCTGTAATTTTTTTTTTTAATATAATTTGTGTAGTGGAGGCCCATACCATCCCACTAGAGAGAGCAACATTCTTTGTGAGAGTACGACTGTTGTAATGGGTAAGAAGTTTTGTAAAGGTAAGTACACTCTATACAAGCCATGAAGAGGATGCCTATTATTCTGATACAATCTTTCTAATGTTGGATGTATGGTGGTTGCAGGAGAGGTTACTGATTAGAGTAAGACCAATGATATTGGCATTGATGACTCAGAAAAAGGGGATGTTACTGAATAAAAATGGATATTATTAATGGTTATACTGGTGAGACAAAATGAGCATGTGTTTTGGTGGTACTGAATGTAACTGATACTTATATTCCACTATACTCTGGACCCAAGATCTGTTTAAGGAAGTTTTAGAATTTAGATGATTTAATACGAGACTAAAATAGGTGCGAGTATTAGAACAGTACGATAGTTTTAAAGTATATTAGTATTATCAATGCAGGAGTGTACTGCTGTAAGGAATGGTGGGCAGATCATTAACACAGTATAGATTAAGAAGACGGAAGAGGCAAAAACTGTGTCTAAGTTGCATTAGTATACATAGGAAGGTAGTTAGAATGTGAATCATCCGTGAATGAGGCAGCTGGAGATGAGAGATAATGTAAGACAAGCAAAATTGTATGAGCAATTGAAAAAAATTAAAATACAAAGAAAATTCATACATAAGAAAATAAAGAGATGAATTGGAAGTTGCAGATGTACTATAATTTTTGGCTTAACAAATGGTAGTTTATCCCTCAATAAAACTTTAGACAGTAAATGCACTCCTACAGATTAGTCAAAATTACTTACAGTTCAGTTTACATCCATGGGCCCAGCAGATTTGTTTGGGTGCTACTTACTAAGGTCTTACTAGAGTTCACTTATATCATACACACCTTATATTTGGTACAGTTTACCTTTCTCACCTGTGAGAGTGCCAGTGTATGAACTGGAGACTGTACACGTACTGATAGAAATTAACTTGCGAAACAAAAATATTTCAGAGGCTTTAGTTAAAAACACATCCATGAGTAACAATTTTCCTAAAATAGAAATTAACACTGACAAATCAACAGATGACAAATACACGTTGTGGTGTTTTTCTCACGTCTGTGAGAGGATTTTCTTATAAAAAAAAAAAATGTTATACGGTTACCAACTTTGTCCTAACCTGTATGGTTAATAATGGCTGCATGATTTGGCGAGCTGCTGCGTTCACCCTTGTCAAAATTCTTAAGTTCAAGATGATCATGATGAATCCACAGGTCTGGAGGCTGCACCTCAGGTTTATTACTCTTGCTGCAGCTGCCAACTCTGTAAATGTATTACACAACAGTGACAAGTGAAAGAAGAGTTGTTGATTAGTAAAGGTAAGAATACATGTGTGAAATTTAGTAAATACTGGAATTGTAACAAGAGTTAAAAGAACTCCTAAACACCCATTTACCTTTGGTCAGTATTTCCATCTAACGTTCGTGTTCAGTTAACATCTGTTCCACACAAGCACACACACATTTCTTATTTTTCATAAAGCTCTTTTACATATACAGTACTGTTATTTTAAAATAAGTTCCTTTCCTAATCATCAAGTTCCTTCCTAACCTATTTGTTAACTTCTTAACCATCTGTTGCTCTACACAAGGTGTAAAGTACAACTCAATCGGCTACAATAAGCCTAATAAAACTTGAATGTAAAACCTAAGTTTCAGAGCAAAATTCATTACTGGAAATGCACCACTAAAGTCAGAGGCACCTGTTAACACTGATACAGTACAGTATATATAAAACCTAAATACTTACACATTACTGGGTCGTGGCTGAGGCTTGACTCTTCGACAGTAGATTGCTGCAGCTACAAGAGCCCCTATAAGAGTAATGGCTCCAGCCACTCCTGCAATTACTAGCACAATCAAACTCCCTCGGTCCACAAACCAGCCTGGTGGTTCACCAACACTTTTTCCCACTGCTGAAAATATAAGATACTAATACTTAACAATAGTACAAATGAGGAAACTCTACTATGCTGACTGCTAAATAACAATATTGTATACTGTATTGGTAAAGTAAGATTATGATATAAAATTATATGGTAGAACATCAAATACATGTACTAGAGAAAATAGGTCATACCAGGAAGTGTGGTGAAGTTGCCCACAGAAGAGAAGGGACCAAAACCTTTCACATTTCGTGCCTGCATTTTATAATAGTAAAGAGTTGATGGAGTCAATCCATGAACTGTGAAAGTCATCCGATCACCAAGTACTTCTTCCATTACCCAATCACCTGCTGCATCTGTTGTGTAGAATATCAAGTATCCTGGAAATGTTCATAAAAATGTTAGAAGAGGAAATAATCACTCCAAAAAATTTCAACCTACCCGGTATCTATGTAAAATAAAAATACTTGTTGTACTCATATTTATACAAAATAATGAAACCAAAATATTTCCCGAGTAAAACAAAATTATAAAATAAAATTAAAATTTTAACTGACCAGATGACACTAAATATTCTGTAGTAACTGCCAATCCATAAAAATAATAACTACCAGACTGTTATACAATAATTTTTTTTTAGTTTTCTTGGGTATGAAGACTTTAACAAGTCGAAGCTCAGCTCAGTACTCAAATATGACTTTGATCAAAAGAATATTAAAAAGTAGAAGTAACAATAACAAACCTAATTTATCTTTTATCTTTCAAAAGTCACATTTTTGTAGTGGCAGTTAAATTATCCTTATAGTTTAATGATTAGAGAGGTTCCTATAAAACCCCAGTCACAATAACACGCATGCAAGCACGCACGTACAATGAGGCAAGCTCCTTCCTACTCTTGACCTGTAAGTACTGTATAATATACATTCCCTCTTTCTTACCAGTAATTTTGCCATTATTTTGTTTTGGTGGCTGCCAATTGAATATGGTTGTAGAAGGCTCATCAGGGATAGTGACAACAGTAACATCTCTTGGTGGAGAAGATGGCCGTGCCTCCAAGGTTTTGTTGGAAACTACAAGACTCCACGGAGATTCACGTCGTCCCTGTTGAAAAATAAAATCAGGCTTCAACCACGAGACCTATTTACTCTATATGAGGATGGTGCCTACTGGTTTGTAATGAGCTAAGTTTATAAAGGGCTGGGGTATAAAAACTATAGAGGTAAATAAATGGATCAAACCTTTAAATAATACTGAAATAAGATACAGATGAACTAAAACTAAAATATAAGTCAAAGGTCAAAATTAAGGCTGGAAAAAGTTTCATCTATCCACCTTTTACAGGTATCCAATATATGCAACACATGATTGCAGTGTATGTGTAATATTAAGTGTGGTTAAAAGAATCTATAGAAACACTTTGTAAGATATAAGCTACTCCACTTACACAAAGCTATAGGACTGCAAATTCTAATTCATTCATAAACAAGAGGATGCACTTTAAGATACCAAAGTGTGTATAATCAAAGTCTGCAGAATATTTGTTGAGCAATATTAATATACTGTGGAAATAAGAAGAAAGCTTGAGATGTGTTTGATGACAGATGTTTTCTTTGAACACCTACCATAATTTGTAATTTGTCAATGGGGCATACTGTAACTGAATTTAAAATCAATGACTCAAAATATACAGGCAATACGGCCAACTATACAGTACATTATGTATAGAATATATTTCAAGTTTGAGATCAACCTGACAGAAACTGTAGGACTAGTTATGTTAACAATCTTTATGAGATGTATGAACTAGACATGGGGGTTGAAGCTAAGCCTCCAGCTTTGAAGCCAAAGCCATTGGAAAGTCACAAAGCCAAAGTCAACAATTTAAAGTCATGAAGCTGAAGCCAAGGCTTTTCAAGACTACATGAAACTTTATCACCATTATTTATATAATAGGTTTATACCCACTTCATCTACATTCATTTTGTCTACTCTGAAAATGTCACATACCGGGTACCCGTTATTCCCAGAGTATCTACAACCAGTTAATGATCTCTGAAAATCACTTTACACAATTATTGTTACTGTGCCTCAATGTTACAATATATCATATAACAGTTATATTCTCCTTTTTAGTTTTTTAGTGTTTTGTCTGAAGAACAACGGGCATAATACCTACAGAGTAAATATAATTTGAATGGAATGTAGACCAAATGAGAATAGTAGCCATTTCAAGAGTAGATGCAGTGGGAATAGACACAATGGGAAGTAGACAAAATGACATGTTACCATAAAATATACTGTACTGTATTACTTTACATGTTGATGTGAATACATATGACATTCTAAGTTGCAGTAAGGCTTTAAGGTAAGATGAATGTTATTGGGGTAAGTTCTGACTCTCTCTTTAGATTGACAAAGGTTGCATGTAGTAACAATTATTTATCTTTATAAGTGTTAGTTTCTTTGTTGTTTTATTTTATTCATTATTCATCACCATTAATTTTATTCTTTCATTCATAGTAACAAATTATCTTTAGATTTTCAAAGGTGCTGTCGGTCAGTCAACAGCATCTGGGGCTGAGAAGACAGGGAGACAGAGGTGGTAGTACTTGTCCAAGGTTCAGCTGTGACATCACTGATGCTGTAGCATGCACCTGAGTTCTCTTAGGTCAGGTCATTGTGAGAACAGGAAAGTCAGAGATCAGGTCAGCTGTGACATCACAATTTGGTCAGTATGTCTGTGTAAAGAAGAAAATTTGAAGCCAGGCCTGTGGTTTCGAAGCCATAACTGAAACTTTTAAAAAGTTTTGAAGCTGACAAAAGCTGAAGTCGACTACAGCCCTAAATCTGGTATGACCATATGTTTGAATAGATGGACAGGCAGGTAGACAGGGGTGACACTTCATGCCCCCGTCTGAGGGGGTATATAAATAAATCTATACAAGGGTATAGTGACTTGCATACAGTAAACAGTAACAGATGAGCTCATAAAGTAATCAAGCAGGATGCTGACTCACAGGTCAAGCTGCAAGAGTTAAAATATAGTTCCGGCAACAACTCCAAATACACTGTAAGTAGTCATTAGATGCAAATAAAGCCTATTTTCTGACTGACAAATAATCCTTACCTTTGTAGTTTTAACTGCAAACTCGTATATTGTGGAAGGCTTGAGATTGTCAATAAGGCAGGTAACATCTGTGGCATTAACATATCGAAATCGAGGGCTGGATGATGAAGCCGAAGCAAATGTTGTGTATCGAACTGTGTAGTATCTTGTGTCACTTATATACTGAAAATATATATATATATATTAATTTGCAGCATAGATCACAACCTAATATCTTATGATACAAAAAATCTTCATCTGATGTGGACAAATACTAAGCAACTGGCATATGACTCTTGGGTGCTGCTACTAGTCATTAACTCCTGAACATGTGGCCACTAAGTAAGACACTGAGTTAGAATCTACCTATTAAACGTAACTGTTGACAAAGGAGATCACTGTAGCTAGAAATGCACTATTATAGCTAATACTCAAAAACAAAAATGTGTTAGTAGTTTGCATAATAGGTATTAATTTATTGTAAAGTCAATCATTTAAAGTAATAAAGGTGGCCACAAAACCTGAGGTGGTACAACATGTCAAACAAAGACCTGGAAAGTTCTGATAAACTACTAGAGCTAAGATACAATAAACAGGCAAATTTTTCACTAATTAGCATCACTGAAGTACCTTTAATTAACAAAGAAAATAAAACAAATAAAAACCTTTGTTTCAAAATTAAATCCTGTAAATTATTGGAAATAGTAATTACAAACCTGATTACGATTAAGTGTGGTATCTGTCCACTGGAGTGCCACTGTAAAAGGAGTGAGGACTACAGCCTTTAAACCTACGGGTGGTGTCAGTGTTGCAGCAACAGCCTCATCAGGAGGTCGTGTTCGAACCTGTTCATACACTGGCTGTCCATCTCCAACGTTGTTAAAAGCACGAAGACTGATAACATATTCAGCATTTGGTTCTGCAATAAGGTAATCTCCAGTTATAGGTTTTTGTGCCAAAGGTTTACAGCGAGTTGTTCTTTAGATAATCTCTAAGATTCTTAAATACTTTTTGTTGTGAGGAATAACTAAAGAAATTATACTGAGGAAGTATGTACAATAAAACACTTGCATGCACAGTATTTTTTATACTGGGCACAATAAAGTACTGCATTTAGACCAGACTTATAATTTTATCCTTTAACCTAATCTCCTCAACATCAATCCATTTGTTCCAAGCTATAATGAAAATTACAAACTACCGTACATTTAAACTTATTGAGTTCCTCACTTATTAGACAGTCTATATAGATTTTTTTTAAATTATACAAGCCTTTTCCTACTGCAGTACTGTACAGTGAAATAGGGATGTGAAAGTGCTGTTCTAACTATTGGTATTCAGTAGCAAGAGGGTTATTCTATTTCCCTGGCAGACAGCTAATCCAAAAAAGGATTGTTCCATCATTGACAAGTTCAAATGACAGTGTACTCAATCTTCTGCTGCTAACTGTGCAAGGGTTGGTGTGTTACAAAGAAACCAAATCCTTCCCTCTGATTGGGAATCAAGTCAGTTACCCCTCATTAATAAGCTGAACACTACCCACTGAACTATGAAGCATTACTATAATCAAACAGAATGAAAAATACAATATCTAAACATGGCAAGCTAGGTTTAATGTTAAAATTAATATAATCTTACTAAAGAGAGAGAAATATAGTATAGACATAAGAGGGGTTACACTGGGCAACTGTGAGGACTAAAGCAATCTAGAGAACTGGATACTATTTTGAGAATTCATAAACTGCAAAAAAACCTTTGTTAATGAAAGTACATTTCCTTTACCTAGTCCTTCTATCACATAACTTCTTTGTTTGTTGTCCACAATCTTGGAGTAAACATCAGGTATTCCACGTCCCCATCCAATTGTGTATCCCCGCAGCATCACATTATGAAGAGCTGGGGGCTGCCACCGAACCCTTATTTGGTCTGTCAGGGCAACAGCTGTAAGAAAAATTTAATTTTTGTTTTAATAATTCTATTAGTCTTATCTGATTTACTGACTCAAATTGTATCACAGTTAATTTCTTTTCACTACTGAAAGGAAATACAAATTGCAGCAGAAGCTACTGGATATCTGTTCTATTCAGAACTATTGAGTCCTTTTATAATAATACAATGTGAATAATCATTTACCACTGAACATTTCCCTGTTATACTGTTTTATTCATAAATGTACAAAATAATATCTTATTTGTCTCAAATTAAATAATTATCCATATCAAAACAAGCAGATATTACAGGAAATGTCTCTCTATAACTAATGTTTGTATAAATGACTCTTGAGTTAAATAGAGCAATATATCACACAACATTTTAATGTTCTATTTTAAGGCAACATATAAAGAAGATGGATATAGTCTCTTACCCCTCAGATTGATAGGTTTCTCTGGCACACGATTTTCATCTAGGTCATTGGCAAATGTCTCAGCTTGATTCCAATGTGTGTATGGCCCTGTACCATTCACTGTGAGGGCTGCCAACTGTAAAACCACAAAAACAGCTACTGTTAGTATTATAAATAGAGCAGGATAAGACATAATTACTGAAATATAAGGTAGAGTAAGTCCTCGCTTAACGTCGAGGTTACGTTCCTGAAAATGCGACATTATACGAAACAACGTTAAGCAAATCAATTTTCCCCATAAGAAATAGATAAAATACGGGAGTTACGTTCCTGAGCCTCTCTTTTCCCCATGAAATACATTACATATAGAGAAATTCAATGGCATTTTTTATAGAAAATAGTATTGGTACTCACTGATGGGGAGAGTTGGTGAAGTGAGTGTGTGGTGGGTAGTGGAGTGGAGGATGAGGGTGGGTGAGGAGGAGGATGGCGGGACAGTATTGTATCAATATCCAATATTTCACTTTTTTTTTTTTCCGGGCATTAGCCCACCCAGGCACATGTCATTTTATAATGATCAATATCAAGGCCTGGGGACGAAAATATTATTATATTATTATTATTATTATTATTATTATTATTATTATTATTATTATTATTATTATTATTATAATAATAATACAAATAAATAACAATTATAATAGAAGAAAATAATAATACTAATAAAAATTAATAAAAGTAATAATAACAAAAAGAGCCATAAAAAAAATATCAAGAGCGAGAAATAATATGTGTATTGTACAGGGGTATGTTGTGTTGTCAAAGAGAAACAATTGAGACCCTGCAATTGTGTGTAAATGAGGCAGAAAGTCAGATCAGCAAATTGGAACTTGGTCACAATTTTTGTGATGTCATATGGCAGCAGGGTCTACCATTAGGCAACACATTATGCTTCCAATATCTTCCCAGGCGATAGTACCTCCCTGTTTGGTAGCTGCCTACTACTTAACTCATTAACAAATAATCTTTGTATAAACACAAGTATTACACATACCTTAATAAAGTATTGAGTGCTCTTCTTCAAGTCTGTCAGAGCAAAGAGTCTTCTGTTTCCATCTGTGGTCTTGGTCTTGGTCTTGATGGAGCCACTTTTCCCTTTCTCCTTATAACGGATCTTATAACCTGTTATAACACCATTCTGGTGCTCAGTTGGGGGTGGCTCCCACCTTATGATAAGACTCTGAAGAAAGTGGAATCATTATACTTTTCAATATATATATATATATATATACTATATATTATTTATTTATTTTTTCTCCAATGCTTACAAACTTTATATATGCTAATCCCTTATTTTTAGTGGGTCCACCAAAAGGTTATTCTGCCATTAGCTGGCACACCTAAAAAGGTGGACAAGCATCCTCCCAAAGAGGATGTGTAAACCCAATAGTTCCAAAATATTAAGAATTAAGGATTCAGCACTTGTCCAGTCATCAGCATCATAGCAGTAAAAGGGTTGTATGCATGAAGAAAAATAAGGAAGATACGAGATGTAACTTACTCAATCTACTGAGAACAATAAACACAATAAAACACAACTTATATACAAGTTTATAGGATAATTATGGCCTTCAAAACTGTATCATTGTTACCCCAACACAGTAAAGAAGTCATTCTATAGAACAAAGCAGATTTCAGCTTACTCTTGAGCTAGCTGCCTCAACAGTCACATTTTGAGGTTCTCTTGAAGGCATATCAGAATATGTTCTGGCAGTAACCTCGTGGGTGGCATCCCCAGCACCATTAGCATTAACAGCAACAAGCCACACACTGTACTCAGTAAACTGATTGAGTCCTTGGAGATCATAAGATGTACCGGTGACCTCTATTTCATGTTCTTCAGCCGAGCCCACCTAAAATAAAAATTACTGTATAAGAAAATATTTAAATCTAAATTTGGCAAATTTAAACAGATCATTTATTAAAATGAAGATGCTGTGGAAGACAAAGAAAACTGAGAAGTAAATGGAACTTCTCGATGGTTCAGTGATGAAGTAAAACTCTGATAACATGTCAGTCAAATGTTTAATTTTAACATTAATCTTCATAATTATTTACAAAACACCCCCAATTAATTATCCTGGAATTAATAGATGTAGCAAAGGGGATTTAATTTCTATTATGCTGTACATGTATTTTCATGCATAAACATGGCTTTGTTCAACTTGCTTTGTTAAATAATAATACAATGATTAAAAGGAAAACATTGTTCATGGCTGTGCCTCTGCTAGCCTGCTATGATCAGTTGTTTTGTTAATGTAAAAAATAAGAATAAAACATAAATAAATCAGAAGGAAAGTGTACTGTGCAATGAAGATGTTTTAGGCAGAGAGCAGGTCTTCTGATCATACTGAGAAAATGGAAAAGGAAATAAAAAAAATATTGTAGAGTAGTTCAGAGGGGAATAATTGGGAGAAGAGGAAAAGACCAAGAAGGTGACACAAGGATCGGATGAAGGTGCTGGCACCCAGAAACTACCAGTGTGCAATAATGATTAGAGAATTTTTGGGATGGACAAGCTGCTGATAGGTGACGCTGAGTTTTGGATGCAATGGGAATAAACCAGATAAAACACCTTGGGACCTTGATGTAAAAGAGGATCACCGAAGCAGAACACATCTGTTACATGTGTGAGGGAATGAGTAACTTCCAATGTCAAGAAAATAGTGTTTGATCTTGGATCTGGTTAACCTAAATTACAGTGGGTTAAGTCTTGTAAAAGTGGGAAAATTATTTCAAAGTAGCCCTTGACAACCCATTTTAAAATACAGTAGGGTCTCAGAGTACGTGAGGGTTACATTCCTGGGATCCCGCATAAGTGTGAATTCATGTATATTTGGGTCCCCCTTGTATATACTGTATGTATAACCTCTTTTTTATACAGTACTGTGGTAACCGACATACAACTTCAGAGTTCAATACGCCACTCCTCAGTAAGTCCAATACTATCTTGAATTTCTCTTCAAAAGTTATCACAGTACAGGTATGTGCTTTTTTCTTTTTCTCACTCACCACCACGAGCACTGCCACCAATTTTCCTCTTAAAGGCCATGATTGCAGTAAAATTCACCAAACACAAACACCTAAGAGATGTTCATGGAACAAATGTGTGAGAGAGATGGATGCCTTGGCAATAATTTAACCTTAAGTACCAAATGAACACAAACATTAAACCTAATGTACCATGCAAACACTTTAAATGTACAGTAGCTAAAACAACTATCTGTGCACACTTTGTGGGAAACAATATGAGACCATGGATGATAAATTTTGGTATATGAGGGTTATCACTAGTCACACGTAAAATTTTGGAGCATATCGACCCCCACCTGCGCAGATAGTTGTTTTAGCTACTGTACAAAAAAACACTCAAACCATCCTCTAGGCAATGTGACACAGTTCAGACAGGCAGTCACTCAGTCAGAGACATGTGTGGCAGTTGCCATGCTGTGCTGTGTGTATGCTGCGAGGTCACATAGAAGAAGGGAGAGTGCTGTTGCGTGGCGAGTCAGCAACACAGTTACAGCTCACTGCCTCAGTACATACGTTCACTTCACACCCATACATACCCATGCTCTTCGTTTTTCTTATTTTATAGTTTTATATTATATTTTCTTTGTTCCTAAACCACATCAGAGTATTGTGATTATTTATTATAATTTTTTCCACAAACAAATAAGGACAAGTGATAAACACTCTGAGCTAGCGAGAGATGCTGGGTGGGCTGACTAGCGTGAAAGCAAGAGCGGTTCAGGGGGTCAGACACATATAAGCGGGGTCATGTACAGTATTACGGAAACATGTACTCTGGTGTTTTACTGTAATACAATTATTAAAAAAGTCCTTGAAACATCATATTTAAATTTACATTTCAAACACATGATACATACCTGCATATAATACATTGTGAATCCAGTAATGGGTGTCTTAATTGCTCGTGGATATGACCAGATGACCTGTAAACTTGTTGGTGAGGTAGGAATAACTTTCAGATCTTCTGGTGCTGATGGTAGGTCAAGATCAGGCTTTGTGTATACAGGCACCTCGTCACTAGATGCTCCAACTATATCATTTGAGGTATGGGCCACCACCCGCACCAAGTAGTTGCTCCCAGGGATGAGGTGACTAATTTGTGTTTTGTATTCATCTAAGCCCTCACTGGAGGAGCTGGCACTAACATTCTGAACTCGCTCCCTGTTGTTGATACCAAAAAAATTATGTGATTTTAAGAAACCAATTTTTATATTAACTTCAGGTTATATGGACACACACTGTATATTTAATACACCAAAATCACATTTCTGGAGATTGAGAAAAATTTTATTAGAAAATATATTTTTTTCACTAAATCAATGGTGATAAGGACAAAACATATTATACATTACCTAGGGGAGCCCTCCTGCCTATAAAATACTGAATATCCGACAATATGATCATTGTTTTTCTTAGGTTCATGCCAGGCTAGAGTGATGAACCTATTACTCGCAATTATAGCCTGGAGGTGTCTGGGGGCTGATGGAGCCATGGCATGACCTCCACCAATAATATCCATGGAGTCATCAGCACCACTACCATCATCTGGTGTTGACCCACTCTTGGGGACACCTGTTAGATATCATATAAACAATATATTATATTTTTTGTTTCTACATTACAGTTCCTGAGCCATAAAGTTTCTTCACAAAAATTACACATTAACAATAGAGTTCTGGCTTTTGTTTCAGGTCTCTTATGTCAAAAAGAATACAGTATGGTTTTGACAAAACTACTTTTAATTTTAATAAGCAGACAATTAATGAATAAATTATAAGAAATATCAATAAGGCAAAAAAATATAATTTTTCTGATGTAAAACAACAAACAGAATAAGTATAATAACTACTCTTGTATATTGTACATAATTTAAAAAGATAACTTACCTTGCAACATTGGGAGACATAATTTAGGTGGAATGAAAGTACTGCTGCACAAGTAAATAACATCTTGATAAGGAAAGGATTTCAGAAAAAAAAATTATATACTGTACTTTCATACTTATTTATTTTGGTTGGATATTGGCAGTTGCATGAAAATTTTTTAGCCTGAAATCCTGACCTTAGTACAGCTACAGTTCATAACTACATTTACATTAATACAGTAACTACATAAGAACAAATGGAATAATCATGAAAAGAAGGCAAAGTTTTCCAACATAAGACCCATCTCCCTTAATGCCATGCAGGGATGCACATCAGCTTCCTATGTGCATCATGTACTGGTGACCACTTCTCTTGTGCACTTTTATTTGTAAACTATAGTATACACCTGTGCCTACTTCATATGACTGCTGTAAAATTTTACCCACAAACTATATATCTGAACCCACTTTTCCTAGTTATTATGCCTTTTTATTCATTTGATATGTGGTCTGTACACTTATCCACACACATCATTCATTTGTATTTTGTAGTTCTACTGAGGTCATGGCAGATTTGCAGTTTTGCCTAAATTTGTATGAAAAGGGTAGTTTTGCAGTAATGTTAACTTGTGTTTTGACCCTTAGCAAGGCTTGAAAGTCCTTGTTTTTGTTTGCTTATGAACACACTAAATGGAATTTTGTTTGGTTGTTTTATTAATTCAAGATGGACTGGTTCTCATTACGAATTCCATATTTCCTTCCATCTCAAACTAAATTGTAAAGAGTCAAATACAATATATTCTTTAATCTTATTTGACTCTAAAATCCTTGGAGTGCAAAATAAAACGTTTTAATTACATATGTTTTGATAATAATACAAGGCAGATTCTTTTCCAAAACTCATTGAATTCTTTCTTTGTCAACATGTAACCTAGTATCAAGGTTCATCCAAACTTGCAAACTAATTTTAAGATATGTTTTCTACGGAAAGAGAGAGAAATATGGGCAAATATTAAGAAATACAAAAACCTGTATTGAGTATTCAAACACATGCACACATACATCCATGCACACATGTAAGCATCCACCCACACACAGTGTACTGCTTAGCAAGGCTTTCATTTGTTCATTCAAGCAAGTATGGACCAGAATCCAGGTGTCTGAATTAGAGTTTCACCTGTCCAGTACTTCTGCAAAACCACACAAGTTGTGGCCTGACAACTGTATGCTAGTGCTCAATTGACACATAAACACAACCTGTACTCATCTGTCTAGCATCCTCCACAGTAACACACACCTGCCATGTAAACTATACACCTGTGTCCTGCATTATCAATGTGACCCTTTGTTATGTACACTGTACAATCCCCAAACCATTTTTACATAACTGGTGTATATATATATACAGTATATATACTGTGTATATGTATATATATATATATATATATATATATATATATATATATATATATATATATATATATATATATATATATATATATATATATATATATATATATATATATATATATATATATATATATATATATATATATATATATATATATATATATATATATATATATATATATATATATATATATATATATATATATATATACAATGCAAGCTATTAATGTCTTTAAAAAAGAATTAATGTTCACAAATACTAGCACATGCTCTTTATGGGTTTTTTCTATTTTGTATTTCAATATGTCTCATTTGCAGTCACTTTGGAGTTTAGTTATTTATTTTTCCATGGCATTTTCCCCTTATTCCAAACATCAATTCCTTTTTATTATTCTGGTAATAGCTTACAAAAAAACTCAAAAGCTAGTTATATATACAGATGGTACTGCTAGATATTAAACCCATACCCTTGAATCACCTAATATCCCAAATTTATACAAATTTAAGAGAGATGGAATGAGTAGAGGACTGTATCAAGAGATAAGTACATCTGAGCCTTTTTACTGGTACACATTGATTGAGATTGTACATATCTCATGACTAAGCCATGCAAATATCTGTTTCTTATATTAACTCTTGCATTCTTTTAATTAATGTATATAATCCTCAACACTAATTAAGGAAGCCAAGGAGTACCTGTACTTTCCTATTCATCAATGCTTGCTTCTTGCTACTTCCTTCAATTTATTCAATATATTTCCATAGACTTCTAAATCAATGTATCAATAACAACACATCTTTACAAAACTGAGCATTCTGCTTTAGCTCCTTGATAATTGAAGCATTTGCCCTCATCTTACAATAAAGGTTATGAATTACTTAGAGAAAAATAAGATATTTCCAGAGTTAATTATAAATTCATAGAGTAAATACTGCAAAAAAAAAATCAGGACCGAGAAACAAGAGACTGAAAGAACATTATAATTTTGTTTTCTCTGGTGGAATGAGAACCACAAGTTAATTTTTTTTTATTTGGTAGACCAGTTGTTCTCCAGCATTAACTCTAAAGTAAAATAGGTAATCTGATCTGAATATCTATTGCGGAATAAAAAATCACTATAACATAACTTACAAATTACATACAGTACTACCATTCTTTGCTTAACATGGTATGTTTTCTTACTGTAATATACAAGGGAGGTATACTGTTTAATGTTTTGCAAGGACCAAGGAAGGTGTCTTATGATGCTCTTATAGATTGAGACTAGCTACATATAGTTGTTATATCCTACAGGCATCCATCTGCATCAGTTTTCCCACAGATTTCATGCACTGAACAGTACAGTATTTTGTTCATGGAGTTTTTGCTGCTTAGTATTTAATCAATATTTCAAACTATATCATAAACTTTGTAAGATGGTCAACAAACATGAATCAAGTGACAGAGACAAAAGCTATGCTACTCCCAAAAGTCACATAAAACCCATTAGTTTGGAAATGAAAATCAATAATTCAAGATGCCACAATGCAAGTAACAATTTGTATTTTTTGTTGGGGTTACTGTACACAGCCAAAAATCTTAGGTTAAGAATGCACCTTTAGAAAATTTATGCATTTCAAAAGGAAAACGTGCTTTGCTTGATGTGTTTTACAGGTACCGTACACATGTAGGTATCATGTTAAGTTGGGTATGTTAGTACTCACTTTCATATAATTCTGTGGCTGGGAGTGACTTTTTGAAATATCTATGCACGACTGTACATTCAACAAAAAGTTTATATATATTGATCAAGAATTAGTTCACATAAATCACTGACTAAGATGTGACTCACACAAACACCAGACTTGCTTAAATATATAACTTTACTTGCACATATGATCAGCTCTAGCATTATCAATTATTCATACTGAACCAACAACCAACCCAACACCCAATCACTTGCATATTCCAAGCACTGACTCACTCATTAACCAGTGTGACCAACCTTCAAGGATGCTGGTGATGGTTGTGGTGGCTGTGGGGGATGATGGCATGCTCCTTCCTGAGGGTGACCCAATACGTACACCTCATTATCAAAACACCATTCACCCATCAGTATCAAAGAATAAAATTCTTTTCTTCAGCACGAGTAAATCACATTTTACGGGAATAATTTTTATATTCAAACCACTTTCGAGAACTGAATCTACTGTATTAATGAATGAAAGCCAAACAAGTCCTATTTTTCCATCTTATAAATGTGATTTACTCAAGGAATGAGATAAAAATTTTGACCAAGTTCGAGAAGATAGCAAGATTCCATACACCTTCGAGTGCCTGTGATTCCCAAACATGCAACAAAGCTCATGCAGACAGGTCTACACATATGGATAATAATAAAGTTTCAAAATAAAAAAAAAGAGACATTCCAATGCCTATGATATTCACAGGTCCTTCATTATTATAAGTTGACAAATGGGTCATCCCATTTATTCTAATGAACACTGTCTGTATTGGTCATTTGGTGCATTATGCACTAAATTATCAACAAGCTTTATATAACAAGTTAGTAAACAGCTATTTAGTCAAAACCTTTGCAAATATATTAGAAAACTTTAAAATAAAACTGATTATTGAAGAAAGTTGTAGCAAAATATTATACAAGAAGCATATTACACAAAATAATTTTATCATCATACACATTGCCAATTTTGTCAAAAAACAGAGGCAGGTTATATTACAACACATACATATTTTTAAATGCAACTATACTTCATTCTGCATTTCACATTCCAATTAAAATAACAATAATGCAAATTCTAAATAAATGCAATGGTATTTAAAAATGTATTTAAAGTATTATGTAAAGAACAACAATTAAAATACATTCGAAAAAATTATTTGTTGGAAATTTACCCCAAATTAAGTCCACATAAACTACTTACCTGATTTTAGGACATTGAGCCGAGCCACAGCTTGTGTGTCCCCGGCAGAATTGTAGGCCACACACTGGTACATCCCAGAGTCTCCCTCCACCAGACCAAGAATTTTCAAGTTATTACCACTAACAATCTGGTGAGAGGTAATCAGCATCAATTATCTAGCAACAGAAATCTACCAGTACACACAAGAAACACACTATACAGAAGAAAATTATGATACGGTACACAATCTGTGTTAAGTTTACAAAATTTAATTCTCCTAAAATATGCTTGAAATTTAATTGATTAATTTCAGTCATAAATATAATCCACTATAAAATGCTAAAAATAATGTTGGAATGTCTACTGTCTAATGACCCCCAAACAAGGTGGCAGGGGCAAAGACGACTTCTCAGTGGGGAATAAGAAACTATAAGAGAGAAGAGTGAGCAAATGAGCAGCCAGGCAGTGGTCAAATAATTATAAAGTTTTAGTATTAACTCAGTTCTACAATATGAGTATCATGAATTTATTAATTGATAGATACAGTACAGCATAAACATCCACTACAAAACTGCTGAATAACATATTTAAGAACAAAATGACAATAAAATACTGCGGTATTTGCTGTCAGTATAAATCGCTCCTTACTCTTACTGTCAGCATCAGAATGGTCAAGTTCAAGATGGCTAAGGATACAGCACATTCATCTTAGATTACAAGTAACAGTAAAAACTTCTGTCTTCATGTGAAAGCATTTTAAGTTGATGATTTCACATTTTCAATATATTTTCAGCTAATTAATAATAGGTTCATGCATTTGTTATTGGGGTATATCTTTTCCCAAAATGTTCTTTTCGATACAATTCTAATTATCAACACAAACCTGAAAGTATTCGGTCTCAATTATCAATTCGCCATTTTTCAACCAATGGACAGATGGTTCTGGCAGGCCATACACCTTACAACCCAATTCTACATCTTCTTTTTCATGTGCAATAGTATTCACAGGTTTCCTCACAAATTTTGGAGCAACTGAAAGAAAAAATAGTTATATCTTATTAATTTTTTTTACAATATTAAGTATACAAACAGTTTGCTACAAATATCTACAAAATATACAATAGTGAGAGCAATTTGCAAAGAATAAGAGAGTGTGAGTGGTTGTTTAATTTCCAAAAAGAACCAAGATGTGATAGGATTCATTTCTTAAGTGGTTCATTACTTGAACAAGAGGCAGATAACTAAGATATACAGTACTGTATAACAACTCTGCCAGACAGTATGTAGCTTGGTAACTTGACTCCAGGATTGATGTGTCCCTTGTTAATTTACATTCTATCATAACTCATTATGGTACAGTGCTTCATCTTCCTCACCTTGCACTTGGATATGAGCAACAGCATCAACAGAATCTTCTCTGTTTTCTGCTCGACACATGTAAGTTCCTCCATCCTCTTCTTTGAGTCCTATGATCTGTAAGCTTCTTGTTGTGCCCAAAAACAAGAACCGGGTATCCAGGTCACTGTCAGAGTAATGTAACATTATATTATATCTGACTGACGAAAGGGGAATCTGTTACACAAGGATGTCAGATTACAGAGACAATGCTATATAATACAGAGATGCCTAAATTGGAGAATATCTAGAATGAAGAGGTCACAATAGAGAAATCACATAGAGAATAAAATCTCCTACATTTTAGATAATTCATAGGTAGTAAAGGGGTTCTACATGACACAGCCGATACCACATAATAATGGGGTCCTTTACACGAGATATAACCAAAATATCACAGGAGTACTTCACTCATGAGATAATAATACATAACACTGGGGCCCTACACTGTACTGAGATAACACCATACTAGCACACTCAACTCCTCCAGATATTTTGGGGGGTTCAGTCTCACACACATAGCCAGCCAGGGTTGATGAGGGGTGAATCACAAATGTATGAGTGTTTGAGCACTCTAATGCAGTATGGAACATAATTAAACTCTGAATGGCAAATTCATTCTTTATCATTTTATAATAACCAAGATTTTAGTAAAAGGTATAACAGTATCCAACAAAAGGAATCATTAGCCGAGGCAAAAATTGCCTACTGAGACCAACCCCAAAGAGACTTAAAAAATACACATGCAATCACAAGTAAATGTACATGTCCAAACTAAGAGATACCCTGCACCTCAAATAAATAAGTTTTAATAATACTCACGCCATATCTATGGTTGCACCATCTTTCAGCCACACAACTGTCGGCTCTGGGTAGCCATTTGCAGCACAGTCTAATGTAATGTTTGCCCCTACTGTGCCCACTACAGATTTTGGTCGAGCTATGAACACAGGAGATTGTGGATCACGGAGGGCAAAGGCTTCCTTTACTTGAAGTGTGGCTTGTTGTGATACCTTGGTTTTGTCTAGGCTCGTGGCTTGGCAGTAATATTCACCATCATCAGTTGTAGCTACATTCTCTATTTCTAAGGCACCTGGTAAACACAAACCATTCTTGTTAAAGAAAAGCCAGCTCATTTGCATACCTTGAATTAAAAATTTTCTCCGAAAGTAAAATAGATTTAAACCCCCCCAAAATACACTGACTGAACAGTATTGGTTCATAACACAATCAAAGAAGAGATTTAAAATACGTAATGAGCATTTTATTTTAAGCAAACAAATAAAGAAAATTTCATGGATATTGCAGCAATATTAAATTTCCTGGTAAATGTACCTCAAACTAAGGTTTTTGGTATAAAGTATACAGTAACTGTTTGTGTACAAAATAACCTGTACAATACTGTATAGTACATGTACAGTAGGTGAATACATGCCTTCTGTTTGTGAGATGATATATGTATAAATTTATTTTAAGAAATCACCATAAGAGTAAATTCAAAGGTAAAACACAAGTCTTGTAAAGTAAAAAACAAAACAAAAACAGGTCTCTATACATATATATACTGTATATATACAGTAACAAGAAGTGTTTCACAAATATGATGTACAGTAAACTGGTGTAGAACACTAATTATCAAGAACAGCTTCAAGAGGGCAACATACAGTACACCTCACACACTTTAACAAATTTTATGATGATGGTAACATGTATCATATTTTATATAAATATGTTGAAGCGATGTTAAGATACTACAGTATACTATATTATTCAGAAAGAAGCTCGATAGTTCTCAAATTGGTCAACTGCATAGTATTTACGCAAATTAATATGTACATTAAAAGAGCGACAATGTTTCAAATTAGAAGAAAAATAGGTTGAAAGACTGTTTAAGATATCATCAAGAAACAAGAGTCTCAAGATGGCCTCAATACCATGTGTCAAGGAAAGTGTATTCCAAAACATTATAGCAAACAGTTCAATGAGAACGAACGAGTGCTTAAAATTTACAACAAATTAATTGATGCATTGTTGATACTATACAATCAGGAAACCGACACATTTAGAAACTGATATACAGTTCTGTAAATATATACATACTGTATATATATATATATACCACAGTGTGTACGTGTGAGTTTTTTCTTTTTCCTCATTTTCATTTATAAATTTTTAACATTAAGTCTTCAGACATTGTGAGTAAAGTACTGTACTGTACTGTACTCACCAGATGGAAGGCGAGTCATCCTCGAGTCATGCTCCAGGGGATGACTGTTTCTGAACCACTTGATGGTTGGTGAAGGATTACCATCGATCTCACAAGGAAACCTGGCTCGCTCTCCCTCAAACACAGTCATATCCTGAGGCTGGTCCTCGAACTTAGGTAAAGCTGATGGGAAGAAACAGTTTACTGTTGATTATATATCACTTAGATATAAAATTCCTTTGCCATTACTATCAATAAATGTACAGTACTGTATAGTACATCTTAATTCAAAGTAAAACTGGAATAGCTTACATAATTGTTAAAGTGTATTATTTACTGTACAGAGTATTGTACTAGCTATCAATAAATAATCGCTGTACATCACATAAAGGACTGACGATCTTGGCAGCTGCTTTTATTTTATTTTACAGAAATTTATTGGCAGATTAATCAAAATCAAATCCTAACGACTATATTATGGAAATATTACCTGTAATTTTAACCCTGGCATATTATAATCTATTTTTCCTGGTATAAGAAATTATGTAATTGCCAAGTAACTTATTTATAATCTTAACAGAGTACAGTAATCACACTCCAGTTTGTCATACAGTACATTCATCAGGGTACTGTTTTCATTATACTGGTCACCTTAGGACAACTTCTTAATATTTATGGAAGCAGAACTTTCAATACTCTCTAAAAACTGTCATCATAACTTTTCCTTAAAATGCAAAAAAATATATTGAACATAATAAACTATTTACCGTAATCTAACCAAAGCTTCTGCCTTAATTAAATCTTTCCATCCTCTTCTTGCAGCTTCAATTATTCATATAATGGATCAACTTAAATAAAACATACAATTTTCTCTTCATAAACACTTTTCATATTCCTCATGTCTTCCTGAGTTGCAGCTGAATCAGTTTCAAGGTTCAGAGAACTCTCATACAGAGTGTCTTTATGTTCCTCCTCTGCTCAAGTATCTTTTTTTTTAATCTTACCATAAAATGTCTTTCTGTATTCATCCAACTTAAAATTCCCAGATCAATATAACCCAACTTCCCTTTAATTTCCTCATTACTCCACTGGTTCTGTTCCTCATCTCCTCTGTGTTTATTTTTACTTCACTGTGGACACAAGTGACTGGCCAGAATTCTGAGAAATTTACCACAAACTGCAGGAACCTTAAAAATTGTCTTTATGAGATTAAGATTGCACAATTATATATAATGGACATACAGTACTGTACAGTAACTGGTTTTACTTAACCTGATGTGTCACATTAGAACTTAATTCAAGGCAACAGGTTCGAACATAATCAAAAGAAACAAATGTGATCATAAACAGAGGCAGCAAATCTGAACAAATTCTGGAGTTATACAAAACGGTGTAATGTGAAGAAGAGTCTCACCACAAATTCAAGCCTAAATGTCAGACACAATTAATGTATCTAATAAAAAATGTGATCCTTTATGATCTGAGGTAAGAGATACAGATGTACGAGTAAACACATTACTGTATACTGTATTGAATACAGTACCGGGTAGATGTATCGGTAGTTTTGATAAATATCACATTTTTAGAAATACACTGTACTGTAATCATTTGTGGAGGTTGTGGGCTTAATAATAAAATTATTATGCAAAATTTGCAACTTTCGCATGAATCCTGTGGAAGTCATTAAAAATTTTTTTAGACAAATTATATACAGTACAGTACATATATAAGAAGTATCACATCACAAAAGAACAAGTACCCGGTACATTGAAATTTTGTAATGCAATACAGTATCATATCTGACCAAAATGTGGCAAAAAGCATGTGAGAAACTTCAGGCATGCCACATAGCTTGAGAGAACACCAAGACAATCACTAGGTACAGTACTACAACTTTACCACTTCCTTTACTCTTTGCTTCCAAATATTGTTACTACTTCAATACACACATAAGCTGCACTTCATGTTGTTAAATAACACCAGTGTCATCAACTCATCAGATAACAAAAGAGAAGCTACATAAACATTAAGACTGAAATTAAACACATAAAATAGTCAACAATCTACAGCTTCAAAGTACCACCAAAATGTAATCTAAAGTTACTGGTACTTTAATCCAACAGAAAATTTGTAATCTCATGCAGCAGAGGTGTAAAGTACATGCAGTATACATGGCAGGACAGCAACTCATACAATATATATACTGTACTTTATGAATCTACCAGTTTACAGTAAATGCAATGATCATTATGAGTCATAGCAGTTGTATCGCAAGATAAAATTACAAAAAGTAATAAGACATAACATCTAACATGATAGTGGAGTACATCAGCAACACTTTATTGAAGAATATACAGTACTGAAAATGATACCTCAAGACACTGAAAGAGAACATGATAAATAAAATACACGTAATAATATCAGACTGTGAGTAAAATAAGCAAAATAATAATAATCATAATAATAATCATAATTATAATGATAATGTTAACCATAAACAGAAACAAATAAACTTAACAGCATTTAAAATACAAATGAAAGCCAAGTCTTTAAAACCAATAAGCCACCATCTTTATCAGACACAACGTCAAATCTCACACAAGAGTGATCCGGGACAACACATTATCCAGTGTACTACTGAGAGAGAGATCTAATTGATACCGTAGTAGGGATAATAGTCTTAATACTGTCTATGTATATTTAGAACAGTGTACTGTGTATGAATATGAAAAATTAACTTAAAGTGTATAAATGTTATTATGCATAAATAGATAATAATGACTTAGAAAAACGGAGTCTTCTAACACAGTACCGTAAGTGACTCTGGTGTTATGAATGACCAAGGTTCAGTTTATTGAAGTTATCAGTCACGTAGACTCCGGTGATGAAGATTGTACAGTATCTGATTAACAAGGTCAGCAGTAACCTAAAGTTTGCAACAAGTGGGCTTTGGTTGATCAATGGAAGTGATGCAACAAGACTTTACCAAAATATGAAAGTATAAGTCATGCACAAGATTTAAATGTGTTATTACCATCCTCTTCCCAGCCGCCTGTTTGGAGAAGAAGCAGAGTGAGTTATGTTAGTGTAACTATGGGCTCAATAATTCCTATTCCCTGCTTCTCCAATATCCGGTAATCATCTTTTATAAGTCTAGGACACTTGTACAAAATGAGTCATAATTAATCCTATGAGAAATGACTAATCCTAGACAAAATTAATCCTATGAGACATGATTAATCCTAGGAGACATAATTAATGCTGAGACATAATTAATCCCATGAGATAAAATTAATCCTATTAAAGATAAAATGGCAAAACTTATCAGAAAGGGATTATTCATCACAGTGAGTGTGTGCTGAAAGGCATTACAGTACAGTACTGTATATAGGAGTGATTTCTGCTGAGAGCATAACCTTCATCAGGTCTTCGATGAATATCCTGTGCTCATACACTGTATCAGTATCATATTCGCAATCAGGAAGCTCCTCATAACTATTCATATACTGCATAATATTAGTATAAATGTACAGGTATACACTTTCAAACAATAGGAAATTCAATTAAAGTTAATCATTTATAAATCAATCACAGTATAGTACAGAGAAACAAAAATTAGTAATAACACCATCAATTGATATCGATTATTTACTAAAAATTTATTGACAAAACATTAAAGAGGCATAAGTAACTACAGTATTCTGAGCACTACGAAATTTGATGAATAATTGTGTTGACATCTTTCACACAGAGAACTATGTACAATTGGTAAAAAACTACCATACAGGGGGTGTCCAATGATTTTCCACTGAACAGTCCCGTTGTCTCGCGAGGGTTGGTAGGCCTGAATGCGAGACATTTCATACTTAATTTGGTAGGCCGAAATTAGCTATTTCATTGACAATATTGAATTACTGGAGAATGTCAGTATGTTTACATAAATTAAACTGTATGTTATATTAAATGTTCCACACACAATGGACTACAGTAACCATGAAAGTGGATGAGTTGCCATATAGGAAAGCATTATATGTTTGGCAGAATTAGTGGATATAGTAAAGGTATAAGATTATTTTACAACCTAATTTCGAATCCGTACAGTATTTGTATTGCTACTTCTCTTTGGGCTAAGGCTACATTATGTCATTCTTTATTCGTATTGGAAAATATACCATGCTGTTCTGAAACATCTGAATAGCTCCACAGTTCATATAACAAACACATTCTTTATGTAAGATCTCAGGAAATGTTGGTACCACTAATTACGTAAATCACAATATTAGGCTGCAAGCTCACAATGTGCATTAGACATGGAGAAATGAGGCATAGAGTTCCAATCAAGTTTCAAATTGCATTAGTGTGGCAGCACTAAGTCTGACTCATTTCAGAGTGCCAATCACTTGTTTTGAGCATGTGTGGCTGAACCCATACACGCCAAGAGGGCTACCAAAGCGAGGAATGCCTCAGGGGCCTTTTTGAAACGCTTCGTTTGTATTGTCAGTTTATTTCGTGCAGGAATTGTAACGGTAGTTGTTTTACCGAGTGTACATTATGTGGACAAAATTACCATATTGTCCAAAAATATTTATACTGTAACTGATAAAGTACATTTAGTATTTTTCTTATAGCCTCAAAGGTTTTCTTTTTAGTCATAAATTATATTACTCTATTATACATAAATTTTCAAAGAAAGTTTGTATTTGTGTGAACAACAAATAATGTGCTTCCTACAAAGTGTTCTACGGGTGAATGCTTCAAGTACTGATTACTAAAAGAGAATATCAAACACTATTCTACACTTGGTTTCTTAAAAAGGGTCAACTCACTACTATTCAAGGAATGGGATTTCATGGAAATTATACAATCTGGTTAGTAACAAACACTAGGTACAGTATTTATTTCCACAAAACAAACTTTTTACTTTCTGAAATACTGTACAAGGTATTAGAGGTGAGGACTATTGTTTTCAATACTCTTGTTACAGGTAATAAAAAAGTCTAGTATAAGTGTGTATTATAACAACTGCTTATTTTATATCGGCACTCACCTACTATACTAAGCCTGGCCCTCGTTGATATAATGGTGCCAGTACCAGGTGATGATGCCACACACTGATAAATGCCTTCATCAGTCTGCTCTGTCCTCGGCCCATTCACCCAGGAGATGTGTAATGTGCCATTGGGAAGGATAGATCTGGGAAGGGGTACACAGTACAATACAGTATCTTCAAATCATCAGGAAATCAAGTTTGTGGAACATGAGTAATGAACTTCTCCTTCCTCGTCATCAACTCTTAGCATATTCTTTAATGAAAAATAAATAACCCGAGTTATAGGAGTTTAATAATGCAAGGATAATACCACAATGTGCTGACTCTGAGGCAAATACTAACTCATAAAACTTGTCTTTATTTAGACTAGCTACATCTCAAATCATATAATTACATAAAAACTTAAATTAAGTTTACCCCAGGTTGTTCAAGTAAAGAAACAAGTGGATGTAATGTTACTGGGAATTCTATACTGTACCATGTGTATGACAGTCTACATCAAGACCCTGTTCTGGTGGTCTTAACAGTGTGGTGGGTATGGGCAACCATTAAACTTAAAATTACAACATCAAACACTACATTTTTAATGGACTCTTGAACAGTAAGGATTTCAACATTAAAAGTTAAGAAAAAGGACATAATTACAGCAAAAACAATCCTACATCCATAATCTTAATCAGGTGTTCACACTAAAACCGTAGGTTATGTCCTGTACTAAATTCTGTGTACAGTACTGTACCGGAACTATACTGTAATTTTTCTGCTGCAAACAATGTTACAGGTACCTACTAGTGTTTGGTGTATCTGAAAAGGTGTCAAGTTGTCAAACATGTCAGTCCATAAGGATTTCCTTGTGAAAAATGAGAGCAAATGTGGTTTCTAAAATCAAGGGTACACTATGTAAATGTTCAGTTTAGCTCCACCAAACCACCACCTTTTTTCCTTTACCTTTTTCAAAAGATCATTACTGTACTCATTTACTCAGGTAAGGCTCTGCTGTATTGTATTTGACTTCCTAGGGACAGAACTTACATGCGAGAGTCACTCGAGGAATCTACAGGAGAGTTATCTTTTCGCCATGTAAGTGTTGGCTCCGGATATCCATTAGCCACACAATGTAGCCACGCTGGTCCTCTCTTGCGTACCACTGTGTCCACTGGCTCAAGAGCAAAGGATAATCCGCTCCATAATCCATCTGAAACGGAAAATTTAATCTATTCAGTACAAAAGAAAACCTCTATATCCTCTTATTTCTTCACCCCCTAGGCCCCGTGGATCGGTGACCTGTTCCCCGTAAAAGAAAAAAAAAAAAAAGAACATCACCCAATACTCTTTAAGTCTAAATTGCAGGAGAATCATCAAAATACTGTACAGACAGTGATGATGAGATATATTTTCAAAATACATTGTATAGCTCACACCTGTACAGTACAGGGGCCGCATACTCAAAACACCTCATCAGTTACGTACAGTAGCAGAGATACAGTACCGTAACTTACAGATTCCTTACAGTCCCGTAAATTTCTCATACTCAAAATTTAATTACAGTCCCAAAAGCAGTCCGTAACTCTAGTGTTTACCCTGTAAATTCAGTTCTCTTGTCCGAAAGTAATGGCCTAGGCGCTTAATTATCTACAAAACAAGACATTTACACAAGAAATGAATACCATATCAGAACTCACTGACGAAAATAAAGTAAGAAAATATACAGAAATACAATTAAAATCGTTCGCGGGTTAGTCCTACATATTAATCACCTAACCTAACCTTTACCTAAACTAACCTTACTCTAATCTAACCTTAACATGCCTTACTTAACCTAACCAAAATTTAAAATGCATAAAGGTTAAAATGCATAATAGTGGCATCCTAAGTTTCATTTATATATCATCAACAGATTTATAGATATGTTGGAGAAATTATCATAAAAAGTTTGTTATCTCTGCAAAAGTATTTTTTAAAAAGAAATTGAATATTTTCTAGAGAACGTAATTGTTTGTCATGTGTTACTTGCTTTCTTAGGTTAGGTTAGGTAGGGTAACATAAGATTAGGTTAGATAAGGTAAGGTACGATTAGGTAAGGTTAGGTATTGTTTGGGTAAAATACATTTCACTAATTTTGCATAGAAAAAAAATCACTACTGAATGTATTGGGTAAAAAACTTGTGAACATAATTATTTTTCTTAGAAAAAATTGCTTTACCACTTAATTTTTACCCTCCATTTTTATTGGGTTTGATGAACTTAGATTGGGTTAGATATTATTTAACTATGAGTCATGGGTACTTATTGGATACTTGGCAGAATAACTTGTTATAACTTGGTCCTAGCACAGGCGGAGTCTAGGCAAAAATGTTCACTTGACCTCATAATTGGCTTTCATTACTAAAGGATATTTACAGCTATACCACATTAATAAGGTCTATCTGCAAGTTTACTCAGTCATAAAAAAATTTGTACCATAAATGTACCGGGTAGACAATAAAAATCTTCTATTTTGTTACAAAAGCTGCATCTCCTCCATTCAGTGAGAAATAGAAACACTTACATCTTCTTATCGTAAAAAGAATGAACTAAAAAGACAAACTGTAATATCATATTTTAGTATGTTGATATACAAAACATTTACTTCATTATTCTATGAAAAAAACAAGTCTTAACGAGCATTATTACAACATATATTATTAATTTTTGTTATGCAATCGTGAAATAGCGACTACTATATCCGGGTTGATCGTGTTACAGCATCTCCTTAGGTGCTGTAAGTTGCGGGCTAGATTCCAGGCTCACTTACGGAGTCCGCTGCCAAATATTTGTTTTGAGTACAGTATACCGATCGGAGGCTGTAAGTCCAGTTACGGGATAAACAAAGAGATAGAGTCCCGAAATGTTTTGAGTATGTGCCCCAGTACTTTAATATCTGATACTTCTGACATAAATAAACATTTGTGCAAAAAATTAATGTATGGAGAAAATCTTAAGATTCAGTGACTGATGAAGAATCACACAACAATTTTGGTATGACAAACTGTGAGGGACAGGTGTGTTCTGTATTACTGTACTGTGGTCTTATATGAAAAGCCTTAGTGGCAAAGAAAATACAGTATTGTACTGTATGAACAACTAACTGTACATTATCTAAATGTTGAATATTATATACAGTATAGTAAAGCACTTACTAAACCATCATGCGTCTGTATTGGATGAGATGGGTGGGGTGAGATGGATGAGGTGGTGGGATTGGTTGAGATGAGGTGAAGTGAGCTGGAAGGAGGAATGATTCACTAGTAACAGCCACACACCACCTGGAGAAGGTCACCCCACACATTTGCTGAACCTCCTTCTAAACTCACTCCATTATACACCACCACCTCACCACACCTCAACGATGGAATGTGTCATCTCCCATAAAAGACAAACTTCCAGTAAAAAAAAAATATATATTATTAGGGAGTTGTGTGAATAATAAATAAACTCCAAGATCATATTTAAGAAGACCTAAGAGGAGCCTGGGGTCACAGGGGAGTCTTGGGGCTTGCACTCACCGCCGTGACTTATGACCTCTCTTAAAATTATATTACAGTCTACACCAAGTATTCATGTCACCAGAAATAATATTCAGAGGAATTAAAAATAAAAGTGTTTACTGAAACTGAAATTCAAGAACCAAAAACGAGATTATTTCTGGTCCATTTTTTGTAAGTATATATATGTAGGTGCTACCATTTTCCAGAATCAAGCAACAAACTTGGGTAATATCTTCATGAATTAACCCCCCTCCCGAACACTGCAGAAGGGGATTGTCATAGAAATCTTAATTCTCTGGCTGAATCTAAACTTTAACCGGATATACGGATGGGTAAACAACTTCCCATAGCCCTCCTTCTTCCAAAACCTGCAGCAGTATTATTATTAACGGATTCATAGATGGACTATAATTTAAAGTTTCTTCACCAGGTCACTGAGAATTATCCCATAAATAATACCAAAGAGATGGAATGCGAGACTATTTTCCTGATGTATATGTCAAGGGGCTGGAGACACAACATAGCCATGCTCAGTGTCAACAAGCACCCAGCTGGCCCTCTCACCTTCACTCAGCAGAGGTGGCCGGGCTACCTACAATATATCCTACAAGTCTGCCTCACAACGAAATTTCTCTAAAAAACCTACTAAATAACGCAATCAAAAACAGACCCGTATTTCATGGAGAATTCGTCTCTCAGGCTGAAGCGCCATCAATACTGCACAAGTAGCGGCAGTCATTTACAGCCACACACTTACCCACGGACCATAATATGCATTTTTCCTCATTAAAATTAAATGTGATATACAGTAGTGGCTTTTCCGCCAGACATTTCTGTAGTAACTGTTTTTTATTTTTACTCAAGTGGCTGCTGAGGGTTCATTTCATGGCCGTTTTTTAGAGTTAATGTAAAACTCTGCATCACAAAATAAGTAACTTTGTCAAATAGTCTCCTCAGACACTCTGTATGACAGCAAAAGAAAGTTTCCATAATTCGTGGTGGCAGTAATTGGTGCAGCGGAGTGCCGTGTACAGCAACAGTATCATGTATCACGACAACAAAGTCGTGTATCTTGCCGTGTGGGTCATGTGCCAGAGTTAGTAGGCAATTAGCTCAAACGTAGTTTCCTGAATGGGTGTTGCAAGCAGGGTGTGTGTGACAGAGGGGAGGTATAGCGTGGGAGGCAGCATTTACGGGTGTGACAAGGTGGTGGGGGGTGGGAGGCAGCATCGGGTGTGTCATCAGGTGTGGTGGCTGAGAGGTAGAGTTTACTAATACCAAAATAAAACAAGGGCAAAAAAAAAACGTAACTGAAAATAGTGGTGCAGGGACAAGATGAGAACAGAGTACACAATACTCGCTTAGGTGAGCCAGGCCGCCCCACTCCACAACAACAATGACTCACACACACTTAACAACACAACACAACATTCCCTAGTCAACATAACAATCATATTACTGTAGTCTAATTTTTATATTAGTACGATGCTTAACAGCCCTCAACAAAAAAGAATCTATATATTTTTCAAATAATTCCATTGACGAATTTAGCATTAGAATGATCAAACTCGGCAAAATTTACATACACACACACACAATGAGACATTAAGTAGCAGGTATCGCGACGAACACACTGCGGTATAGACCACAAGTTAGCACTAGTAAATGAAATTTGATGAGTCATGTCCGTAGATTTTATCACAACCCATTTTTTAGACGGTTTCCATCCCGCCTCACTTGCCGGTGAGGGCAGGACTCATCACCACCTTCCTGCTTCATCTCACCCCCAGACACTACAACAACCACACCTAGGTTGTATTCCACACCATCAAGCACTTCTGCACACTCCCAGACTCCCTATACAGTACAACCCATATCCTGCCAGCTAGGACAGGAACACGACCTCTGCTGCACCAACACTCCACACCACACACCCTACTACTGTACAGGGTGGCCCAGAGGTTCCCATTGACAGTAAAAATAGACATTTTATTTATGAGTTAAACAAAAAAATGTCTAATATCGACTCTCCATAGTTCAAGAAACAAAATACCTTCATGACAGGTTGGTTAAGTCACCAAACACACCAGTGCTACCTTCTGTACTAAACCATGAAGGTATTATCTTACCTGAAATATGTAAATCCCATATTAGATATATGATTAACCGTAAAAACTCAACGTCTTATTGCCCGTAGAGTCAAGACTTCTGGAACACCCTGTATGACACTCACTCTCAAGGTGGAGGACGTCTGGCCAGGTAGACAAAGACCGTCAACACGTTAGTGACCCGCGGTTCTACGGCCCGGCCCTGTGATGTAGCACGACCCTGCATGACCCAACACACACACACACCTCACTCACACTAGGGCGCGTCAGACATACCGGATAACTTACGCCAAACAATTTCACCAACACATTTAATACAACAATTTAAGCTTAATCTATAGCACTAAAATAAATACAGGATCAGATATTAAATACAACCAAGCATGGAGGCGAGCTACACACACCATGACGTCACTAGGGATATATTCACAAATCACCGAATGACAATACGACTGGTAATACTGGTCGTCACGCGCCAATCAGCGAGTGCGGTGAGTAGGCAATATGGGGTAGTTACTGGCTAACGAGGTATTAACCGGGCAGGCGGATATGGTCGTTAG